TTATCTATGGTCGAGATGGAGATGGATGCCGCTCAGGTCCTTGCGAATTTTGCTCAAATCGCTTTCCTAGAGAGGGAGGCCTATGGCCTGAGGGGCGGCGAGCGGGACGACTGTGGGGGAAATACAAAAGAGGCGGGGCCGACGAAGGGGGCGAAGAATGGGCCTCTTGAAGGAGACGTCAGCAGGGACCATCCGCAAGAGCGGTGCAACTCGAAGTTGAATCCGTCGCCGTCATTTCGTGCTCAGGTCAATCATCTCCGTAGATGTAGATATCTCCTTGTGTCTCTTGATCGCAATTCCGGTCACTCCATGGCCTCCCATTCCAAGAAACGGAGTTTTAGGGATTTTTCGTTAAGCGTCTCCAGTTTTAGGTAATTACTGTTCGTGTAACTATGAGCTTTACCTTGGATCGCATAAGGCAGCAAGTCCAGAGAAACATAGCTTTCCGTCCTTTACTTTAGAAAATTGTAAAACCTTAACATTACGTATGATTATGTCTTTCCTCTGGGTTTCGTTGCAAGTCGGTTATCAAAGCCGAATCGGGGATCCCTTGTCGCCTTAGCTTTGAGCTGATCGATGTGTCTGATGATACAAAACGCTCTCGACATCCTTGTTTCTTTGTTTCTCTTTAATCAGTTTTCTCATAATATTCTATTCCCCTGAACCCCCTGAAGATGTGACAGATAGGGAAGAGGTTGATTTGAACTTTGCGAAGAAGTGTTTAAATCAGCCGGTGATGTCCAGAAAATTATGCAACTGGAGAAAAAGAAATGCCTGATTCCTTCTTTTTTTGGTTGAAAAATGTCTACCCAGGCATCTAATTTAGCTCTCGATCCATCATATGAGCACCTAAACGGTTTCTCCGGAATCTGTGCGAGAGTACACCGGGGGTATCTCAGAGTTATGCCCGTGACGCGAATATTATCTGCTTCCTAGTTTGGAGGTCACCTCAGCAGGATCAGTCGGGGATACTCTGGCAAAGGAGGCTGATAACACCTCTGTACCCACGAATGGCACTTTCTTCATTTGGTTTCTGATCCGGTATGCCAGAAGAAATAGTCTCTCTCTAGAAAAATATATCTGTTCGGTTCCTGGGTAAGAACTCGTTTGGTTGGTTTACTTTGAAATGCCTTTTATTTTGTATCTTCAAATGGTTTCTTTTATCGAACCAGAATTTTACTGGGATAGTTAAAGAATCCAGCGGAAAAGGAAAGCAAATTATCTTACATGGAGGAGCCCGTCTGCTGTTTACATACCCCCTCATGTTCTATGACCTGTTTCTGATGATGGAAGATATTGCATTGGACGATGTGAAGAAAGTGCTAGTATTGAATCAAGCAATGAGTACTTCGTTATCGAGATCTATTTCTATGGCCTGTTGCTGGAGAAAATTATATATTTTTTTAGAAATTATAGATTCCGATTGGAGCGGAAATTAAGTGAGCTTCTGAGCTAATCCCATATTTAAAGTGCTTCTCATTAAGAACTCCTAGATTGTAATCATGGATTGCTTCTGTCGCTCACAAAGATGTAATCTTGGATTGCTTGAGAACAAAACATGAATTTCAATCTTGTATGTGGATTATTCTTTATTCATCTAGTAAAAATTAATTATAATCTATGGAGCATTGATGCTCAAAAGTTTCATGAAATGGGAGAGTATCGGATTCTCTGAATATCATTGCAAAGAAAACACTTTTTCTTTTGTGTGATGGAATGGATTGTACCAGCATAAGTAAATGCCATAGTTATGGAACTTGTAAAAACATACACATGCAGTTCATATTTTAAAATTCCCATCATTAGTTGTTCACTCGTTTTAATGTCACACAACAGTCTATGTCAATCTCGTGCAGGTTAGATGCTGATTTTGCATCGACCTTAAATGGTTTGGATTTTTCTTTTCATGAACATTATGTTTCTCATGGGCAAAGCGATCTGTTATTTAAGCTTCTTATTCTCCAGAGACATATTTAGAATGGAAAAGATTCGGACTTCTTAGTATTTTCCTTTCAATTTTCAGCCTTCCGGTGCACAGGAAAATCCCTCATGCGGGGAGGATAGCGAGTGTATGGAAACAAAGAAAATAGATACAGAAAATGCTTTTGGGCTCGAACAAACATCTGGAAGCCCATCAAGGATGTTTTCTTCTTGTGAAAGCCGGGGGAAGCAAACCCTAACGGAGGTAAAATAAAATTCATGATTTCTTCGTCATGGAAAAGATACAATGTATGTGATCTGTAAAGTAATTTTGATCCTTAGGCTGAGAAGGAGGCAAAAAGATTGCGCAGAGTGCTGGCAAACAGAGAGTCAGCGAGAAAGACTATTTTCAGGAGACAGGTTATGTTCTTCTTGTGCACATGTCATATTTTTAGTTCAACAATTGATTGGATTTGTTAGTGATTTAAGCTGTGCTTCTGACAGCACACCCTTGCCCAGTTGAGCCGGGTTCACATAATTTCGTCTTAGGTGACCCCAGTTGGTGACTTATTGCATCTTATATTAAATACCAGTAATGTTATCGAAAAGTAAATTCTCTATGCTCAAATCCTAATCTGTGAGGGTCAGCTCCAATCTGTACTCATAAATTATTATTTGTCTCTGAGGCAGTAAAGTAGCAGTAAGAGAAGCCAAACCAATATGTGTATAATATGCATTTTAAATTTTAATTACACTGGTGAGTAAATTTTAATGCGGCATTCCAATGCCCATTATTTATTTCTGGAAAGAAGCAGGGGCTTTCGGATATCATGCCGGTCATTTAATGGTCAGAGCTGTGGGTTCGGGGTGGCTGGATTCATCACCACCCAGGGATTGCCTCTTTTCCTTCTCTTGCATAACTGGTTTGTAATTTCATTTTCTTGGTTGGCAGGCTCGTTTTGAAGAGTTGGCGAAAAGGGCTTCTGAATTATCACTGGAGAACGAAAAAATAAAAATGGTAAAAAAATATATCATTCGAAATTTTACTTGGTCATCTTTTTTTCCTGCTTTTATTAATTCTATGAACATCAGTTCATGCTGGATCGATTCACCTCATGCTGAGAGATCCAGCCGGGCACCTCCATGGCTATGTTATCCCATTATCGTTGATATATCTGCGTCTTCTGTGCTCTTATGGATGGGATCATTCTACCTTAGATTTTCAGAGGGGATTCTCTAATCAGCAGAAGCACGCCACAGATGATCTGGATTTACTTTAACCTTTAACTGCAGGATACTCTAGAAAAACACAAGCTGTGCTAAAAAAATTCGATTTTGCAAGAAAGCATGTTCTCTACATTCATCCTCGAAATTACGATGATGTGGACGATTACGTAGCTCATTCAAATATGTATGTGGCATCTGAACAGGAAAAGGCACTACTTATGGAAGAATATTCGTCACTTAGAGGCACAAACATACGATTGAGGGAGCAGGTAATTTGGTCAATCAGAGAAGTTTCCGGCATCTTTCTGGGGAGGCATGGTCCCATCTACGGGTTCTTTTTCTGCGGATTTTTTTCTTTCATAGATCAAGCTCCTCTCACTGGTGATCACTTCATTCAGATGGCTAGGTTGAACTTTGAGGTGAAGGAAGATCCATCGGGTTCAGCTTCTATTAAGCCAGAGTCACCAACTCCCTCATCAACCATCAGCTCATTGGTGGCGTTTGGCATCTCCCCTCTGCCACAACATTCCGCAGAACTTCAGACTGCTAAGCTTTTGAGTTCCACGTGTCACGACTCTCAGCATGCCAGCTTCTTCCGTGCTCGAGGAGCATGTTCTCTCCAAACTTCGGGCACGTTAGTGCCTCAGTTTCCCTGGCTCTTTCCGGTTTACTACCCGCCCGCGTCATGGTCTGCTTATTCCGCTCACGGCGGAGGTGAAGAAGGTCCCAAGGAGAGGGAGAAGGAGATGCAGCCGGGTTGCTTGAGTTCTAAGAGCACCGAGGATCTCGGCAAAGACGATGCGAGGATCTCGAGGTCAACCCAGGCAGGAGGTCCGACGTCAGGGACGTCTCAAGTAGTGAATGTCAAGAGAGAATCAGAGGAAGTGCAGCCAGAGGGATGGCGGGGACCGTGCCGTGCTCGTGGGAAGTTGGTGGCGCAATCGGCAGCGACTGAGGCGCGAAAGAGAAGGAAGGAGCTGGCCAGGCGAGGTAGGAAGAGCTGAGGCTCAACGTCGCCCCGAGCCATTTGATACTCATTTACACAGTTTACACAATACAGGACGTGCGAGGTCAGGGAGGCCGTGGTCAGCCTCCCGCTGCATCCTATATACCGCTCAAGGCTTTATACAAGGAGGCTCTGTGAAGTTAGACTTCTAGCAAGAGAGAGAGAGAGAGAGCTGTAGAACCTAGCACACTCTCCTGGCGGGGGAACCTGTTTTGTTTGCTAATAGACCGTAGTCAGCCAACAAGGGAGACCAACCTCCAGGCACAGTCCCGGGGTCCATGAGAGGGCCTCGAGAGTTGATGCTCGATTGGAGGGAGGGAGGGAGGGAGGGATCTATGCGACGACCAGTGTAAGCGAGGCCGTGGAATATAAGGAGCTTTTCCGTCATTGTTTTGCTCTTGATCCTCTTCGCTTCTCCCATGTTTCTTCTCTCTTTCCGCTGCTCCTTCGCTCCTCGTTCCTTCCCCTGCCCCCGTTCTCTGGTTCAGAATAGATCCCACGCTGTGATCCCACGCTGTTCTTGCAGTAGAAATCTGCTCCACAATTTGACTGTTGGTTTGCATGGGTGGTAGTTTCCGTTTCTGTCGGGTCTTGCCTCCCCACACGTTGTGCCTTGGCCCGAGGTCTCTGCGGCGTGATGCTCATTTCCGGAGGCGTCGAACCTTGCGAGACGCCGCTGCCGTTAGCATGGACTTCACGATTCACTGCCCAGGAGTTCCCTCCAGCAACTCGTATGCGTTACCTCTCTCTCTTCCCCCCTCTTCCTATAACTGTAGACAACCGTTGTCGCAGAAGAGGCATCGCCGAGACTACACGTAAAGCTGGCCTTCCATCCGCGGTCTGAACAATGGCTTCATCTAAGAGTTGTTGCTTCCCCATCTTTCTCTACTCCCTCGTTCTGCTCTCCATGGGAGCAACAACGTCGGCTCAGTCCTTGGAGGTGGCTGCTCCGCTCGTCAGGCCCCCGCTGTCTCTTCCCCCCGGCCGTCGGACGGTGACCTGCACGCTGCGACAGTTCCCGTCCTGCTTCCAGGTCAGAGCCCGCTGCCCCGTGGGGTGTCCCACCAGCTGCTTCATGGACTGCACCCTCTGCAAGCCGGTCTGCAGTAAGTTCTCTCCTTCACCTTTGACGTGTTCTCCATGTCCTCTTCCAGCCTCCGTGGCTTCTAAATCATATAACGATCTCACTCTGGCACCTCTCCCTGGCATCTTCACCTTCATAATCAAAGTTCGCAAGAGATGATCTTGCTCATCTTCTCTCTCTCTACACTTACGTTTTTATGCGAGTGTGGGATCGCTGATGCCGCTCTCGTCTCTCCATACCGTAACGAAGACTGTGACCGGCCGGGGGCGGTGTGCCAGGACCCCCGTTTTATCGGCGGCGACGGCATAACCTTCTACTTCCACGGCCAGAGGGACCGAGACTTCTGCCTCGTCACCGACCGACACCTCCACATCAACGCCCACTTCATCGGCAAACGCGTCGGGGCCAACAACCGCGACTTCACCTGGGTGCAATCCCTCGGTGTCCTCTTCCCCGGCCACCACCTCTTCGTCGGCGCCCGGAAGACAGCAGCTTGGGACGACGCCATTGACCGCCTTGAGCTCGCCTTCGACGGCGAGCCCATCAAGCTCCCTCCCGCGGAGGGCGCCGAGTGGCATAGCCAGACTGCACCGCACATATCACTCACGAGGACCCGAGATGCCAACGGCGTGGCGGTGGGGGTCGTCGCCCAGTTCGCCATAAATGCGGTCGTGGTACCCATCACGGAGGAGGACTCGAAGCGCCATGGGTACAACATCACAGACGAGGACTGCTTCGCTCACCTGGACCTGGTTTTCACCTTCTACAATTTGACGGACGACGTCCACGGCATCTTGGGACAGACCTACCGGAAGAACAACCCCAGCAGAGCCAGGATGGACGTGGCGGTGCCGGTCCTCGGCGGCGAGAAGGAGTTCGCCACGTCGGGCATATTCTCCACCGACTGTCTCGCCGCCAGATTCCAGGCCGGCGGAGCTGCGGCGGTCGAAAAGATGGGAAAGGAGCACGAGAACATGGGGACGCCAAGGACGACGATGCAGTGCCACAGCCGCCGCGCCAGCGGATATGGGATGGCCTGCACGCGGTAGGCCACAGCGACGGAGCACGAGAGAAGGCACGGCACAATAAGTTGTTTCAGGTTTTCTTGGTGGAGGTGGGGGTGGAGGACAGGGTGGGTTCTGCATCATCAGTTGGCCCGGCCCTCTTTGAAGTTTCCGCAGGCTTCGTCCTACCCTACCAAAAACCCAGACGGGGACTACAAGAAGACAGCAAAGACAAATGGGGCTGACGGTAACCTGATACAACAAGAATGAAGAAAAGTTTGCCGCATATATTTGCAAGTGCCTGCAATGGGCTGACAGCAAACGCCTCGCGAGCGTCCCCCCCCGCAACGTTACAAGACGATGATCCGCGAGGTCTTGAGAGCAGCCCCATAGCCAGTGTGGATATAATATTATTAACATATGATTGTGTATCCAACCGATCATTTTCAGACGATTAGTCTTCCTACGATAAAAACCTCAATCAAGAAGTCTTGGTGGGCATGAGCGACCGAAGGCCCGGGTCAACGGGGGATGCACAAGCAGACGTGGAGCTCGTCGTAGCGAAAAGCCTTCAGTGGGCTTTTCTGGCCGCGCGTTACGGGCCGCTTTGCTATTTCCCAAGTAGCCCCTTGGGCTCCCAAATCTTTATCAGAGTCCATCATTTTGGCACGACGTTCTGCGGCCTCTCCCAATTTGCCGGCCGCCGTCGGTATCCCAAAGAGTAGAGGGGCTAATTCGGCGCCACGTGCCCGATCGCGCCGCCTCTTTCCATGTGCTCAGTATTTCGGCACGTGTCAAGGGTGGGGGAAGTCGTTCTTTCAGTGATGAGTCTTTGACTTTTGAAGTCCCTTCCGCCGTCGTCGGCGACCGACTGAGCGAATGGCACCGAGATGCGAAAAGGATCGGCCATGATCGCGACGTCTGCAGCTGCCGCAGGCCCCGTTCCCACTTGCTGCTCCACGGTGGCCCTGATGGAGTGGCTGAACGGGGCTGGTGAGCCGGAGCAGGCTCTGTGAAGGACTCCGGCTCTGCTCCATCTTCGAGCACACTTACGTTACGGCTCAGCCGTCGCCATCTCTAGCACCGTCTTCTTATGCTCGGATAGCTCCCTTCCATCAATCTGTTTCTCGGGCCCCACGTGTATGCGTCTGGAGACGCTCGCTCACAGGGGAAGGCCTCTCCATGCCCTGGAGGTGGGGAGGAAACATCGTCGGTGCCGCTTGGTGCCACTGAGGTCTCCGTGTTTATCACGGTCCGTAGCATGCGCCGGCTGCTGACCTTCCATTTTGCCGCCTCCCCAGGCCGCGAATCCGGCCCTGGTTCAGGCATCTCGGCTACTCCGATGCTATAGAGATCTTCCGCCGGAGACTTTTAATGCTCCTATCTCGAGATGGGTTCCCCGTGAGAAGGACCGTCGAGATCAACTTTGAGCGAAAGAAGTGCCGTGACACCCATGCTGCTGGAACGAGGTTCTGGGCACCCACAAAAAACGCGTCGCCGCTTACGTCAGGCCGTGCCCCCTTTGCAAGGAAACCTTAGACTGACAACCCCATGATAGATGCGATCCACTTGGGAAGTAAAAGTATGGTAGTTTTCGTAGAAACGGGGGGACTTTGTTGAGAATTCTCACACTGTTTCGAATGTTTTCGAGCCTCGAGAGACCACCTACCCTCTAAACCCGAACAATGTCCGACGAATAGAAGATCGATTGCATGTTAAGAATAATCTTGAGAAACCCCTCGAGGCTCAGAGCCCACGCCTTAGACTTCATAGGGCTCTTGTTCATTCCGATACATCGCACGCCGGAAGTGTCCGAAGAAGAACACAACGAATCAGACTTGGAAGTGTGGCGTCCGGTTGGGTCCACACATCTCTTTGCGTTGATCGCGAGACAGATTGTATAACCCGGTTTACGCGTGCAGTGATGACTTGCCCATGCACCAGTATGATCGTCATCAACAACCAAAGATCTTTGATTACGAAGATGACCCAACTCCGCTCGCTGCCAATTAATTTTACAAGGTTGGATGATCAAAATATTTTTAAGTCGCAATGAATTCTTTACTCGAGTGTGAGGAGCATGTTAAGATTTTTTTTATGAAATCGTGTATTATTTATCACGATTAAATATACCAACATAAAGACGAGTCCACTCCATTAATTACTACCCACTTTTAATCGGACGGTCCAACCGCTCGAACGATAAGGAGTTGGAGTTAAGAGAGAGAGGAAAGTTGACTTTTTGGCATTAATGACCTATGTTAATGTAAGCATTATCTAGGGGAAAATTCCAAGTTGGCTCCGGTAGTATCTTAGAATATTCTTAATCCATGTTGAGCTGAGGTTACTCAAACGTGCAAAAAAGGACTTGGCAAACCACGTCAAACACGTGCGAACCTGCTCCCAAAAGTCGTCGCTCGTCCTTCTTCCCGGCCACCGCCAATTTGTCTCGCTCTGGAAACACTTCCCTTACTTTACGTGAAAGATTAAAAGTATTCGTCCTGCCGATGACTGCTGTTTGAACTGACGCCATCGGCATCAACACTGCTCTCTCCCCCCCTGGTGCCCCTCCCTCCCTCCCACCTCGTAAATGTTGCTTAGATCTCGACCTCGGCGGGGATGGAGCAATGGCCGTCCCCAACCTGCGGTGACCAAGATGGGCGACGGGCGACCCGATCTTCCTGTTCAATTCATTCTCGATGCTCGATCAGCCAGACTATCACGTGGGCTCGGTGTCCTGCTTGTGTCACGGTGGCGATCTCTATCCATATCCCGCATCATCTTTCTAAGAGTTTAATAATATATGTAGTTACTCTAGAAGTGCAATAGCGCACTCGACCTTCCTCGGGTTTGAAACCCTCCTCTAATACGCTCCATAATTACTCGAGACCATGCTCGAATAAATATGTGGTGTATCTTTCTTTTCTTCTGGGCAGTTCTCGAACATGCGGCCCATACCGGGAAGTGCCCTCAGTCCACGATTAGTTCGATAATCGTGTCAGAAAGAGGAGATCGCAATCGGCGAGAAGATCTACGTTGACTTTTCCAAATGCAAGTGACCCACACAATTTCCCGACTTGCCATAATATCGAGATTTTCTATCGGTCAAACAATCATGATTTCTTTGCCGCTTCGTTATTCCCAAGAGTCGTCCATTTCTAGGTTAGACTTCTGCCTCCTTTCTTGACTGGGTCGTCTTTCGGCACTTCGCGACCACGCATCCTACGACGTCGACTTAGTCACGGAGTATTGACTCAAGCACATCAAATGACCGCAGACCGTCTTCAGACCCATTCCTCAAGTAGCCATATCTAGACAACCCCCATTTGCCCGATATAATAGAAATACGGGACCTATATGGCGTATACGGATGCACATCAAGCCTTTTTTGCGTCTACCATAACGCCAGTGCAACGACTGCTCGGTACGTAAATCCGCGCTTCAAAACACGACCGGACCCTCTCCCTCTCTCTCTCTCTCTCTCTCTCAATGGAGATCTATATCCATCTCTCTCACGATGTCAGTACCAGAATCGAGGGGTTGTCTGAACCGGACTCTCTCTGTGAAGCTTCCACTAGTCGACAAAGTAGTGCACCACCTTCCACGATCTCATAAAAAGTTGAAGGCGCGCGTGCGACATATCTTCTGGAAGACGGGAGAGGAGGCAAGTTGCACTCACGGGACCTTGCTCGCCAGCCCGGCAGAAAGCGACGACAGCGGATGACCGATACGGCAAGTTGCAGTCTCTCCTCTTGGCGCACACGACGAGGACATGTTGTGGGAAGAGGGATGGGGATCCGTAGTCCACATGCCGCTCGTGCTTGTTCACTTTTTCTTCTCCCAATCAATTTACGTTCTCTCCGGGAAAGCCATCCCGTTTGGAAACTGAGAGCTACAGCGGCAGCGGCGTGCGATGGCTCGACTCCATCTGTCGGCAAAGGGCGGGGCCTCCGCCGATTCTCCATTGCTGGCGTGGATACTTTCCTCGAACTCCGGGTGAACGGTAGGCCTGATGCGTAGAAAACCTCCGAGGTCATCTCCTGCAGCGGGCCGCTATCTTACTTCGAAGGGTATCTGGAAGATAGGACCGCCTTCCACAGATGAGGTGGCCAGCTACCGTGTTGAGAGGCCCTCCCATTACTCCCCTCTGAAGCAAGCTATTCATGCAGATCGTACCTGTCCAAATCTTGGACTGCTACTTTTCTTAACGTTCCCGTCGACGAAGATGTCACCAAATACAGTGACATGAACGGAAATTTCGTCTTTGGAGAATCTAACTTTTTGCGAAAACTAAACTGAAGTGCAAGAAACAAGAACTCCTTTTCTTTTTAAATCCAGAAACTCTACCCGATGTCGGAGAACTGCTTTCTCGATGATTTTGAAACCGATGAGATAATCCGATTTTACATTCGACAACACTATTTAGCATAGTAATGACATACTCCGACAGTCCAAGTAATGAAAACGATCAGATGTTTAAAAACCCTCCATGGTACATCCCAAGAGAAGGCGGGGTCCGCATCGAGGTCATTAAAGCTCTGAAACAGACGCTGATTTCCCGCTGTCGCGGTTATAAGAAGTATTCTTCGCTTAGAACCTTGGATTCTCTTATGCCCGTATCTCGCCAATCCTAAACGATACTTCGATGGCTCGTTTTCAGTTGAATGCCCGCCCTGAGAGATCACACCAGAGAGTGATATCCCTCTCGAGTAGAAAACCTCTGAGTGGACGAGAGTGGAGATGGGTCTACTTTTGCATCGCATAAAGTTGGCCTCAAATAATTTTCTTACACGACTCTGAAGACCCCTCAGAGTTATTTAAAGTTGATCTTCTTGATAATCACAATAATGACGAACGTGGAACAGAAGACGGAGATCGGAGTAACGTAGTTCTGGTCGGAACCTCGCAAGGTCCGGCGGATATTATTGTTCGGCTTGGCTGGAATCGTTCGAGACCTCCCGGTAGAGAGGGGGTTTCTGCAACGGTCTACATCTTATAGAATAAAAGACCCCCTGCTGGACTATGAGAATGGAGGTCCCAGTTGGCTGGCTGACCGCCCGCCTCCATCATCCTGATCTGCATTCCGTGGGGTGGCGGGCCCGGACGACGACAGGGAGGCCTCCGACGATAGAAGCGGTGAGCCCAGACGCGAACTTGGGAGTAGGACCGTCGACAAGGGCCTCCACTCTGAACCGCGGGACGACCGCCGCCACCACGCTCTTCATCTCCGTCACCGCCAGCTCCTTGCCGACGCAGATCCGCGAGCCAGCGTGGAAGACTGAGTACCTGAAGGGGCTCTGCGGCATGAAGACTCCATCCTTATCGAACCACCTCTCGGGCCGGAACTCTAAGCAGTCCTCTCCCCATATCTCCTCCATTCGTCCCATGGCATAAGCATGGTACGTCAGACGAGTGCCCTTCCGAACGAAGGTGCCATCAGGGAGGATGTCATCCTCCACGGCGAACCTAGAGTCGAACTGCACCGGCGGGTAAACCCGCATGCTCTCGTACAAAGCCGCGTGCAAGTACTCCATCCTCCCGAGCTGCTCGAAAGTCGGTTCTCGCTCCTTTGAAACTCCTCCTTCCTCACAAGTCTCATCTTCGATACCTCCTCTGGCCGTGGCTCGGCTTATGTCTTCCAATATCTTGGCCTCCACGTGGGGGTGCTTGGAGAGGAGGAAGAAGAAAGCGGTGAGTCCAGAGGCGACGGTGTCGCGGCCGGCGAGAAGGAAGCTGATAACGATGTCCCGGAGGTACTGCTCGTCGTCTGTGGAACCGAGGAAACGACTGAGGAGGTCCCTGCCGGAGGCCGACGCCCCACCGTTCCGCCGCTGCCGGATGACTTCCCGTGCCAGGACGTCGACAAGACGGATAGCCCGTCTGAGCTCCTTCTCCAAACCCAGGTTGAGAAGGCGCTTCAGCTTCCACACAAGAGGCGAGGGCGAGAGGGCCCGTGAAGCGGACAGCCTCGAGGCCTTGTCGAAGGCAACCGCAAACTCCGATAGCGGCTGACCGAGCTCCAGGCATCTGTGGTCGACATCGAAAGAGATCTTGCAGATGGTGTCGAACGAGAAGCGGCGGAACACGTCCTGCAAGTCGATGACGGAGCAGCTTCCTGCCTGGTGGGGAGAGTTCGCAACGGACGACAGCAGGGGGAGGAGGCGGTGGCGGAGCTCGCCAGAGATTATCTGGAAGGCGTACGAGCGGACGGAGACGCTGCCGAGCTCGAGGCTGGCCATCTTCCGCTGGAAGAGCCAGGAATCGCCGTCGACGGCGAAGATGCCGCGGCCGAGGAGATCGCCGAGAATGGACGAGAAGGTCTTTCCCTTGGGGTAGTTGTCGAACCGGGTCTTGAGCATGTGCTCAACGGTAGCCGGTTCCGCAGTTATGGTGTTGCCGAGCACGTGGATGTGGATGGTGCGCGTCGGCGATTGGCGGAGGAGGTGGGCGTGCCAGTCGACGAGATTCTCGAAGCCCTCGTCGGCCCAGCTGGAGGACATGTATGCGCAGCAGATGTCGCAGGTGCACCACCTCCGCCACCGGAGCACCACCAGCAAAAGAGAGAAGACGAGGAAGACGGCGGCGAAGGAGAAGAACGCCAGGGATATGGAGCTCTGCAGTTTTGGGGGCTGCGTCAGGGATTCCATCACCGCTGTCGATGGAGGATGTTGTCGAGCCGGCGTTGAGGATGGGGTGGGCAGCTCCCCCTTTAAGCGCGAGAGGTGCCCATCCTTTCTCACATGGGTAACTCGTGCTTGAAAGGACAGAGAGAGAGAGAGAGAGAGAGAGAGAGAGAGAGAGAGAGAGGCCGTCCGACGACAAAGTCTCGGCGAACATGAAAATCAATTAATCTCAAAACACATATTAGCGACTAATTACGCCGACGAATTCCTCCCATCAACTTAAGACCAGCTCAGTCATACGGCCGACTACTTCTTCTCCATCCTCTTTGAACCATTCAATCAATCACCCGATCCTCTCCTACCCGACGCAGCCGCACGTGCTAAATCCTATCTGATCTCCGGGCGGCCAGAGAAGGAGCAGTCGATATAAACAAAGCGTGGAATGCATGGTCCAGGATGACACCGTGATAAAACAATTACTACGGACACAGATGAGCAGGGGGACCCGTGAGGCGAAAGAGGACAATGACTGGGCGGGCAGGAGTCCACAGGCTCCCCATCCTCTGCCTTCGGATGAGCTTCTATGGTCGAGCGTTGAGGCCAAGACACCTGGGATCGGGCTGCCGGGACAGATCATTCGCGCCAGGCGTCAATCCCATCCCTTCCGATCCTATCAACGGACGACCTGAGGCGCAATTACGTCACCGCGTTGACTAACCAGTTCCTGTCTCTATTCCGTGCATCCTTTGAACTCCCGCTGATTTTCGTCGATTACTCTGGATTTTCTACCGAAGACGGGGGCGAGGAGCTTTGCCGGCCAACGAATCAATCCCTTGGACGTTGACCATACCGAAGTTCTGTCCTTTTCAGGATCCCCCCGTGGGTCCCAGGTCTGTAAAATTTGTGGATGGATTTTAAGCGGTCGTCCTACTATAGTTTATGCTTAATAAGCGGATTATGTGTTACCTGCATCGTCCATCAAGTCGGCTAAGTATAAGCAGCTACTCATACACAGGTACCCGACTTGTTCCATCACATGCCCTAATACTGGGAGGGTCCACCATCGTCACGTAGACAAAAAAATTCAATACCCAACACACTGTATATGCATGCATGCATGCAACTGTATTTAAAAAGTCTTTAATTATTTCTAAGCAGTAAAGAAACCAATATTTTTGCGCCGTTTCACGATAAACGATCTTTCATTGTCGCACCCACCACGTTTCTGGAATCTATGAGTGGGTTGGTCGACGTCGATGCATTTGAATGTCCATGTGGCATGGCGTAGCCAAGAGCAAGACAGCCACTGGGGAGGTGGGCGGGGGGCGTGGCGGCCGCCGCAAAATCGAAACGGGCAACCAAAAGCGAACCTGTCCCAGCGGCGCCAACCCAAGCATGGCCTTGGGAAAAATCGACAGGTATGATATGGTACTAGGATTAGAACCGCGCAAGAACAAACACGTGTCATTTGTGATCGCCGTTTTCTTCTCCAACGCGTGTAAAGGAACTTGAGGGCCACCCGGATCAGCGGCGTAGATCCCTGCGGCGGATGGCGGCCGTCCTTTCTTTGGCTTCCCCGAGCAAAAAAAAATGCGCCGCGCACTTTTTCTTCGGGGGGAACGCCTGCAGGTGGGGCCAATTGAAGCCCGGCTTGATTCCGGATGGCTTTCACTAGGGTGGAGATCGGGCTTGGGCACTCGCTGAGGCATGGGGGGAGGGAACCCGCAGCAACACTGGAAGGGAAAGAGAGAGAGAGAGAGAGAGAGAGAGAGAGAGAGAGAGAGAGAGAGAGAGAGAGAGAGAGAGAGAGAGAGAGAGATATGTATCACGTGATGATTCACGTCGTGAGAAAAATCGTACTTTCCAGTGGATATTATCCGAGCTGGATCGGTCCCGTTCTTCCTCCGTCTAATTCTGGAGCTCAATCAGGACCAACTAAATAATTCCATCCATGTGAACGATTTCGATTGGCCAGCAACCACCTCCGAGGCTCAAGCCACGACGAAAACATGACGGCTGTCCATCGGCGGGTCTCCCCGCAAGGCCTCTCCGGTCCTCAAGAATCGGCGCGTTCGCCGGATTATGACAGCGAGCGTTTTACGCAATGCCGACTGGAACCCCCACCGCTGTCGGGCCAGTGTTGGGGGCCGGTCAGCGTCACTGGCGCAAATAGCGGCGCCGCTTGTCTCTGGCGCCGCCTGGCCTGACAGGGCGAGCCCAGCCGAATAAGGGACCGACAGATGTCTCCATTGCGTGGCATGCTCCACTTCCTTCGTCGCGTTTAGTAGGTGTCTATCCGACTGAAGGTCGCCTACCACTCTGCCCTTCTGCGGCCACGCTTGGGGATCACGCTCCTCCTCCACCATACAACTGAAAGAACACCAGAAGTCCTCTCTCTCTCTCGCAATAAATGGAGACAACAGGAGGGAGGGACCACCAACATCACCCATTTGGTAGGCCATTTATTACGGGGAGAGTTTCTGAGGTGACGATGGGACGCCGGAAAGCTCAGTCCCAGCCGCAGCGGCCGTGCCAACACCTACACTCCTCTAGGCTTTCGTTGTACAGATCAGGGCTGGTCAAAGGAAAGAGAACCAGGAGGAAGCCCGCCACACCAACCGCGAACCCGACCCTCGTCAACCCTGGAAAGAAGAAGATGCATGCATGCTTATACATCAGCGTTATAGATATAATAGTACTATATATAGTATTATATAAGATGAGCGTACGTCGCCGCTGACCTTTCGCCTGAGAGGACGATACAGCGGGGAGGCCCATCATGTTGCAGAATACGTGAGCCATGATGGGGCATATCAAGTTCCCTGCTAAACAAACGGCGTCCATGTTTACGAATTTCGTCCGCAATACTAATCCAAAGAAAAAAAAAAGAAGAGATTTTTGTGTTGTGGGGTAGTTCGTTCTGTGTTGTTGAGCCCGAACGGTTCTTGAACCTGCTCGGGCCCATCAAATATTTATGTCATTGCCCCCTGGTGATCTGTGGAATGTGCGAGAAAGTTTTCACTAGAGCGCAGCTCACAGATGCCGGTGGAGAAGACAACCCGGCAGCTGGTGTAGTTTCATAGAGCGCCAAAGAAATGCCCAAAGATAAAAGCGCCCCGACGTAGATTGATAAAAGGATCTATGGGAGACGACGAACCTGTACGAAGAAATAGGAACGACGCGTACCCTCCAAAGATCACAGTGTAGCCAAGCTGGAGACCTGCGGGCAAAGATCATTACTACGCAGATAAATAAACGGGCAGCGGCCCCTGAGAGGAAAAATGAATATAAAAAAATGGGATGGCCGGGCTATGTATCCCAAGCGGCTAGATCCGTCTCCACGGGGGAGAAAACTTAGGGGCCTATGGCGTCATGACCCCATGGCACTTGCAATGGAAGCATTCTGAATGAGGGGAGAGAGAGAGAGAGAGAGAGAGAGAGAGAGAGAGAGAGAGAGAGAGAGAGAGAGAGAGAGAGAGAGAGAGAGAGCGGTGATAATCAACGCTACCATAACTCAATCCGGGAACCATATTAAAAGTATTTTGCAATATCCTCTTTGCAACCATATTAAAAGCAGAACCCAAGTGGTAGATCAGCAAGAAAGAGTAAGTACCAACGACCATGGAAGCACGGAGAAAGCTGTATCCTCTTTGGCAATACAGCTCCAGAAAGTGATTTAGATGCGCTGGAAGGAGAGGAAAAGGATTAGTATACTCATTAAAGAAGAGCAGTCTAGAGAGGAGTAAGCTGGGAAGACACCAAAGTATGATTAACTCTGTAACGTTGGATGAGTAACTTTCAGATGAAGAACCGAATACATGAGCTTTCTTATTACTAAAGGTGGTTCCATAAAGGCAATAAAAGGGCGTAAAGAAAGGCCAGATATAACGTTTCTACCAAGTTGGCGGGTAAGTCTGCTCCATCACGCCGTAATGCATCAAATAAACTATTCTAGTCAACTACTATGGCCTTGTAAGCAGATCTCGCTAGAATGCCATCTCTTGCATGCGGACTAGATTTACAGCAGGGCCTGTAAATTCTGCGGGAACCCTAATGCGAGGCATGGACCAAAAAATTTGGGATAGCAAAAAATACTAAAATCAAAACTTGATGGGAATGGAAAGTGCAACTCTGGACCTTAGTTAAGCCTGGCGATCCAAGACGGACATTACCAGCTAGAAAACGAGAAAGAAAGTGGACTTCAAGCGGCCATTTCTTGATCATTGAGAAAGAATTTGAATGTGTGCGGCAGTTCCCCATCACTAGAGGATAAAGACCATCGAGCCGTGATGAAGATAAGCTATTCAAATTCGTTTTTTACACTAATAAATCTTGTCGTCTTTCAACTAATAAAAAAAATTCAATGACATTATTGCACTCCACAAATTCAGCAGTTTACCGAGAAAGAGAGATAATTATTTTTGTTTAAAGGTTTCCTAAAAGAATTGACCAAAGGTTTACCTAAGCTGAAGAAGATGGGGCTGAAAAATATGATACTAAGAGTCTTGAATCCCCCACAAAGAAGCAGAGGAATCATACATGCTCTAAAAACAATCTCTTCTGTAACTGGTGCCTGCCCAAGAATACGATAACGAATGAGGTCTCTCGGGAGAGAGATGAAACAGAGTTAATTATTCAGCACCACTGTTAAGAACAACCACATAATTCCCCGCCCCCAAAGAAAAAAAAAAAGAAAACACAAAAAACGAAAATTTTCCCATAGTAAAAACTACAATGTGATTGAAAGGAAAACAAAAAACAAAATATTATCAGTATCTCAATATCTATATGAATTAAAGAAGTGAGTCCGATCAATTTTAATGTTTCCACAGAAATAAATAGAATCGTCGAACTGATTCAAAATCTATCCAGTGCATTGAATTCCTAGACCAACTTAAAAAGGCGAACTACCTCAGGACGCTTTACCCATCAACTGGCCTCAAATGTCATTAGGAAAATGAGAAGTGGGCACCATTCTAACAACTGGCTAAAGTTTTTCCCAAAATCTCTGGAGCCGTTGCGACCCAAGTCTTAAGCTGGCCAAAGGTTGACTTGTTGCAGAATGATGACATGAAACCAAAATGACGACGACTCACAGATAATTTCCCGTGTTTCAACGAATGCTTCATGGGAGAACTTTCAGGCATCATCCCTGTGATGACAACTTCATTCTACTGCAGTAGCACACAGACACACAGGAAGCGCCTACTGGGACAGGCAAATGTACAAGAGCATTCAAAGCAGCTTGAGCAGGAACTTCTTACCGGCACAACGGAGGCACTTACCACTAAAAAACTACGCCAAAAGAGCATATTAGAACCGACATTCAGGATGCTGTCCAGGATCTGTCGACCTGTGATTTCCATAAGACTCCATCGTGAGCTTGTTTCGGCTTCGACTGGAGACTGAAAAAAGATCACAACTTTCGACACCAAGGATCCGGTGTACACGAGAGAGGTCAACAAGGTGGGAATGAAGACAGCTCGCCACTTCAAGGAAGACGATTACACCGCAGTTTAGAATGATCAATAAGAGGCATTACTCGTCACAGCATGAGAGCAGGATTCCATACCAGATGGTCCAGTCTGATGCCGAAAATTCCGAAAATTGATGGCGCCGGATCGAAGCCCCAAAGCTGAATGGCAATCGCATCAAAAGGGATAAATGATCAGACCCAAGAGCACTGTGGACTCGTCTGGAAACTCTCAGGTGCGGGTTTTGTAAAGGAACAAGGGGTCTCATTAGCGGCGACGCCCTCACCCCGAGAAGGATCGCGCAGGCGAGCATCGATATCAACGAGGCGATGGCAACGCAGATGAAACGGCGGATCAGGAAGCTGTTCACTGTCTTCGGCGGGGGCAGACGGAGGATCAACCCCGGGGCGTAGAGGATCCCCACATAGAGGAGAGACATAGCGGAGCAGGCTCCCACCGCCACTGCGCCCGACACGGAGGCGCCGCTGCCGCCGTCCATCACAGCCCCTTCCATCGCCCCCGCTGGCTGAGCCGCCGGAGAGGGGTTCCGCTGCAACTTGCGACGACACCGCTGCGACGACGATTGTGACCCGGCGAGTCAAGGGGGAAACCTCCGAGTCGGCCCGGCGATTCTGACAGGCACATATGGGCCCGCCCAATAAGCAATGGATCGGCCCGGCCCATTTTATGGGCGGGGTTTGAGCTTTTAGTCTCCCCTTCTAATAGTCAAAAGCGTCCCTGTCCGCCCATTCGTGAACTCAAACGGTCAGTCAGCTTCTCATCGAAGAACCCGTGAGGGGGATGGTCCTGTCTGCCCTCCTACGTCGTCTTGGCCCATGCAAGTCTACTGCGGAAGAGGGAGAGGGAGGGTGTGGGACGAATAGTCAGCCCCATGCAAATCTACGGAGAAGAAAATAGAGAGAGAAAGGGGGAGAGAGAGAGAGAGGATCCCTCCGGAAGAAAAGACCGGAGATGTCTGCGCTGGGGTGGGCTCTGTGACATCTAACCTCACTCACTTCATGGCCTCGAGAAGTGAGGGAATTGCTGTCGAAGGGGGAGGGCCGGGGGCCCGGCACAGGGACGAGACCAGGGCGACAAGCGTCCACCCTACTAGATGCCCTCCCCGCTCCCGCGGTGCCTTGGAAATCCCACGTCGGTGTCGATTGCATTCCCTCACGTAACCTCGTTATCGTCATCCTACCAGCGTCTTCTGTCGGAAGAGAGAGAGAGAGGGGAAGGGAGGGGTCACTAGAAAGGTGAGAGGGCACATTCATTACTCTTGACGGTGGAAGGAGGGAGGGAGGGGGGCCGGCGCTCTCACTGAAACGGGCAGCGAAGGAGCCGTGGATTTGACGCCGGTGACTTGCAGGGCGATCGCCGGGAGCGGGGGGCAAGCGGACGGGCCCCAAGCTTTGCCCTCGCTCTCGCTGAATGCTTCGACCATCTATCCTGTGGAGATCGAGCGTAGATCCATTGGGGTGGACGCTATCTCTCTCTTCGTTACCCCCACGTCTCTCTCTCTCTCTCTCTCTCTCTTCGTCTCTCTCTCCCTCTGCCTCTCTATGTGTGAGTTCCCTAAGCCACGCACACAGATGGTTCGTCCATAGACAGTCGCTGTCCCATGGTACTCGTTAGTTCCCCGGATTATTAACAAATAGAACATGCGTCACCTTTCATTCTCGATAAATTTTGTATTTTTTAAAATATTTTCCTGCAAAATGTTAAAATCTTGTACGGCGAGAAAAATATTCTCATTCAAGGTATGAACTTGTCGATGTGCAGCAGTTCACACATGGCCCCGATATGCATAAACTCCACTAGCTCCCCGACTTGTGAGCTTCTCTTACGCATGTGGAAGTAAAGAGCTGCCCACTCCTGTCGTGTCCGCGGAGGAGGAGCAGGAGCTCATGCGGAGCCATCGTAGAAGAATTGGTCCAGAAGGAAGGAAGAAGGAAAGGAAGATGTGAAGCGACATGGCGATAGTTGGTGCCGAAGCCTCCCAAAGCTTTGTCGATATATAATTCTACACTCACAATGAAGCTCAGTTAGATGGGATAGGAAGATGCGCGTATGGGTGGGAGAGGTGCTAAGTAGGGAGAGAATGCCAACGATGGCCAACGGGCTGCGGCGGAGATGACGGATGGTCGCGGTTAGAAGCCATGGAATCTTCGGTCTCTCCGAATCCATGCTCTCTGTGACGAGATGACAAGCTTGGACCAGGAGGCTCTAGCGCTTCCGTGCGGCCGTCTCTCGCTGGGCGTTGAAGAAGACGGCGGCCACCGGCAGGCCGAGGTCGTTCTCCTCCGCGAACCGCCGCGTGATGAAATGGTCCCTGGTGGATGGCGGCGCCACTGACAGCCGCTTCTCCTGCCTGAAGAGTACGAAGACGAACCTGTGGATGCCGATGAGTGGCCTAGGGCTCTCGTAGCCCACCAGCTCCCTCCCTGTCCCTCGACATCACTGTGCTTATGAGGCTTCTGCATCTGCCAGGGAAACCACAGAAACACAGGCGGATTTCAGGTAGAGATGACCCACCGAAGGAGGCGTCGGTTGTCCCGGGGATGTCTGCCACAATCCTGCGAGAAGTCATCAACTTTCATGAACACAGACGCTCGCTGTGAGCTTGCTTTCTTTTATAAGTTTTCTCACTTGATGGGAGGAGGAGGGCGGGAGTAGGGTTTACCAGTGCAGATGTTCCCTGAGGTAAGGATCGCTGGGACCCGGAACGTCTGGGTCTGTCATTACCTGCGAGAGAGCCGGAGAGGAGCCACTGCACATGAGGATGCCAGATTTCGTCTAGACGAGCGATTGTAATTGAAGATGATGGGGAGAGTGGGTATACCAGGGTGAAGAAGGACCTCATGTCGCCCCCCTGGACCTCGACCCTGGGCCGGGCGGCGACCGTGGAGGGTAAGAACTCGTGGCAGTTGCAGACCAGCTTGTTGCCATTGTAGGAGACCACCATCTTCATGCTGGGGCGGAAGGAGTCGACGACTTCTCCTATCACCCTGACAACAGCGAGAGGCTCCAGGGTTCTCGCCATAGCCGCGGAAGAGTGGGAGAGCTGTTGCAGAGCTCGGGGGAGGAGGGGTTTTATGTGTCTTTGACGGGTGTCCCGGACGGGCTCCCATCTCTATTTATCGTGTTCAGAACCACTGAGGTCTCGAATTTTTCAGGTGCAGACTAATAATTCCAATCAAAATTGACGAGACACAAGGGTGAGGCTGCAGGAACCTCTCTCCCTCTCTCTCTCTCTCTCTCTCTCTCTCTCTCTCTCTCTCTCTCTCTCTCTAGAGAGAGAAGGGGCATTCTCTGCTGGGTCCGGTGCTCTGACTTCTCCAAGTAAGCCTCACTGGGAATGACGACAGACAGACGTCCGCCAACGGGAGGGAGCCTTCGAGGAGCCCTTCCACATGCTCCGTCTGATGCAGGCAACTCTTTCCGTAAACCCAAAGCAGACGTCCGATGCAGGCAGCTCTCTCCCATACACGGAGAAAGACGATGGCTGCGAACGTTCTGGGGCCGCAGATTGACGGGAGAAGCGCCGCTACGGCTTCCGACAGTTGACAGTCTCCACGAAGGAGGCCGAGCGGCAGCGCAAAAGGAGCTCCACTGGACTCACCTCGGTGGACATTTCGACAAAGAAGACCCACTCCCTCTCTGATAGGGCGCGACAGACGTTCATCCCCAGCGTTAGGATGATTACATATTTATGGGATTCCTCCCACCGCTCCGCTGCCTCTTCTTAATGCTCTCTCTCTCTCTCTCTCTCTCTCTCTCTCTCTCTCTCTCTCTGTCTCTGTGCAGCTGACTGTGGTCCGGGAACGGGTATTGTCCCACTCTATCAGTAGAATTATCCTATCAGAAGCCCTATTACCCCGGGCCCTATCAGCTTCCCGGCGACGTGGCGCGTTTTGGAGGATTTTTGTATTCTGAGACTGTTCCTGACGTTGATCCGAGCTCCATGCACTCACCGATCTCGATCCGGTGGCTGTCAGTAGCTTCCCCGTCGACGAGCGCTGCCACCTACGACCGTTGCCATTAGCAGCCGGCGGCTAGGGACTTGGGCGACGGCTAGTCCGCTGATCATTATCTCCACTTCCCCTCGCGGCGGGGGAACGAGAGAGAGAGAGAGAGAGAGAGAGAGTGGGGGTTCTGGTCCCGGTGATGGCGGCGAGAGCGGGGATTCTGGTCCCGGTGTTGGCAGCGCTGCTGGCAGGATGGGCTTACCGACCCGTGCTCCGGCCCCCGCCGCCGAGGATCTGCGGCTCCCCCGGCGGGCCTCCGGTGACCTCCCCCCGCGTCAAGCTCAGCGATGGCCGCTACCTGGCCTACAGGGAGCGGGGCGTTCCCAGGGAGGCGGCTCGCCACCGGATCGTCATCATCCATGGCTTCCGGGACTCCAAGGACATCTCCCTCAACGTCTCTCAGGTTCTCCTCTTTCTCCTCTTCCTCCTCTTCCTCCTTGCGGAACCTGAACGGCAGCTGGATTTGCGCTGCGCAGGAGCTGATGCAGGCACGGGGGGTCTACATCGTCTCCTATGATCGAGCGGGGTACGGCGAGAGCGACCCCAACCCCCGCCGCTCGGCGAGGAGCGATGCCGAGGACATCCAGCAGCTCGCCGACCAGCTGGGCCTCGGGCGCCGGTTCCTCGTGATCGGCATTTCCATGGGCGGCTACTCCGCCTGGAGCTGCATCAAGCACATACCCCACAGGTACAGTTCAACGCTCCCTCTCGTCTTCCTCGTGAGAGTCTGGGTTGCTCGGTCGTTGACTTGCTGGGGTTGTTTATCGCTGCAGGTTGGCCGGGGTGGCCCTGGTCGTCCCCGCCATCAACTACTGGTGGCCGTCTCTCCCGGCGGAGCTCAGCAAGGCGGCCTACCGGCGGCTCGACCGCTCCGACCAACGCACGTTCTGGATCGCCCGCCACGCCCCGTGGCTCCTATACGGGTACCTGAACCAGAAGCTGGTGACTCCCTCCAAACTGATCGCCGGGCACCCCGACGTGTACTGCCCTCAGGACAAGGAGATCCTCCGCGCGCAGGCGGCGAATCCGCCACCGGCGGAGGTACTAAACAACCCCCTCACTCTCTCCTTTCCTCCCCTCCTCTCTCTCTCTCTCTCTCTCTCTCTCTCGCTAAAGCGCTCTCTCGCAGAACACGGTGGTGACGCAGCAGGGGGAGTACGAGTCTCTCCACCGTGACCTGATGGTCCTCACCGGCGACTGGGGGTTCGAGCCGGAGAGCCTCCCGGACCCCTTCGCCGGTGGCGAGGGCTCCGTCCATATCTGGCACGGCTCCGAGGACAGGCTGGTCCCGGTGGACGTGCAGCGGTACGTCGCCGGGAGGATCCCCTGGGTCCGCTACCACGAGTCAGCCGGCGGCGGTCATCTCTTCTTTAATCTCCGCCACTGTAGCGAGGCCATCCTCGAGGCGCTCCTCCCCCACCCCGGCGGCGGCGATGGCGGACCGGAGCAGCCTGCTCCCGGTCCTCCTTCGGGCCCCCTGGACCGAGAGAGAGAGCAGGCGGGGTAGCTCGATCTCTCCTGAAAGAAAGAAGCCAACAAACATAAAGACGCATCGATTACTGCTTCTCTGAAGAATTACAATAAGAGGAAGTTCACCTTCCTCTGTGCTCGTTTATTTGTGTAGCTGGTTGGTAGAGCGTAAATTCGGGACGAACTCAAGAACGAAGGGCAGAGCATAGGACTTTTCGAAAAAAATAAATGGCGGAGTTTATGATCTGTACAGTGAGATCTTGCCATTCATCGGGTGATCCGACCAAAACCCCTAGCCAACGTCACAGAAGACCGATCAGAGCAAGAGATGGTGCAACGGAGAGGTGTTTTTGCTGCCTGCCCGTCTGCCGACTTCTCAGTAGCTCTCCTCCTCTGTTTCAGGCTTTCGGAAATGGTAGCGCAGGCAGTTTATGAGTACCTGCACAGTGATAGATGATAAGCGGAGACCTCAAAAATCCAATATTTAAATGGGTTGAGACTGAACGAGGCATAGTGACTGAGAGCATGATCTGAGCACTGGAGGGGGATCAGATCAGTTGAGAGTAATCAAAAAGAAGAAGAAGAAGGGGGGGAGAGAGAGAGAGAGAGAGAGAGAGAGCGAAGGCTGGTTCCCAGTTCATTTTGGGAGAATTTGTCTGGGTATCCGATCTCCAGATCCATAAAAAGAATGCAGATAAAAGAATACAAAAGGATATATTGATCTGACCAACCAACCCACATGGTTTGACCTTCTTGCAGAGGATGCGCAAAAACGCAAGTCCCAATAAGATTGAGAAACCGGTGAAGAAACATGGTATCCTGGAAGACAAATATATGGCCAATAATTCCAAACTTGTGCATTAGATATGACGGGCATGTTCTACAGGGCCGCTGGCGAAAATGGGATGCCGGAATGCGGGGATAATCGTTCGGGTTTCATGCGTTGCGGGGACTTGAAGGAATTACCTGGGACAGAGAACTGTTCAATGCTGCACCTCGGTAACTGACGTGAAATTTGTCCTTGGCAACTAGACCCTGTTGATCCAAGGGCAATGATTGATAAGTGAACCTCAAAAGCGCTAAGATCAAAACAATGACGGCATACTTCTGTGTCGATTTCCGCCGATTCGACATTTATGTTGATGTCCACCATGATTTTGATGATGTCCATGAGAAGGCCGGGATGATCAGCTGTCTCGATGTACAGCACGCTGGAAAGCAATGGCATTTTTCTCTCATTTTTTTATTGATATTGATATTTTGCAAGGCTGAAAGCAATAACATGCTGACCTAATTACCTAAGGAGATGGTCATGTCCCAGAACCCATTCATATGATTTACGGAACGACAGAGGCCGAAGAAAGGTAAAGAATGTCGTTGTGGACAGATAATTAATTGTGTAATGAAATGGAACATAGACGTCAGGACCACATTCGATGAAATGAAAGGGGCATTACGTCTGCAAAGTTTAATTCAGGATACGTCCCAATAAAAATAAACCAGGGTGGATATGAACATCATGGCGACAGTGAAGAATTCAGATCGAATTTAAAACTGAGGTTTCTATCAGCTGTGACGTAGGTGTAATTAGAAATTTTGGTCGTGAACTTTGGGAGGTCAGAGTCAAACACAGAATTGTCCAAGAAAGAGCTAGAAAAAAATGATCATACTGCGGAGAAGCATGCATAAAACAATTGCAAGAAGTCATTTTCAGTATTAGTGATTTTCATTTTTCCCTCCGGGATCTTCCCTTGTGAATTATATCAACAGCATAGATACACAGAGAGGCATGACCCAAAGACAATATGATGCCAACAGAGTATACCTTCTCTTTGGACCGTCTTCCTGGACATGTATGTGTGTCGCGATATCAACATCAAGCTGAAATTAGATCAATAAATCAGAATCCGTGTAAGAGATCTTCGTTGGAAAGAAAGTCATCCATTACAAAAGATAAAATTTTCACTTAGGGTTTGGATAGACAAATCATGGCTGTATGTTGGAGAATGGTGTTGGTCGCTAAAGAGTATAGAGGAATTTCATGATCACAACTCTTCAATATAAGAGAAATTTAATGGTTTGACTGGACTTATGCGACTCATGTTCGCCTCTAAGACTCGGTTCTTCTTTTATTTAGTTTGAGAAGCACTTTCTTGCATCCTATTTGACAGAAAAATCATGCAAAGAATTCGTTAGTAAAACACCAAACCTGTAACATTCCATTAGTCTCCTCAATAAACGTGGGATAGTATTGGCAAAAATGGAGCCTATAATAATTAGGTTCTGTTGAAAAATAAAAAATAATAATTGGGAAATTATTCCCTTGGTCCGTATAAAGGTCATTCCTTAACGTGAGATCAGATGGGATGTATTTTTGGGAATATATCCTTCCCCACTGGGACGGCGATTTGCATTATCGCTTCCCCTAAACAGTTTAGGATGCATATGGAGCTCAATCTCCTAATTCGAAGAAACAAGTATTATCTTCCGTTTTATCTTCATTCATAGACGGGCCTAACTGAAAAAACAACACATAGGTAAGTACCTCTCTTTCTATATATAATGCATAATCTATTAAAACGCTCCACAAATTTTGGATGAGATTCTCATGGTGCCAAATAACATAAAATTCATCAAATCAAATGTGAGCTTCGAGCAACATAAACGTGACAACATTTGGCAAGATTTTTCTTTGATCATAAAAAATTTGTTCTGAACACTCGAAGATTCCCTTTTGAAAAGACAGTACAGGGAATATTCAACTTTTTTAAGTCATGAAATTCAATCGTCAGCATGCTAATCCGTACATCCAGCTAAGTGAGTCACATGATTGCAATGTCGAAAGATATGAACTTCTAGAACTCGGATACTGTCTTCTGAATTTTAGGCCCATGCCATTTGAGTGAAAAAAAAATGCAGAGCATGAAGTAATATCAAGAGCGTAGACACATGAAGTATCAAGCGGGTTGAACCTTCTTCTCTGGTGGTTTTATTCCAAACGCCTCACCCATTGCCAACTTTTCACTGGATTCCTGGGGAGAGAACATGTCAAACTCGAGATATGGAAGTACATCCTCATCAGTAGTAAATGATTTTTTTAGCCATACCGGGTGATACTTGAGCAAGTTGTTGATTATTGTGAGGCGAATCCTCTCTAACATATCTGGATTCTCAACTTTACGGCCCCTGTCGTGTACGTTAAGTTCATAAAATGAATAAAATGATACATCTCGTACTTATCGGTTCTTTCAACATTACATACAAGAAATGCTTAAAACAATAGTTCAAAACACACTGACACTTAAATATGCCGAAACGGATGACAATGCTATTAATAAGATACATTCAGAGGATTAAAATCACTGTACAATTTTAGCTGATGGTGCACCATCAACAACAGAGCTAACATATACAAGAGAAGTATAAATTGCACTATTCCCTTGCACGAGATTAAAGATATTAACACTCATCTTCAGTGGATATGATTAATATTAACTTCCATTAGTGTAGGCTGGTATCCGAATTCTAACCCTGAAAACCGAATCCACCTATAGGCCCAATAATATAAAAAGAAATTATCTCAAGTTTATCAGAAAGATAAGATAAGTTTCTTTAAAAAAAACACAGAAATGAAAATGTTATAATAACAAAATATAAGCTCCAAATAAAAAAATGATAAAAAATCAAGTAAGACACGAACATTTGTCATCAAATAAGACGAAAAAGCCACAAGGTTTGCTGAACATCAAAGACAAAAAAAAATCAAGGATATATATACACGCAAACATTATCCATTCATTTAAGAATCGACCAAGGACTTACGAGCGTGTAATGAAAAATTTTGTTTTAATTACTGAAGACTCGGTTGTGACAGTTCCTTTCGTCACATGCAACCCCAGATCTTTCAATGCCCTCATCTGTAGAATTAAAAATATCAAAATACACCAAGTATGACAATGGTTATTTTAATCACCACAAACCAGGATGAAAACAAGAGAGGAGATCCAAGGAAAATGTGTCAACCATAATTTTTGCAAATTTCCCTATACAACCGACTAATAGTAGATATCATCCATAATTGACATCATTCAGATAAGAGCATGCTCTAGATCACTTAAAAGAGAAAACAAGTATCATGTCATATGCAAGATTCCTCCCCTGACATTTTCTAGCAGAGTAAACTCGAAGAGGGTTCTATCCTTCAGGTACAGTAACTTAAGCCAAAAGAAGAGAAAAAATCTGGGATTATATAAGCAAGGTCAGATTCAGCTTACTGTGTCAACAAGGGCACCCAAACGATCCCCAAAACTCACTTCTACAACAGTTGCATTCGTATCACCATATTGGTCAATAAGCACAATAGGATTAGGAACAGAATCAGCATCCTGATCAGCCCTTCGCCAAAAGATAGCTTTGTCAGAGGACATTCCGACACGATATGGCCAAATATGTATGCCAAAGAAAGTATTGACGACCAAAACACCACTGACCTGTGAAGAAGATCCCCCTATAACGGTCGCACTAATAGAAAATAGAGGCATCCTCCTACAGCACCAACGAAAGAGAGGAAAAAGAATATTCATATTTAAATGGGTGATACACAATTTTGATATCACAAACATGAACAACTAACCTGACACACAATTCTTAGCATACGATTTTTTTATGAAAATACACTTGAAGAATCAATTAGTGTTGGCAGAGCAGATTCCTTGAAGATTCAGGTTACGCTAATCTCAAAGTAACTGAATGCATAATTGATGTCATTAACATGAAAAACAAACATAATCCGCTAGCATAAATAAAGAGAAACAAGGGTTGATAGATACGGGTAAAATCGAAGGTCCCATGTACTTGATGAACACCTAATCAAACACAAAATCTCCCTCGGCATCGACGAACATGTAGTACGAAATTGCCTTGTTCAAATCAGAATCAATTAGCAAAAATATAACTTATGATGAACCAACTTAAAACAAAAAATAAAACATTACATTTCAGGAAAAGTAGAAACAAAAAGATACAAGCCCACTCTATTTTTCTCGGTGTGGATACTCTATTTTAAATCATTAGAGTAAGATCGTATTTCTGGAGAGCATTCAGATCGAGAAATGCTCTACAGTTATACGAGCAAAACTGAAATATTTGAGAATGTGGGAAAAATTAAAATAAAAAACCAAGTACTACATTTCAATCCGAACTAGCAACGAAATCTACTCTGACGCGTGAAAGCTCCTACCAATTTGGAATGATGAATGACTCAAACTAAAATACTGATAAGAAGATTCATAGTAACTGGACTGGAAATATTCGAGCCCTAACACCAAAACCGATATGACATGGTAAACAGGAAAGACCTAAAAATGAAGCATAAAGATGATTTTAAATCTGTTACAGCTAAAGGAAGCTGAACTGGATAAAAGCAACGACAGCGTATGAAAAAAATACAATTCGTCATAGTTTCCGCGATATTTCATCACGCGAAACTCGAAGCATAATCTGAATAAAATGCAAAGGCACAATGATCTGACGAAAAATCACAAAAGTGTACCGAAACTGACGCCGTCTAACTGCAACTAACAATAAATGCGTGCTAAACTATATCTATAGGGGGAAATTGCTACATCTGCTAAAACATTTAAAACTGATTCATCTAGTTAACTTCGACAACGACAAGTCGCCGAGTGTCATTAATTGCATACTTGAAGAAAGGCTATCAGTTTGACTGTTTAAAGTTGAATCTATCGTCATCGCGAATCGGAAATGTCACAGGACCTCACAACTATTCCACTGACTCCGTCATCATACCGAGGATCCCTCGCTACATAAGCATGAAAATAATACCTAACGTACAAAAAGCGAGGTACATCAAACCGATGGCCGTGATGTTTATCCGAAACTCCGAGTCAGTACGGACCGAACGGAGAACCAAGAAAACAAAACAATATCAGTACAAGAACATCTGGACGACGTTTATCGGTCGAAGTATCCCTTCCCTTGTTCAGAGTAGATCAAGCATTCCATTTCGAACAAAATGGAAGACTCGCGTCGTACCAAGTACGCATTCCACTCAAGGTCAACGCGGGGCATATTCGACACAGTAAATCATCCGAGAAGCGGAATTCCGATCCGACCACAGGAATTCTGAGCCAAACGCATTCGAGACAAATGAGATAAGGTCGGCCGCCGGCCTCACCTCGGGGGCTTCCCGGCGACATCAGTCCGGGCATCTCCGCGACGGTCAGGGGAGATCCGAAAAACCGCGAGTTGAGCCGCCTCCCCGAAGGCTCCCGGACGAGGAAGGCGGCGCGATCGACGGTCGGAGAGGGGGTGCGCCGAGCAGCGGCAGGGGAGGAAGGCGTTCGCCGAGGCCATCTTCTCTCTCTCTCCCTCTCCACCACTGGACTGACAGCAACGGGAGATCGGATCGGTGGGCGAGGATGTGCACCCAGCGGGCCCTTATGTTTGACCGTCCGGAGATTTTCGGGCCCGCGGATACCCAACCGCCAAAATCGGACCGTTTTAAAAAACTAAAACGTTACCGACGGGCCGGGCCGGGCCTGAAACTCGATCCTTCCCCAAGCCAGCCCGCTTTTCTTCAGTGGGACCAGAAATGGGCGCTATAGAACGAAGGGATGCGTAGGGCTGAAAGGGGCGAGGGAGGAGGTGGAGGACAGGAGGAGGGGGGGCTCTTCCCCTTCTGCCGTGGCGTGCTCGGGAATTCCCTGGGTCGATGCTTCGCAGTGTTGTCGCCCGGCGATTCCAGGTTTCTGCATCCGATCTGTGAGCCTTTTTTCTTCTTCTTTTTTCCGATCTGTGTGCCTTGCGCCTTTTCTGGATGGTTGGATTGCGATCGATACCGCTGGAGTGAGGATCTGCGTGGAGAACGAGATCTAGCTCGGACGAGTGTTTTTAGAATCGCAGTCGTCATCTTCCTGGAAGCACGGCTTTGCCCGTCCATCTTCAACTCACCGTATTCCTTCTTCGTCTGCCGCTTGACAGGTCGCCGTCCGGGACGGGGCCGACGAGGAGGCCGCAAATCTGAGGGTCCCCTGATCTGTATTACAGGGGCAATCTGCTGTTATCTGCGCAGTTCCTTTCTGGATTGATTGATTGATTGATTGATCGATCGATGCGGGAGCATTCCCCGCATACGGCGAGGTGTTAGAAAAATGAAAGGCATGGGGCTGTCAAGGTTGATCGGAATGAAGGCAGCGGTGTTGTTCTTGGGATTCCTGTGCACTAGGAACTCTGGAATCGCCCTGGTTCCTGTGTTTCTTCTGCACGCCTCTTTGGTCTCGTCGTTGGTCGCCATTACATCCCATCCATCCCTAAATCTTCCTCTGCTCTTGGGAAAGAGTTCGGATGGGACCTTTCCACTCTGGTCCATCCTCCTATTCGCCCCCTACCTAGTGTTTATCAGGATCTTTGTGTTCCTGAGGAGATTGAAGAGCAGGGAGCCGGTGTACAGTGAAATCATCCAAGGGCTGTACGTTGGAGGATGGCCTTCTTCCCCCCATCACTTGCCGCCCGGCGATCCTGCAGTGATTGATTGCACCTGTGAGCTTCCCAGAAGCTCGGCTCTGTCGAGCAATGCCTACCTGTGCGTTGCTACATGGGACACAAGGGCGCCGCGGCCATCAGAGATCGAATCGGCCGTCCGCTGGGCGTGCAGGAAAAGAGCTCAGAACAATCCCGTGTACATCCACTGTGCTTTTGGTGGGCAGCCTCTCCTTGGTCCATATCTTCCCACCTCCGAGTAGTTCTCGCTGATGTTTTCTTCTTGATCTCATGTTTCGGAGTTTTTTTCTTTGGGTCGTCGTCTTCGACTTTGTGAAGTTGGATTATCATCTTCTGCTCTGACTTTGGCTGGGCGGATGAACACCGGTGCAATGACAGGCCACGGGCGAAGCGTCTGCGTGATGTGCGCTCTCCTGGTGGCGCTGGGCGCCGCCGACGACTGGAAGGCGGCGGAGAGGATGATCATGGAGAGGAGGCCCTTCATCCAGATGAACGCCCTCCACGGGCAGCATCTGGAGGAGTGGTCAAGGCACCGGATTTCTCCCCCACCCAACCGGCGAGGGGCTCTGGGCTCCGCCCCTCTGCCCGGGTCTTCTCTGTGACGACGTCCACAGTAGAGCCCCCCTGCCATGGAGGTGACGATGATGTTCGTTTCGTGGGAAGATCAAGGCGTAGAATGAAGATTGTTTACAGTCAGTCATTCCACGTGGCCGGGCCTGATTTGTGGAACTCTCTTGCTGGATGCCATGTGGGTCCACGTTTAGCGTTGACTTGTAAGTGATCCTTTCTCCAAACTCTGTTGAGAGAGAGAGAGAGAGAAAGAGGGAGAGAGGCTATGCTCCTAAACTTTGAAGTGGGCCTGGCCATGGGCAGAGAGGCCCACTTCAAGCGGGGAAATGCGCGCCCCGGGTCCTCTCACGTGGACCCCTCACGTTCGTCCGATTGGTCCGGCCGAATGACGTCAGCTCGGCAGGCCAGATGGGTCTCTGTGATGATAGAAGACCATTGACTGGGCGTCGCATCCGATGACGTGGAGAGAGAGAATCTAATTCATGTTTCCTCTCAGATCTTGGGAAAAGGCGGGAGTGGGGGGGGGAGACAATCATCATGCCAGCTCTCCTACGATCTTCTCTCCCCGCTGCCGTCCCCTCCCTTGCCTGCCAAGGTTGGACGCCGGATATTTTCCAAACTTTACTAAATACGTATATATGTGCGAATAAATGTAATATTCCCTGCTGAAATAACGCGATGAGCGTGGCGACTCTCTGTGATCATTTCCTGCAACAGAGAAGGGAGAAGCTGGCAATTAACAGGTGTTACGAACACTCTGCATGGTTGCTACAAGCTTAGAGAGAGAGAGAGAGAGAGAGAGAGAGCTTCTTCTACTGGCATTTACACCAAAAGGAGGCCCATCGGGGACAAAAGGGAAGGCAGAGAGAGAAGATGGTCGCCGGAGATGAGATGGCGGCGGCGATCAGGGCTTGCTGTCGCCGGCGTCCTTGAGGAGGGGAGTAGGGGGCGAGCTGGGCTCCGACGAGGAGATCCCCTTGGCGGCGTTGTGGGCCTGGCTGGCCTTGGCGAGCCTCTGCTTCAGCTCGGAGAGCAGGGCCTGGTTCTCCTGGTTCAGCAGCGCCGCCTTCTTCCTCAGCCTCTCGTTCTCCTTGATGATGAAGCAGTTCTGCAGATACAGCTTCGAGTTGATTCTCTCCATCGCGCTCCCTCCCTCCCTCTCTCTCTCTCTCTCTCTCTCTCTCCCCCTCTAACGTCAATCGAAGGGCGAGGCCTGGAGCAGAGATTGAACAATTCGAGAAAGAGAGGCTGCAGTGTTAGCAAGTCTTCGCTACGACTATAACACTATGCAAATATTATAATGCATGGCAGAAAGAATATACCCCCCAACTACAGTAGACCGGAAATCGAGATAGAAAGCCATTTCAGAAGCCATACTCAGATTCCGGAGGTTTTAATTTAATAATACAAGCTTTAAGCATCTAAAACCTATGAATAGATCCGTGTCGAAGATTGGATAATCTATCAGAAGTGCACCGTCGCTCGACATCTTAGAGAGAGAGAGAGAGAGACGGGGAGGGGTCGTCGGCGAGGAGAGTAGGGGAAGGGAACCACTAACCTTGGGGAGGAGGAGAAGGAAGCCCTTTAGAAGATGTGACCGGAGAAGAGTGGAGTTGGAGAAGAACCCGTTGTCTGGCGAGCCTGGGGAGGGCCCGGCGTGGGAGAGAAGAGGAACGGGAGAGAGGGAGTGTGCGCTGGGAGAGATGGAGGTCGTGTGAGGTGCGGAGGGTCGGATTATATAGTGTGAGCTTGAGGTGGGACTGGGAGGCGTCCCTCTCTCTCTCTCTCTCTATAATGATACGAGTGCGAGCGGGGAGGAACCGACCAGCAGAGAGAGGATTTAATGTTGCATGATGACTGATGACGACGATAAAGGCATGAAAGGGAGGTTGAAGAAGAGGGAACCCGAGATGTGATGGCGACACGTGATGCCGGGGCTTCTCTCCTCTCCCCCTACCCCCCCTCCTCCCGCTTCTCCATCTCTCACAACCCGACACTATCTCTCACGCTCTCTCTGCTTCCCTCTCTCTCTCTCTCTCTCTCTCTAACCTTCCGAGCTTTGAGGCTCGGAGAATTCTGAAAATGGAGGATATCCGGGTGATGATGGGTTGGGTCGGCCCAAGATTCGCAATGATGGCTGCCGCGGCCGGCTCGGCTCGCCGCCCCCATCATCATCACTCCTCCTCCTCCCCCCATCGATGATCTTTTGTTCTCACACCTCCTCGGGCGAAATTTAATGGGCATCCCATCGCCTCCTCCTCCTCACCCTCTCTAACTCGACCCCATCCCGGTCGTCTCGTTCATCCCCTCCCAGAGCTCGCTCTTAATACGACCTGCACCTTGCTTCCGCCATCATTGCCTTGCCTCCCCGGGAGGAGGGGAGAGGAGGAAGAAAGGAGGATCTTTGCGCGTGGCCTCCTGTTGGTTCCGCCGTCGTATCCTTCCTCCGGCTCACCGGACGCTCCTGCCCCTCCCCCCCCGTAAAATTTTCAAACCCCGGGATCCCTCTCTAAAATATCGTCACCACAGCTCAGCTCGTATGCTTCCGCTCTGAGAACTGTACCAAGTTCCGCTCCTCCGCAATCTCTCTCTCTCTCGTGAAGCGTGATGACATGGGCGTGACGGAGGGCAGCAGGGGGAGAACATTCGAGTGCGCCCGATCCCATTTTGACTCGCCGTGCCTGGCCTGCCAAAAGCCGCCGCCGGTCAAGGCAACGGCCCCCCCACCCCCATCCTTCGTCTGTCTGCGCGTTTCCTCTTCGGGGCATGTTCTCCGAGATCCACCCCACCGAGACGCCGGCGGAGAGGGGGCGGAAAAAGGCAGCTCGCCGATCTCCAGATCTATCAGTTCCCCCGCGTCCCCATGACTCCCAGTATGTCCCCATCCGTCAGTCACCTCCCCGTCGCCGACAGCGGATGATGAGATGGGTTGAATTGCGCGATCGGCAGAGGCGGAGCTCCTGCCGCTGCAGCGAAGACTTTCACGGCGGTTTCTACAGTTGGAGATCACATCGCCGGCTCCCCCCCATCATTCTCCCCCCCCGACTCTCCGTTGAGGTGGGTTTTCGCCGTCGCCGCCGCCGCCGCGGAGCCCGCCGTCCCGTCGCCGGCGGGCCGCAGGCTCCACGCAGCGAAGATCTGCCGATGTACATCGTTCCCGAAAATCAGGCCGCTAAACTTGCGATCGCGTTGCGATTCTCATCGTTCTCACGGCAGACCGATCTGGGTGCCACCTGGAACAGACATCCTGCAGATAGCCCCGAGGAACATAACGCTTACCATAAATTCGCCCGAAACAGGAACTTCTGATCGTCATATATTTCCTCCGCCATTGAAGGAACACGGCTCGAGTTGTATCGGCCCAGAAGCGCCTCTTTAACTCCAGTTGGGGTGATGCAGAACCCCAAGGAGCAGTAAATACTTTTGATTAAAAACGAAAAATTAAAATTTCAAAATTAAAATTAAAATTAAAACAAAATAAAAAATAGAACATTTAAAACAGAAATGAAAAGTTAAAAAGAAACAAACTAAAAAATTAAAATTAAAATTAAAATTAAGAACAAAAATCTGCTTTTGAAGCTCTGTGCAGCTGCGCAGTTCGAAAATCATCTACCTGATTTCATTTTTTTTGTTTTTTTTCTTTGGGAACGTGCATATCTGTACATTATCTGATAATCTTGAGGGCAGCATTTATTGCCCCACACTCTTTTTTATACCGAGCTCACGAGCATTATCTGATAGATCTTTTTATTGGAGCTTGCTGAAGGTCCCACCTTGAAGTTCACGAAAAATATAGTAAAAACTTTGCATTATTTATGCCGAAACTTACGATTATTCATTCATACAAGTAATCACGAGGGGTGGCGATCCAACATGATATAAAAAGGTCGGAAATACTGGAAGATATATGTATATATATAACGCTGACCATCGAGAGAGCAAGCGATCTCATTCGATGGTCAACAATGCGAGAGATGGTTCAGAAGACCCCTCGATCGGGTCTGCTACAAGTATATTCAATTGAATCGAAGAGAGCAGAGGGAACGTTGGCAAACCCATTAATCGCGATGACGAGAACCATTGAAGGCGAGAGAGAGGGAGCAGGGATCCCTCGAAGCATTCATCGCGTCCACACTGGGAAAAGAGAACAACAGGGGATGAAGACACCCAGACCGGCGAAGGGCATCGGCGGTCCCGCCGCTGACGAACACGAGGGCTGATCTTCTTTGGGAAGCAGGGGGAGAGCCAATCAGAGAGGCGCCGGAGCTTTACTGTAATCAGCTTCTTCGTCGAATGGTCAGATCTTGTCCAGGAGCTTGTCGGCCTTGACGACGGGATTTGCTCGGGCGATGGCTTCCCTGCCGGCAGACTTGAAGTCGAACTCGCAACTGTGCTGCTCAGGGTACCTGTGGGAACCACAGAAGGTGTGCCCGCATCGACACTTGAATCCCGTTAGTCCAGCCCTCTTCGAGCACTCCGTGCACCGCCCCGCCTTCTTCGACGGAGCTGCGGCGACGTCCGCAAGTGGCGCCGCCTCGGACGGCGGCTCTGATGTCGAGGAGAGCTCTACCTTTGGCTTGGACAGAGATGGGAGTGATGGGGATGGGTCCACGTCCAGGGCGGAGGCTGAGGGAAGGAAAGACTTCTCCACCGCCATCTTGGCGGAGGCATCCTGCTCGGCCTTCAGGTGGTGGTCGCGGTAGCATTTGGAGCAGAGGTCGAGGGTCGCAGAGCTGCCGAAGAACCCACAGTTGTTCGCGCAAAGGCGAGGACACTCCGGCGGAGACTGGCACTGCTCCTCCGCCATTTAGTGATCTGCCAGAGGAAAAGAAACACAATATCTTTAAGAGCTTTCCATGCCATTCCAGAAAGAGCAAATTCCCCCAAAACCAAAACAAATACGTTCAAGTAGGTGCGCGAGGAGGAAGGCCATCGCGTCTAACAAATCTCTCAAAGGACGGAGCGGTCGAAGAATCTGAATCGGGAACCACAAACTAGGACAAACATCCATCTATCCTCCCAGACACACACCAGAAGATAACACCAGCAAGAACAATCATAATTTAGATCTGCGCCACAGAGCTCCTCGGTGATATGAAAGAACAAGCACAGGGGAGGCGGGGGGGGTGGGGGGGCGAGCGGTATACCGGCGAGGGGAGGGGAAGGATCTGGAGGCAACAACCGCCGGGAGTGATCTCACCCGGTAGGGCGGCGCTCCTCTCCTCGACTCCTGCTCGGAGCGAATCCTCCGATCACCTCCCACCCCGGAATCGATCGCGGACAACGGAAACGCTTGCTTGAGGAACACGAAGAGCAATAGGAGAGAGAGAGAGAGAGAAGGGGGGGGCTAATATATATAGAGACATAATTTAATAAAATAAATGAAATATTATATTTTAAATGCCCGAGGGGCCGAAACGCCAGGCGCGTGAGTTGGTTCGTGAGCCGATAGAAGTTGGACGACCGGAATTCCACCACCCAACATGAAATTGTGGGCCGATGAGGAGTAACAGCCCATAATGAATGGGCCCCTCGTGGCCCATCTTACCCAGGATGGTCCTCCTGTTCGAGGCCTCCTCTTTCGCCACAGGGACCTCCATATTCTCCGGCACTGGTCTACGGGTTAACCTCTTCGGCGCTCGATCCCGGGGAGCTCCGCCCTCCCATGGAATCCGCAGAGCCTCCGCCGGCGGCTACGGAGACCTCCCCGGTGAAGACGAAGCCGGTTTCCGTACCGTCTTCGGAGACGGCCGCGCTGCAACCGACGACGGTGTCGGCGGCGCCAAATCTCCCGCAGCAGCAGCAGAAAGCCTCGCTACCACCTTCATCGCAGCACCAGACTCTCCCACCGTTATCTTCGTCTATCCCTTCCGAGCCTGTAATTCCAGTTGCCCCCGCCCCCGCTATTAGCCCTCCTTTCCCCTCATTGCAACCCCCCGTAAACCCTCCCTCGCAGCCGCAGCCACAGGTCCAGTCTCAGAGTCAGCTCCAGCCTCAACTCCAGACACAGACACAACCACAGCCCCAAACCCTAGCCGCACATCAAACGGTCGTGCCGCAGCCGCATCCCCAGCTGCTACAGCAGCAACAAACTTTCTCGCAGCAACCCCATCAAAGGCCACCGCAGCCGGGGCGGGCTATTCGGTCCCCGCAATTCCCACCGCATGTCGCTTCTCCTGCTTCCGCCGCCGCCGCCGCCGCCTCCGCCTCCTCCTCCTCCTCTCCCCTGCCTTTGCCTTCCTCTTCAGTCGCATCTTCCTCTGGTCCGCTCCAGAGGCCTGGGATGGCCATCGGCGTTCCCGCCACGCTCCATCACCAAAGGACCCAGCAGCAGAGTCCTGTGCCGTTCTCCTCATTTGGGCCGTCGCCGGCGTTCAACCAAACGTTTAATGGGTTGCCTCGTAGCTCAGTAGGCATGCCAAACCAAGGCTCCAACACCAATACTCAAGTGTGTTTCCTTGCATCATGCCTTTCCCTTTCGCATTTCCTTTATATTAGTACGTTCTTTCAATCAATGTTTCAATGTGGTGCTCGGCATTTATGGCATGATCGTAGGCCTTATGTTGGTATCGTTACAAGTATACTCGTAAGAGTTCTTCCCATGAACTGACTTATGTATCTCTTAAGAGTTCTTCCCATGAACTGACCTATGTATCTCTTACCCTCCTGATTCACTGAAATCCAGTAGTTCTCAATTATCAAATCAATCTGTTTCAATGGAGTATTCCTCTAAAAATCCTTGGGCTATGCGTTATTGTTTAATCCTTGGTCTGTTCTAATTTGGAGCTTTGAAAGTCAACTTCTTGCTTTGCATTTTTCATACCTTTTTGGTGGGTATAAGTGGAAGGAAAAATTCATAGGCCCTATGAACCGGAGATTACCAATGAACATCGAAAAAAAAACCCCACATAAGTTACGACAGCTGTTTTTTTGGCCCTAAATTCTTGCATATTTTATCCTTTGGGGAGTCCTCTGAAAAGTATTCTGGTGGAAATTTTGTATATCTGTGGAGACTCGTGGAATCAGTATGACTGCTTAATTGCAGCGGTTTAACATCATGATGCCGATCCCCATCTCCCATCTTTCATTCTTACTCATTTCATAGTTTCCTTGCGTTTTTTCTTAAAGGTGAGACATCCAGTTCAAACGATTCAGAATCCTGGAGTGGGTGCTCAAGGTACTACCATGCGACCTGGTGGGGTTACTGGGAATCATCAGCAGCGGCCTGCACAGCCTTCTTTGAGATCAGTTTCTCCGTCAAATATTCAGTCTTCAACTAATCATGTGAGTGTCTGTCTTTTGGCTCATCCTTCTTTATCATCTTTTCTTTTCTGGTTCAATTTCTGTGTACCCGTACATCTTTCTCGAATCTCTTGGATAAAGTTTTTTATTAAAAAACAAACAAAGAAAAAGTCGATGGTCTTGTTTTATTAGCCTGATATATTGATGCTCTGGGACGTCTTTTTAACGATGATGTGTGATAATCTTGATGTATATCTTTTAGCACGTATCATGGAGATATTAACTTCATTTTTCGATTCCAACGCATGTGTGAGCCGTTATATATGATACTCGGACCTATTTGTGTCTTTCTGATTTACCTCTTTTTATCTTAAAGAGGGGACATGAAAAATAATTCTTCACTTGCGGTTACTTTTGGATATTGGAATTCGCTTCTTGGGTTGCTTTCTTACATTTATTTTAATTAATGCTTTTGCAGAAGTTTCAGCCTGGTTCATTTCGAGGGCCCTCTGTGTCTTCTCCGAGTTCTCCATCACCCAGTCAATCCCAGAGTTCTCAACCGCATCAGCAGCCTTGGATGACTGCCCAAGGAAGACCAGCTAACCCTGGCTCCTTATCTTCCCCCTCGTTCAGGGCACAGAGCAGGCCACAGTTGTCACAGCAAAGACCACACCAACCACAACAACCGTCTATGCCAACATCGTTACACCAGCAGCAGATATCAGGTTCACAGCAACAGCAGAATCAGAAACAACTGCTGCAGCAACAACAGCAACAGCAATCACAACAGCAGCAGCAACAGCAGACGCCATTGATACAGCTACAGCAGCAACAGCAGGCGTTGCAGCCACCTCAGTCGCTGCCAAAAGCCCAGCAAGCTGTGCATCAACAACAGCAGTTATCTCGATCAGCAGGTCAGAAGTCACTGGTTCCAGCATCAATGCAGTCAGGAGCCACCCAGCCTGGCTCCTTCCCTCCAACATCTGGAACAGATGATGGTGAATCCAGTAATCACATCCTCAGCAAAAGAAGCATACGTGACTTAGTTGCTCAGGTGAGCTATGGTGCACCCTCCTTTTTATCCGGTGCCATTTTATGTAAATGCATCAAATACTTAAAAAGGAAAACAAAGGCAGCGTTGTTAGTTTTGGTTTTAACCATCAGTTAAATTATACTAATCGATTCCTCAAAATTCAAAGCGAATACTAGAGAATTTTTTTAACTCCACTTCCTGGCCGTTAAAGAAAAGTCTTTTACCACAAAGCAGCGTTTCTACTTTATTTTATTACTTGATCTCACGGTTCTCTCTCTCTCTGCTTGACTGAATCCATTCTAAGTCATTCTGGCATCTGCTATTTTCTGCTGTTAAACTTTTTCTCCTTGCCATCAAATAATTATTTGGCCACATTTCTCATCGTAATTTTTTGATGATGTTCTAATCCCTTTATTTTTTTGGGACTGTCCAAGACTCTATATATAGCGTTAAAAATCATGCCATTGCGGTCAGATAATTGCATTGCTATTGTACCAATTGTTTTTTTTCCTGTTCTCTACATCATGCCAAGTTTTTAATAGCACAAGTTGCTGTTTTAGGAATTATTTTCACGTACAGAAAACAGGTTGAGCTTGACTTATTAATTCCTGTTGGGGGAAGACAGCATAAGCCATGTAACCATTTGTGTTTCTAGTTGGATTTTTCGTCGCATTAAATGCTCGATGTTGATATATTCAATGAAGTCTTGTTGGTATTGGGGGGGCAGACTACAGAAGTTGCCTCATATATATCAATAAATATGTATCTGTTGTCAATGAAAATGACATGTATAGTACACCCTCTCTTGACATTTGGACTGACGTAATAATCTGCCATTTAGTCTTCTTCTTCATTCGAGTCCTACTTGCCATCTTCTCATTGAAAATTCTACCCTAAAATGCTTTCTCGCACGCTACATATGCATATAATAACATGGGAATCAAGTCTGAGGAGCCTTTTGATTGGCTATTTTGTTATAACTATGGGGCGGAGGAATTTGAACAGTATTCCGGTAATATTCTAGAATAGACTCTTCGTTTCGTAATCAATCGTTCATCTGGAAATCTCTGTGGAATGTTTCAGAATGATTGTGATGAAAGCCTTGGTCAAAGTTTTCTCACCATTTTCACATCTGTTGTGATAGTCAATATGATAAAATGATATTATTGTATTTGAAAAAAGAAGAAGGTGATGCTAGATATAAATTAATGAGCTTTAATCATTTGCCTGCTTCTTAGATTGATCCCTCTGAAAGGCTGGATCCCGAAGTTGAAGATATCCTTGTGGAAGTTGCTGAAGATTTTGTAGAATCTGTGAGTTCTGTGGCCTTCAGTTAAGGATTATTTGTTTTAATTTTTTATTTTTTATTTTTTTGCGTTGATAAACAAACATAATAATTGTGCTCGGCTTGCCTTAGGATTTCTCACATTATAATCTACATAATAGTGTATGGTATTCCCTTTAAGAGACATCACTTGTAATGCCATGCTCAATGCCTGTATTGAACGCTTTCCAATGAAAATGAAGACTGTGGAAGTTCAGTGAGATTTATGTTAATCATCAATTTGCCCTCCAATGCCTGCCTGCAGATTGTATTAGAGCAGAATCAGGTATCCTTTTTCCCCAAAAAGATGGTGATTATTTAAACGTCTTACAATGTAATGGCGGAAAGGACTCAGAATGTTGTTGGATTTCCGTCCTGCATTTACCGCGGATGTAATGGTAAAAAAGGATGCGTTGATCTGGTGTCTCTCTCAGTGGCTCCAGCTTGGCCTCAACCTCTCCTGCTCCACTGCACACTTGATGCTTTTTCTGAAGATTCGAAGCAAATTATGCGAAAATACTGCATATTTCTGAAGATCATTTCTAATTCCTCGAGCTTTCTGGTGTGATGAAAATGTCGTTTACTCTAAAATTGCTGGCGTAATATGTTATGCATTTGTTTTAGTTTTCTGGTGTATCTGATACTCTAATTTCGACTCCTGCACTCATCAGACAGGGGAGATGCTGTTTTGAGTCCATCTGTTATATATATATACATATTTAATTCTACCTTGTTTGTGGATTATGTGTTATTCCTTCAAATTCCTCCATTATCATCGATAGATGTGTTATCTCAATCAAGTAGAAGGTGATGCCATTAGCCGAAAAACAATTCATAAACAACATTGACGTCCCCATATGGTCAATTTCGTACGAGTTGACTCCTATTGAGGAGATGGGGCTTTCAGTTGCACAAAGCAGTTGTTTCTTACTGTTGAGCATTCTCCTATGTGATATAGTCAACGTCTGGTTTTCGCATAAATCCGATTTGACTGCATGAAAAAAAATAGATATTTCACGTTCAATACTTGTACTACTATTGATCTGATTGTAATGCGTTCGATCCAGAGTGGTTGGCTTAAACTCATGAATTTTAGTCTGAAATCATCTTCAGAGTTGTTGGCTGTTTCATGACGATCGTTGATGTAATCTGCAGATAACTACTTTTGGGTGTTCTCTGGCAAAGCATCGGAAGTCAACTACACTGGAAGCCAAGGACATACTTCTTCACCTAGGTGAAGTTCCATGTGCATATTTTCATGGATTCCCTCTCTGGGCTCCTTGGGATTTTGACCAAAACAGACATATGTGGGCATCTCTCTTTATACACAGAGAGGAACTGGAATATGACGATACCCGGCTTCGGCGGAGATGAGATCAAGTGCTACAAGAAACCGGTAAGAGTCTCTGAGTAAACCAACCCGGGGTGAGATGTCAACGGGCTTCCTCTGTGCTTGACCACATGCATCTGGTTGCTTTCTTTGGGATTTGATCTTCAGCTCACGAACGACGTCCACAAGGAGAGGCTTTCATTGGTATGTTCTCCTGGCTTCCTTGGAGATTCAGATCTCCGTAAAAAAAATGTCTCCATCTGTCATATTTATCGCATTAGTTGACCCCCAGATAAAGAAGTCAATGGCCGGAGCTCCTGAACCGGGTAATGCTAAGAGTTCTGCGGCTGGGCAGTCTTCTGGGGGCCACACCAAGAGCCATGCACCGAAGGCGCCCTTGATCGGCTCTCCAAAGCTGGCCTGAAGAGCCGCCCCCCTGCAGCTAGAAATCGCTCTGAGCTTCCTGGGTGCGGGGCTGTAGCCTCTGAGGTCTGTCTCATTGCTCATTCACTCCTGATAATATATATATATATATGGTTTTGATTAATATTTTTCTTGTGATTTTATGGGCCATCGCTCATTTATTTTTCTTTCCCGTTGACTTCTTGGAAAAGGTGAGATGGATGGTGATGAGATGCGAAGAGAAAGAACGGTCGCGATGCTTGGGATCCTTGCAATCCGGGTTCTTGGGCTGCCTCCCGTTGACTTCTTTTCTTTTTTTTTTTGGCGAGGAAAAAACGAATGCGGCTGGAGGTCCCGTTTTGTCCGGTTGATGTTGTTCAGGGATTGAGCCCCCGTTTGATCCGGATCCTTCTCTCTTCTGTTCGGATTATTTTGGCCGCCGAGTCTCGCTCTTAATGGGCCCGTGGATCCGAAGACAACGCTTGTGGGCCCCACACCCGAACCAAGGCAAAATCTGTCCCAGATCCGAAAGAAGCGGCTCGGATTACCGGGACCGTCCGATCGTGAATCAACGGTGGAAACATTCCCTTGCGGGGTCTTATCGATCTCTGAAATCTGCATGAGAGAGAGAGAGAGAGAGAGAGAGCCGGATGAATCCGAATCAAGAAACGGACATCTGACTCGTGACACTTGGGGCCCACTATATTTTACCGTTGCCCTCGCTCCTCCCCTCCGACCGTTACGATTCAAAAACACAGTGTTTCCCTCCTCTCATCCCATGGCCTCCTCCCCCCACTGAGCTGTCACAAAACACGGCGAGCGAGAAAGAGAGAGAGAGAGAGGAGGAAGCGTAGGGATCGGATCGAATGGGCTGCATCTCCTCAAAAATGGCCAGAGAAGATCTCCGGAAGGAGAGGGAACTAGGGGTCAGCGGCGATGGGGGCGGCGTCTTGCCCAACCACATAGTCTCTCTTACCTCCAGCACCTACGGAGTTTTGAAGCTCGACCGCGAGAACGCCGGAGAAGGGGCGGCCATGGAGGAGCGCAGGATGCCTCCGCCCCTCTTCGTCACAGGAGGTCAGAAGAAGGCCACGGCGGAAGAGCCGGAGATCATCAATGCCTGGGAACTCATGGAAGACCTCGACGACGAGATCCCGATGTGCCCGCCGGCGAAGAAGATGCCGGCGAAGACGAAGCCACTCGACGGCGCCGTCACATCCCCGAGGAAGCAGAGGGCAGCCGGCAAGGAGAACCTCTGCAAGCCGGAGCGACTGGATCTCGACCCTTCCCGTGTCCTGAAGCCCATCAGTTCCCCGGGCAGTGGACAGAGGGAGACCCCCAAGTCGATCAAGTCTACTTCCCGCAATTTGAAGATCCAATCCTCCGGCAGAGATTCTGGGGCGAGGAGGAGCTTCAGCCGCAGCCCGCTGTTCGATCCGGAACTCGTCGCCTTCTTCGAGAAGGACCACTGCGAGGAAGGGGCGCAGATCAAGAAGATGATCTCGGGAACTCCCCGGAAGCAGAAGCGAGGAGACGCCGCCGCTCCATACCCGTGGGAAAAATTCGAGAAGAAGTGCCCCCCGGGCGGGGAGGAGTCGGTGGTTCTGTACACGACGACCTTGAGGGGGATCAGAAGGACCTTCGAGGACTGCAACGACGTGAGGGCTACAGTCGAGTCCCATGGGGTGCAGATTGTGGAGAGGGACATCTCGATGGACTCGGGATTCAGGGAGGAGCTCAGGTTGCTGATGGGGAAGAGGGAGGTGAGGGTGCCCCTGCTCTTCGTGAAGGGGAGGCTGCTGGGCGGCGCCGAGGAGGTGCTGAAGTTGGAAGAGGAGGGGAAACTGGAGAAGATGCTGGCCGGAATCCCGCGGGCGGCGGCGTGGTGCGACGGCTGCGGCGGGATGAGGTTCGTCCTGTGCATGGATTGCTGCGGCAGCTGCAAGGTCTTTGATGAGGGGGAGAAGAAGACGGTCAGGTGCGCCGAATGCAACGAGAACGGGTTGATCCGATGCCCCATCTGCGGCTAATTTAGAGCGTTCTTTGCTTGTAGAAATGGAAGGAATGGGGGAGATGTCGATTGCTTCCTGCTGTCCCCATTCCGATTTTTTCACTACATTGAAATCACGTATATACCAAGAGAAATTGGTAGACCCCTCTCTCTCTCTCTCTCTCTCTCTCTCTCTCTCCCCCCCACCCTCTGAAACTACGTCATCCCCAAGAAATGGGATGATCCCAGGCCTGTTTCATGAGGATTCTCTATGTATAAAGTGTACAAAGTTTTTCGGGATCGGGGTTCATTCATCTTTAAAACATTTTAAATGCCGCATAACATAGCAAAAACAGTATCATCCAGTTTGATTGCTGGTTGCTCGTGTGCTGAATTAAGAACAAAAAAATGGATCGAGAGCCACATCGTTAATTCAATCAAGGAAACCCAAAGATGATTACATTACTTGTTCACTATGTTCATCCAAAATAAGTTAGATGACATGCCAAGAAGGTGAGGAGTTGACTTTTTATAGTTTTTACACTACACTAAGATTTTAACGCTTTTTCTTAGATTGTTTTAGGTTGACTCAATTGTTAATAACTAACAAAAAACACTATTTTTCCTAGTCTATGGTCACAAATTGAGGTTCATTCCTCAGTTTTTTCCCTTGACTTCAAACGAGTGAGATATGAAAATGATAAGTCAAAGATTTGTTGAGTCTACCCTAAATTGGAATGCATAATAATTTGTGTTGTCAATGTATTTGATATCTTATTTTTTGATATTCTGATTATAGTGTTTTAAAGTCTCTTTATAGATATGATATTTTGACACTTGTTAATAACCTTAGACTCTAAGTCATATTGGATTCTAGGGATACTTCTCTCTCTCTCTCTCTATCCTAAGGTTAATTGACTTGACTCATGGGTTGTTAATTGATTTTTTTTTGTAATTTTATCTATAAAGTATTTCTTTCATTCCTAATTTATTTTCTTTATCTAGACCTCTTGTTAGATGATTCCTTGTATATATTTATATATGAAAATGACAATAAAACAAAATTGGATTGGATCTAATAGTTTTGATCTTAATCCAACCATTAGTATAGCAAGAAAATAGTTATGATCAAATTTCCTTTTTTATTTTTATTTATCAATGTCAGAATACTTAAAGCAACATGACGCTCTGGTACTCAAGAACCAATCATGTAGGATCCACACTTGATAGTTAGAGCAGTAACGTATGATTATTATTCAATTAATTGGCTTTAAATGATACAATCATACATTCAAAAAAATCCACAATGAACAATGTTTTGACCATTTATAACTCATTTTCACAATCTGGTATAATATCTTAAAGGAATCACATTTATCTCCAGGTTATAAAAATATCTATACACTATTTAAAATTAACATAGTTAAGATTTATCACTAGAAAATGGTATTAATACACATTAAATTCAAGTTAAAATTTTACATCTTATCACACATTATAAGTCTCATGTAAGGTACATTTTGTTACTAGTAAGGTATTTTTACATGCACAGAAGAAGCTCAATTATCAAGGTATTTTTGATGTACAAAATTACCATCTTACTCTCTCATAGTACCTATCTAGCTACAAGTATAAAACCCATCTGACTACATGAGTGTGCTCCTTTCTTTAAAGTGAAAAATAAAATTATAGGTCATGTAATTAGTCTAGAAATCACATGTGACTATTCTAAGATACTCTAATAATTACCACAATTGTTATAATATCTTATAATAGTTATAATTTTATAAAATTGACATTTTATCCTTGTACTCATTTCATCATCATCAAAAGTATAAAGGGTTCCAAAACCAACTAGTTAAAGTGATCAATTAGATATGTATTTTATTCTAATTCAAGTCTCTTAGACTATTCTACTCTAAATAGTTATCTTTTAATGGTTAGACTACTTACACATAGATTGAAATGTGATTGATGTATATTCAACCTAGAAGTATATTCTTAGATTACCAAATCTTTTTTTTTTTTTTTTTTTGTATACTTGCTTCATTTCTAGCTCTTCCTTCTCTCTTTTCTTTCTTTAGTTCCAAATTTTATATAAATTTTTACATAAATTTTGTTATGTTTCATCTAGTATCTTCAGTGATAAAAAAGATTGTATTTTATGTTGTTCTAGTGGTAATATCCATGTATCAATCAAATAACTATGCAAGTTTTATGCTAACATGATGTTTTCTTACAAATAGTTTGGTGTTAATTTCAGACTAATACTACATGAGTCATAATTTCATGCATATATACTATGATCTTAATTGTTTTATGTTGTTCCCAACAGTCCATGTATTAAGATAGTTGACTGTACATGCTAACTTATATTGGAACATGAATGTCATGTATTGAGATATTGTGTTTTAGAGCCATATTAATGAACAACATAATTCTCATGTATTGGAATATTAAACAAGAAATATATACTTATTTACATAAGATTTTTGTGTTTCACCTCCTTTTTTTGTAAAATGATTTTCATGTATTGATACACTAAACTTGATGTATTATGAGTTATTCCAAATATAATTTATTATATGTTAAAATTGATATAATTACTTTTCATATTGGTGTTTGATGTATTGTGTTCCAAAATGTAAACATCAAATACTGAAATATTATGGTTTATATAATGAGCTATTTGCACACCTGCCCTAGAGTTTGATACTAAAGTTTAATAATGCATTTTTCATATTATTAACTATTAACATCTAAATACTTTATTATTTTTCAATACAACTCTTCCTATAATATCATATTTCTATTGATATATATATATATATAATGCCAACTTCTAATAAAAAAATGCTAAAATATTAAGATCAATGGAATGTACTAATTCAATGCCTCCATTCTGCAACATACATGAATTTTTTATCAACATAAAAACTAATTCAATGTTACACAACACCAAAACAAGTCATACAATTGATTACTATAACATTCGTACAAGCTACTCGATAAGGTGCAAAATATGTATAGAAAGAAACATGGGGCTCAAAAGACATGTAGATTGTGGTCAAACCCTATAGTTCATTATTCCTCTCTTTGAAGTATCCACTTTGTTTGACCGATGAACATATGGAAGGTGACCCATCCATGGCTACTTGACCAGCAGCACACTCGTCAGTTGACAATCCAGAGATTTAGTTATGAAAGTCAAGGCACAATATGAATGAATCTCAGATGTTGTGGGTTGACTTTAAAGCCAAGCTGCATCCATGTAGAGGAGGGTGGGATGTTAGCATCCCGTGTGAAGTAGTAGATGGGCCGGTTTGGATCCCAGGCAAGGTACGATGGCGGCAGCGGCGGCCCAATAAAAGAGAATGGATAATAGGAAGTGGATGGGCCCGCTTTCGGGAAGAGTCCAGCGTGTATTTCCTCTCTGGGGGGCGCTGCGAGCCCAACGCCGCTGCCAGTCGACCCGTCCGTACGGAGGAGACAGAAGCCTGCAGTGCCGCCACCACCACCACCGCTGCCGCTGCCTCAGCCGTCCCTGCATTGCCCGCCGTACCGCATCAAATCCCCTCCCTTCTGCGGCGTGGTGCTCCCCCTCCCTCGCCGGCTCCGCCTTTCTCGCCGGCGTCGGAGCAGGAGAGGAGTAGGGCTCAGGTACGCCTTGCGGATGGGGAGCGTGTGATGGATGCGCGAGCATGAAGCTCTTTTCATCCTTTCTCCGCGTTTTTTTCTGGCGCTGTGGAGGTTTTGGTTTAGGACGAGCGCAATGTGGCTCAGAGGGACGTAGGTTTGGTGATGTATTCTGCTTTGGGATTCTGTGTGAGTTTTCGGTCGGGGTGAGCAGGCCTCGGAGAGTGTCCCCTAGGGTCGCGGATTTGGTAGGGGCGAACGCTTTTGGTCTCCCGTCCGATTAGTCACAGATGTGGGGTCGATCTTTTCTTGTTTCTGGTTTTGGAGTCTCCAATGTCAGCCGCCCATTTTTCTGCATGTTTGTATTCGTTCGATTCTTTGGTTCTTGTTCCATTTTCTTTGGCCAGTCGAGGCGTTTTTCTGGCGATCGTTTGGCCATCCCCACTGGTCGGGGTGAGGTTTTTGTTTTCAGGTTGTACGTAGTTTTGCTTTGAATGTCCTAGGACCCTTGTTTATGCGAGTATGGTTCATCTGCGCGGATTTTGAGGCTTGTTTGAAATCCTGTTTGTAATTCATAGAAATATTTTCTTGGATTGCTGCCCAGCTCGCGGAAACAGATGCCATCGGCTCTCGTTTTGCAGTTTCATTTTCAATGAGTGGAGCAGAAAGAAGAAACATAGTCTAAAGGCAGGCGAGCGCTAGGTTACTTGACCATGTCGCGGTCTTCTCAACGCCCACCTCGCTGCCCGTTTCAGAGCAGGGGAACCTTGAACTACGCCATAGATGTCTCGCCTCTGAACGCAGATAATGGTAATGAGGCGACCGTGAGGCTTCATAGATTCCCATCCCAAGAATCTTACTTCGAGGAGCAGCCACTGTGGATTGATGATCTCTTGGGTGAATCGGAAATGAGCCCGAGAGGGGCTCTTCGGAGGTCTGCCAGCGATTCAGTGGCCATTTTGGACGTCCTATCAGAGGGCTTTAACGACATAGATGTACAGGCAACTGATGGATCAGGTTGTAAACCGACAGAACACGTGCATGATACTGAAGGTGGTGGTGGATTGGAGGCAAGCTGTGTGTATGGTCCTAACTCGCCTAGGCATAAGTCTAATCAAAACCAATCAGAGAGCGCAATAGTCTCTGCACTTTGGGAAAACGTCCCGCGATTCCCATTCCAATATGCTGCTTCGGATATTCGTAGTGTTGCTGAGATCAACCAATACAATGCTCATGGGAACCTCCCTTTTTCGGCTGGGGACTTTGACCCTGAAAGGGCATCAAGGAGGTATATTTTGTAAACCCTTGCTGATGCTTTAAAATTAATTCCCACTTTCTCTTTCTTTTTTTCATCGAGCATATCTGATATTGGTTTGCATTCGATTTTCTTTTTCTTTATTTATGATAAAATACATTTGAAAGGCATGCGTGCCTCAAAAGCATACTCTAGCATACTGCGGGAACAGAGAGTTCACAATGCTAATTTTTTTTTAGTGTTTTGGGTTATACGATTTGTTAGATTATCTTTCGCATTGAAGATTTACATTGATTTGAGCATAACTTGTGGCTTTTCAGAAAAAAAAAATCAGGCTTAAAAAGGGGGGGGTTTATTTTGAGCGGCGCAGATGTCAATATCTATCCATGATTTTCCCATTTTCCTTGTGGAAACATGTGTAAACATTGTAGAAAACCTTTCTTGTTTGGAATACAATTTCATTTTCCTTCGCAGAATGAAAGCAAACTGTGGAGATATGCGCAATGATGCTGTGCTCTTGAAATGCTTACATAGGCATGCTTCTAGTGCACTTCTGGAGGACCGTCTATCTTCCTGTTTTACTTTCCATTCTCGCTGTTGCCTTGTATTTTCGTCTTAACCGTTGAAAAGATGTTGGGCAACGGTTTTTGCCATGACTGCACCAACATATGCTTGATTTTATTAGAATGATCTGCAGCATCTCCTAGATCATCGAGTTGCCAGGTGACCTGTAGCTCTCTCTTTTGCGGTTTAAACCATTGTCATGGAATCTTTCCTATGATTTCCTGGCGAATTGCAATGAGAGTATCTCCCATTCTTTCGGAGAATGAGAAAGTTTTGTAGTTTGTTCACCAGCTCATAAGTGTGAAATAGTGGGTGAATCAATCTCTGAGTTTCTGGATGCTACGAAAGGGCCTATAATTTGGAGCCAGATGAGATGAGATATGGGCCTTTGCTTCATTGGCTGTGCATTTTCACGCTTCACAGCCCATATAAATTATTCAACAAAATGTAAAAATCTAGAATGTTTTTCAGCAATCCTCTCTCTCTCTCTCTCTCTCTCTCTCTCTCTCTCTCTCTCTCTCCCATCCCATAAACCCCATATATATACACACACCCAAACACAGACAGGTATATGTATAAATATGTATTTTTTTCATCAATTTCCTTCTCAACTTAGAAATATGAGGACTAAGCACCAACTTCTATATCATGTTACGGTGGTGCCTTGTATCTTGTTTCATTTGCAGATGGGTCAGGTTTTTCGGTGGCCTTGGTTACTGTTGTGAGAGTAATTTAGCCTCTGTTGTTCTGCATTAGTGGACGAGTGGGTTGATATCTTTTGGCTTGTATTAAACACTCCTTGTTGTTTCATACGCATCTAGCTTATGATGTGTTTTCATTGGCGCTGAAGATTGTCACGATATTCAAGGAGGGTAAGCTGGGAACTGTATTGTAATCATATGGTTTACTCCCTTTGTAATTGTTGGTTTGTGATCAATGACTTGATCGTGGCTCAAAATCCATTAGTCTGACGACTAGTTGGTTTCATGAACTTCTAGTATACGTTCATCTTTGAGAGTATATATTAGAATAGAGGTCTTGTCAAACTCCTGGTTTTTACGGTTGGAAGTGATCAATCATGAATTATCGGATGATCAACATTAACAGTTACTGTTGGAAAGGTTAGCAAGGTGGAAAGTAGGGTCCTCAATATAATTATTAGTGTCAATGTTCAACGATTTCCTTGGCCATGCTCAGTAAAATGGTGTGATCAACGATGTTGGCAACAGTTCTTCGGTTTGGACAGTGAAATAAATCAGTAATGGTGAAAATAACTCTCTTCCAGCAAGGCATGGGATTTTGTCCTACACATAGATCGCTGCTCAAGGTAAGGAGTCCCATTATCGTACTCGGAATAACGCCTCTACTACAGCTACCGATTAGAGCCAGTATAACGCCTTGTCAGGTGTAAAATAGGGCACAAAAAATTTGGTGGGAAAAGTCTTTCAGGTTTTCTTGATATGATTATAACTCAATGTCGCAACGGCAAACACAAACAGAAATATATACTGTGACATTCTTAGAGCTCCACACCATGATCTTTAGCTATCATTCTGCAAGAGAGATAAGTTATAGAAAGTGCAGCAAATAATGTGTACTAGGTTTCTGTTTTGTACTTATGACCCTCAGTGAAGATCCAAGACACCAGGGCGTGATTTGGGCTAGGATACATGTAATTCTGGGCTTCTCATTCCAGCAGTCAAGATGCTACAAGCTTCCTGAAGGCTTCATCCATGAGAGACGGTCTGCTCCACTAACTGATGTCACCTGTTTGTTGGCCATTCTATATCTTGACTTGATTGGTACCCCAGCCAAGCTGGGGGTCCTCTTTTAGGTCTTATCTGCATGGCTCTTCCTGAAGCCCTAGAAACCTCCGAGAAATAGTCTTCGGGTATGATAATGATTTTGGTTGAATTATTGGACAAGACGGTTTTTCTGCCTCCGGGGCTGGTAATGATTTTGCTTGTGGATGAGCATGCGCCATTTTTTGCTTTGTGTTGTTGTCTTCATGTGTATATATGATCAAATCAAATGCGACTTTCTCTCCTTTCATATGGCAATCAACCTATTTTTATTCAGACACTATGGGCAGCGATCAAGGGTTCGCAAGCTTCAATACATTGCTGAACTTGAAAGAACCGTCAGTGTCTTCCAAGTGAGTGTGTTTCTGTGATAATTATTTCCGGCATCTTTTTAATGGTATATAATTTTTATTTTTATTTTTATTTTTATAATGGGTCAATTCTCATCTGTTGAACAGACTTTAGAAGCAGATCTGGCAGCCAAGGTCGCATCTCTTTTTCAGCGACGAGCAGTTCTCTATGAAGAAAATAGTACGCTGAAGCAGCGGATTGCAAGCCTCCGAAAAGAGAAAATGATCAAGGATGGTCAGTATCTTCCTCTTTTTTCTTTTTTTTTTTTTTTTTTTTGGGTTGTTCAAAGCTTTCTTCCTTTCTGTTGAAATCCAATGTTCGAGGCCTTTTTCTCTCTCTTTTGACCTGAAACTTGAGAAACATTGAATTGGGAGTGGGAGAGGGGGAGCAAGAATCCGTGAGGGCTGCACAAACATAATCAATCGGTCTCCTGTAATTGGATGGGCATGACGCTTTTCGTATGAGATTTAAACCTCTGCATCATTTAGATCCTAGTGAGGGTATTAATGAAACAATGGAGAATAATACCATAATTATTACTGTGGATATCTCAGACCTAATGAGGGCGGTTTATGATTCAATCCATCGACTGCTTCTGACTGGTATTGTCGTGTAATCTTACTGTGCCTGTTTTACATATCATCCACGGGATGTCAGGTCAACACCAGTACCTGAAGAACGAGCTGAAGAGGATGAAAGCAGTCTTCGGGCATCACAGAAAGACCAAGAGCACGTCGTCATTCCAGATGGATTCGATTGAGAGGGGCTCCCTGGAAGCTACCTGGCAATCACTGGACATGGCGAAACTCAGCCTCGGCTGAGGCCCCCCAGAGAATCAGCTAACACAGAAAGCATTTACAACATCACCGCATGCACAGGAGCCATCCCATCCATGCATATCTACACGTAGAGTCAGCCAGCGAGGCGATTAACTCCCTCTAACTCTCCAGTTAGCCGTTTTAGTAGCCCCTCATAGGATAAGAGCCTAGCGGAACTTGCTGTCATACGATCCCTCTCCCTCTCTCTCTCTCCCTTTCTCTCTCTGCATGTCCTCCTTCACTCTGATGCGGCGGGTCTACTTGTGTGTGTGTGTGGGGGGGGGGGGGTTACCTCTGATGCCGCAGAGACTATGAAATCATCCGTCCCACTTTCACTTAGTAGTAGCCCCTTCTGATTTGAAGAACGCTCCGGTTTTTTGGCAATGGGTGATCATCACATTGGACTCTTTTTTCTATCTGATACTCGTGATAACATTCGGCAACACTTGATGTGTCTCTCTGTCTGTCTGTCTGTCTGTCTGTCTGCTCTCTCTCTCTCTCTCTCTCTCTCTCTCTCTCTCTCTCTCTCTCTCTCTCGCTCTCAAGTATTAAAATACCCTTGGAATCTCATAGTTTCTATCTGGGTTCAGCGAAGAAAATATAAAAGGAATCAAGAATCGGCCGAAACATATTATTTTCAAAAGAATTAAAAGAACAAGATATGATTAGGGTTCTAGAGATTTGAGAAGCAACTCCATTTCATTAAAGGCTAAGGCTTCTCTTAGAAAACAACCAACTTCTCAAATAGGTAAAAATCACGAACCTGACTTCACCTCTGGATTCATCGTTCATTTGGATCAGTCTGCTTGAAGTTCGGAAGATTGGCTCAGTTTACTTGACATAACCCATCTGAAACGGAGTCTTGGGATTTGCATGCACATGATAAAAAGAGAGCAGAGAAGAGATTCAATCGAGAAAGAGCTGGTTCACATGATGCCACATTACCAGCTACCTTGCTATGCCGATCTCCCTCTCCATTTACAGGGGATGAGGAGGAGCACAAGTCCCCAAGAATGTAAGCCCAAAAATGGTATTCTACACATCTCAAATGGGAGATTCTATCCGCGTATGGATGCCCGGGGAACAGCAGGAAGACCAAAATCATCCTCCGCCTGTCACAGAAAAAAGAAAAAAAAAAAAAAAGAGGATTAAAAAAGTTCATCGTGAGATCATCCCAATCCAACACTGATGATAACTGGCTGAGAATTTTGGTAAGCAGAAACAGAAGAACATTGCCAGCAACGCTCAGCCACCGGTTTCCAACCCCAAAATGAGTTCCAGGATCAGAAACCACTAGAGATGGGGTGGCTGATAAATAAAATATAATACAAAAAGATCGATCGGTGATAATCTCAAGGCCACTATTCGGCATTGATGACCAGCCGGAAACTTTGGGGAACAAAAGGAACAGCTTTCCTCGACAGCATGCCACTGGCTGTTAAATCCAATGAGTTGGTTGGAAGATCGTAAACTACCAGAGATGTTGACCTCCCAATTCATCTGATATCAGCTAGAAGATGATGAAAAATATACCTGTACGGGCTGTGCTGGCGCATGGCTGGATGGGGCAGCTGGTAGATTGAGTTCCCCTTCTAAATCTGGCTCCCTCTCGGGTTGAAGGTATGATGGCACAGCGTCAGCTTCGGTCTCAGCACCCATGTCGGCCTCCAATGCGTCCAGCTCTTCATGTCACCGACGATAAACAAATAAGTAAATAAATCAATAAATTCGGACGGAAGAAATCGTGACCCATAAGAAATATTAAACTCTCAGGAAGAATCACGTTTGATATAGTATAGCCACAAGAGATGGATGCAGCCATGTTTCAAATAGTCCAAAATTTCCGGTCTTACCCCCCATGAGTTCTTCCTCGTCAATGTCATCAGGCACATTGTAGCTTCTACCAAGCGAGTCTTGGATTTCTGTGCTGACGTCCATCAGATCCATCATCTCGTCTTGCATGTTCTATCATACATAAAATTTGAGAAAAAGTAATTTTAGATAAAGACCGAGGGAGCAGCAATAGCAGAGTGATAGTTCTTCTGATGCATGAAGAACTTGGGGAGGTTAAACATGGAATATACATCAATGTCTGAGATCTTCACGGTCTTCATCATTCCCTTCAGTTCCTTGTTTGCAGACTTCAATGCAGACATCTGAAACAGTGGATTCGCGTTCAGTGTGTAAGCGCAAGAGATCAATGATTAAAACCTGATTAAAAAGGGAACCCATATCATACGGTTTGCTGGGCATCTTTGAGTCCTTCCGCTGCAAAAGAGACTTGGTCAAGGTTGAATGTCTGGTTATAAATCATATCACGTTGGCCCTCATACCTGGAAAGAAATGCTACATCAGAAAAGAGGAAGCCACAAAAGAAGGCATGTGCATCTGGAAATCAAGAAATGATTTATGATGGTTCCACAGAAAAAGTGAGTTCAGCGTTTTTAAGTGATTAAAAAAGAGTAGTTACTCTTGTTCACCCATCATTGATTACATACGGAGAACGAACAAAATATAGATGGAATTCTAACAAGAGCGCTCCGGCAAATATAAAGTCCTAAAATGGGTGGGTGTTTATAACTTTAAAGTGACAACAACTGTGAAAGTGCAAAAGGAAATATCTAGCCATTTTCATTTTCACTGGTGCTTACTAGGTAAAGATTTCACGATTACATAAAAAAAGATTATATCTGGAATGGCAAATGATGGATAAAGAAAATCCATCAGTAGAAACCATCAGATTCATCTAGAAGAAGAGAATCAAGAGACAAATGCCAGAGACACGGCAGTTGGCACAGCAGGATCGACCCGTGATACAGGGTCACAGGCTCAGCAGAGACAGAGAGAGAGAGAGAGAGAGAGAGAGAGAGAGAGAGAGAGAGAGAGAGAGGTGCGAGGAAGGCTTATGAGCTCCAGATGGATGCGCTCTTCATCCAAGCAAAAATACTTCAGATATACCCAATTTTTGGAGGGCGTCATAAGCCTTTGCTGATGGACCACAGACCCAAAATAACACAACTTTGCAGCGTGAAATATAGAAAGTTCCAGGGAAATGAAGTAATTAAATATGACGGATCACTAACATTCGCTTTTGCTTGAGAACCCTCATGGCTCGAGCTTTAACAGCTTCCTGTGCCGGACCTGGGCGCGTTTTCTTGATCTGATCTTTGTATCTAGCGAGTTCAGCATCGAGATTCTTAATCTTCTCATCGACGCTTTCACCTCTTTTGTTTATCTGTAATTAGTTTTTTCTTCAGCTTAGTAAGTAAACAAAGTCTTATCCGAGCACGCAGAGAAAAAAAAGATGGTCTAATTTATGCGATCAAATTGCACTGAAAACAACAAGTAAAATTCCGAATACTTGAGATAATGATGAGGGATAGGCAGAAACCAGAGGTACATGAATATAAGATAAGAGAAAGAGTAGAAAGATCAAGCAATTGTCGATCTCCAATACAAAGATCGCCCAGTATATCAAACCAAAAGAATGCAATGTCCTTCAGCCTAGGTGAATCTAAGGAATCTATTCCTCATCATGACCTAATCGAATTTCCCTATGGAGAGAAAAATCAAATGCCATCCCTATTTCAAGAGTAAATAAGATTAAGCAAGTAGCAAAAATACTTTAATAAAAAACGAATCTAAGATGATCGTAGCTTTCAAGTAACACAAGAGGGCGGAAAGAGGAACGTTACATTAATCGTTCAACGCATGAGTACGGTTGCGTGTCGGAACTTCTACAGGAGAACACAGACAAACCCCAACTGATTGTACGACTGTAATCCATGGTAAATGATATATTGAGTCCGCCAACGTGCCTTCTACAGAGGAATCACCAATTTATAATACTTTCACACCACTTTTACGTCGGAAATAAGCATCATAATGCTCTTCCTAGAGCAGATTTGTTTGTTCACCGTAAGCTTTAAAAAATAATCCACCGAATCTACTCATCCGGAGAACCAGATGCGTTGAGTTTGAACAAAAAGCGAGTTCTCTGATAATTTTAGGCATTAGAAGATGATCCCCGCCACCGATGCCATAACCTTCATCGTTCGTCAAAATTCGCTCGCCCGTCTCCCGGAACGACTACGACGAACACAGTATGAGAAAATCTCGCGGTTCAATTGAAAAAATTAAAGAAAAATGGCGGCATCACCGCCCAAATTCATTGATAAGTCCAAACAAAATGCATGAAGACGGCAGGACAATGGAGCCTCTCCCTACCGCTTTCCGCCAGAATAAGAACTACAAAACTCAAAAAATAAATATGCACGAGAGAAATACCCGTTCGGAGGCATCCTGGATACTCGGAGGGGGCTCCTTGTTCTTCTTCGCGCCGAAGACTCGCTTCATCTCTCGCACCAACCGCTGCTCTCACAGACTACCAACCAGCGGTCCACAGGTACGCGAAAAAATCTCTTCCCTAACTACGGGCGCAGGAACACACCCGAAAGAGGATGAGAACGAGGAGGAAGAAACCCTACGATGGCAAGGATTAGGGCTCACAGGCAGAGGTACAAAGAAAACTTTCAGAGAGGACGAAGCCTTCGGAATGAAGGCAAAGATGGGGAGGACACGCGCACAACACTCTCTCTCTCTCATCACCCTCGAACTTACGACTAGATCTCAAAGGTTACAACCGTCCGATCCATATCGCACGGTTAATATGTACGCTGTGTGCTAGATCTCAAAGGACTGCCAATGGTTTCTATCGGCCGCTACGCGGTAAGTGCTTTTTTTGCCCATTAGTCCTCTATAAAATTTTCACTTTTAATCACCCCTTCCATTTTACCATTTGGACCCCAAATCGTATAATAACAATAATAAAGACCCTGTCCTCTCTCTCTCCCTCCCTCTCTCTCTTTGGGGGTGCAGGAGAAATGGGTAAAGTCTGAAATCAAATGGGCAGATACGCAATTTGCGCCGGCAATAATACAAATGACAAAGGAAAGCCGCGATCTTGCTCCGACGGCCAGGTCAACGCTCTGTGGCGGCCGACCGGAGATGGGGAGCGAAGGCCTGGAGAACATCCGCGTAGACGGGTTTCTTGAAGGCCACAGCCTGCCCACAGGGGAGAAACGGTCAAATAAATACAACATGTCGGGTTATTTCGATTTGACTATTCCCAAAGTCAACCGAATATCAAGAAACCGTATCTAATAATTAATATGCACGTTAATTATTCCGAAAAATCTCTGTATTAATTAGGGGAATTAATTTTTTCACACGCTGTAATACATTAATTAGAGCTGATAAATTAGGCTGAGGGGCTGAAAAATTGCATACCTGCTCGATTACTTGGTCGGGAGTCATCCATCTCCACTCTCCAAACTCTGGCTTTTCAGATCCGTCACCGGCGAGATCGATTTCTTCCTCGCTTCCAGTGAGTCTCAAGAGAAACCTGCATGATATTTAACAGGTCAGTCTATGAACAAGGCAAGAAGCTAGAACCACACCAGGTCAACTTTCCATAATAATCTCCCAAATCAAATGGTGAGGGTTGACTAAGTGTTTTCGGAGTCAACCACCAGAAATGCTCCAACTTTTGGTGTCTCAGACAACAGTGAGTGCTCTGGTCAACTGGTTTCGATCCATGCCTTCCTCAGGATAATCATAGAATACAACATTTTTTTTCTCTCCATTTTGTGGCGTAACGCTGTATGAAAATGCATTGGGAGGCTCGAAACCCACCATTTTTGAGCTTGACCATTCCAGTTTGTACCCCATTGCTTGTTTAATTTATCCTTGACTTCTGGTGGAAAGTCGTAAGTCAGCCAATACGGGACCTGCATGAAATCCCAACAAGGACGAATTTGATAACCAGGAATATGAAATCTTCCAGCCGAGATGAAACTATCATACCAAATAAATCATCCGCCACTGCACGAAAACTCTCCAGGGCAATAGCGGATGAGCGCAACAGCAAAACACAACGCGGGGAAGGAAATAAAAAAGTCAAGGAGCAGGGAGAAGGAATTGCCCTCATATTCCGAGTGTTCATGCAGAAGGATGAGTAAGAGAGAGAGAGAGAGAGAGAGAGAGAGAGTCTAATGCAAACATTTCTTTCGCCGAATCACCAACTTAGCAGCAGCTGGTAGACATCTCTTATGCACACTCCAATATCCGTCTACAAAGACAGAGTTAGACCGAGTTCCAACTTGCCGTCTAATGATCTATTAGTTCGATGGTATGATGACAATTGCAAACTAGTCCATTGAATACATCATCAAGTAGCAAGATTTCAATTTTTGTTGATTCTACTACCAATTATAATGGAATCACCATTTCTATCATGACTAAGAGCGAATCAAAAGCAAACCTCTGCGATGATTTCTACTGATCTGACTCCAGTCTCTTCCCTCAACTCCCTAATGGCCGCATTCCTTGGATCCTCTCCCTCGTCAATCCCACCCTGTTGAGGAAAGTTACAGCAAATCAGTTCTATACAACAGGGGAGGGGAAGAACTTACTGAACTTCCCACTGTACAAAAACAGAGGAGAAAACTCAGTGGTATGAAAAACAATACATGCATCAGTCTTCCCACTATACAGCTGAGGTATCTGTCCTGTCACAATGAGTGATGGCATTCGAGCAACGATGAACAATTTCCTTTATTCGGCATTGTGACTGATAAATCGTGCATGTGGGTGACTGTTTTCAATTCAGACTGAGGGAGAGGCCGTCAAATATTTCACCAAGCTCGGTGCGTGTTCTACAATGACGCTCCATGAATGGAGATGAAGCTGTCACAGAACCCACGAGGTAGTGATCCATGAGGAAGACGGTATCCTGATCACAATAACTTGATCATTTTTATGCGTTTTTTTCCTACAAAGCGACAATTTATCTGAGGGTGAGATCAGTTATATGGAATTGTCTTCACCCCAAAAACCTAGGGTTTTAATGGATCCTGAACAAGTCAAACTCATGAAAAACCCCATCCACTGATCTTAACATGCATTCATTTTCGAGGGGAAAATGAACAAAAGATCCTACCGTAACATTATCACTGCCGGTCGAATCGAAGATGGCATGGGGCAGGAGATTAGCGAATGAAAACCGCGGGAGATGATCAAAATGAAGATGAACGGATCACCTGCGGCATTTGCCAAGCGCCTGGAATGTCAAGCCTGGACGCCGAAAATATCTGCCGGCATCAAACGCACAGAGATCGACAACGGAGACAACTCGTCACACAGGATACGGGAAGAATCCGCAAGAAATCAGCACAGATGAAGCCCCAACAATCCGGACCTTATCTAGCGAAGAATTGGCGAGGCAGATGCCCACGTTACTCCGGTAACCGGCGGGCGGGGCTTCCATGGATCCGACGCAGAAGGCTCCCGGAGACTTGCGCCGCGGAGGTAGAACCTCGCAGGAGCCGACGGAATCCTGGGAGCACAAGAAGAACCTCAGGTGGGGTTTCCGGAGGGCGACGGGCCTGACTGGAGGGCTTAAGAAGGTGGCGCGGCACAGGCCGACGACCATTTTTCCCCCCCCTCCCCCTCGGATGTCAACCTGAGATCCTCAAGCCTCCGCGTCCCCGTACGACATGGATAACGGAGAAAACGACAAAATTATGTGTTAATGGGCTTGTCATCTTGGCCCAATAGCGGGAACAAAGACCGAACTAGTATTTCGATGGATACAACGGATATTTTCTAAAAAGCAAGGGGTCTATAATGGAATATTTTGTGGAGATCCTTGAGACACCGAAGAAAACGACAAAAATTATGTATTAATGGGCCTCCACTTTTTTGCGGAAATGGCAGGCACCGTAAATAATGGGAACTTGTCCGAACTAGCATGCCACAGGTTTAGCATTAAATAATTTAGATGGATAAATCAGATGTTTTACAAAATTACAAAGGGGGTATAATGAATTTTTTTTGCGAAGAAAACGACAGAAATCTATCTTACTGGGCTTTGATATTTTGGCCTAATATCTCTGAAATCGTCCGCAGCCGAGGCAATGGCATGCACCGTAAATAACGGGAAGTTGACCGAACTAATTTGGATGGATAAATCAGATATTTTGGAAAAATTGAGGGGGTGTAGTCGAATATTTTTTAGGATGTGTAGGCGGGAAAATGGCTCAAAGTGGGGGACAGATCATGGGAGGAGACTGAAACCAGAAACCGGAGCCGGATAGAGAGAGACAGAGAGAGAGAGAGTGGGAGCTTCTGGTGGAATCTTGGGGCGATGGTGGAGGCAGATCTGGAGGATCTTAGATTGCCCCTCTGCGGAGGTGGTGTAAATTGGGGTATCCGGGAGGGAGAGAGGACATGGGAACCACCTTGAGAGGGAATGCAGATGGAGACTGATCGGAACCCTACTCCAGCGGGAGGCGGACTCAGGCGCTGGGGATTCTTGAGATCGATCCCCTTCTTCATGACGATCTAGGTCTTGTTCGGAACCTCCGGCCTGTCTTCTCCTCGGATGCCCCAGCGCGACGATCCGATTGCGATCCTTCGTCGGCACGATGTTGAAAGGACTTGCCTCCTGCGAAGGTCCTCCAGAGAAGGAATCACTCCTCGGTGAATTTTTTTACCGCATCCTTAATTTCAAGGATTCTTTGAAGACGATCCGGTTTGCAAAGTCGACAGAAGGAAGCAGGAGTTTCAGCTCAGCGGGAGGTAGATACGATGGACGCGTTCATCCCTCTTTCTGAAGGCCAGTGATCCGATCCGTTTATTCCGGCGACCAAAACCAAAGCCTCCCCATGGATGCCCCCCCTAGTTTCGTGGATCGAACGCCCTTCCAAAACAGAGACCGATCAGGACCAAATACGGAAGGTAAGAAACGTCATTCAGATATCATATGCAGGTTAAATCATCTCATACTGCGCCTAATCCTTTCCCCGCGGGAGGATTGTTGCTATTTTTCTACGTCCACTGCGCACAGTGAGGGATCGGTCTCTTCCTTCCGCCGTGATCATCGCCAAATACGGAAGGTCTCGGAATGTCTGTAACCGGCGATCTGGTGGCCGGGCAAGCCCACCTGGAGACTAAGTGAGCAGCAGACTGCTCTGAGGTTCCTCCACAAATCGACGAATCCAGAAGAGGAAAAACTAAATCAGAGAAAGCCTAGTTTGAAGCAGGTGGATGCCTTAATTAAACCCCTGCTTACGCGGGCAGGCACACCCACTGCCCCTTGCTTAAGCCCCTCGCGGTTCTCTTCTCCCCTCCCATCCTTGCACTCTCCATTCTCTTGTTCTTTTCTGCCCGGGAATATCCCCCCTCTCTCTCTCTCTCTCTCTCTCTCTCTCTCTCTCTCTCTCTCTCTCTCTCTCTCTCTCTCTCTCTCTCTCTCTCTCTCTCTCCGGCTATCTATCTATGCGTTTCTCGATATGTTGATGAATAATTGAAGAAGAAGAAGGAGAAGAAGGTCAGAGGAGAGGTGAAGATAAAGTTTGGGGGTGGGGGTTGGGGGCAGGAAGGTCAGGGCACGTGGACAAAGTCTCCCCAGGGACCACGTTCGGTGGGAAGTCAAGGGTTAGGTGGGCCCCAGAACAGCAATACCTCCTTTCCACGACACTCTCATTCTTCCCCGGTAGGCTTTTCATCGTTTGTGGGCCCCACTGAAAACTCTGGCCACCCAGCTAATGAGTGGCTCGCGTTGTAGAATCTCTCATGCCGGGAGGGTATTAAAGTATTTAAGCGGACCTTTCAATCGGGTCGGATCCTATCAGTTCGGTGCCGGTGGCGTAGACGGGCGGCTCACCACCGTCCAACTCGAGTCATACCCACTCGACACCGACAGCCCACCGTTTGACGTGGACATCCAAGGGAGTACGTCAGGCGCTTACCTGAAGTCAAAGATGGAATCCCCACTCAGAAGGCGTGGGGTACATATTAATTTCCGTTGCCCCGGGAGACAACACACCGCGGTGGGGGGGTAGGGGCCGTCTTCTCAATCGCTAGAGGAGGATAGGCGAATACGTTATTATTTAACAGACGAAACGAAACGTTCTCATTTCATCCCCGCTCTCCCTCCTCCTCCTCCTCCCCCCCCTTCCGCCGCCGGCGCCGCCGCCGCTCGCCGCCCTCGGAGCCATGTCGAAGGACTGCGGAAACCACAAGCACTGGCTGAAGAAGAAGTACCGGCATTCGCTGTACTGCCTGCTGGGGTTCGTGCTGCTGATCCTGTTCACGGTGCTGGTGATTTGGCTGGTGCTCCGGCCGACCAAGCCCAAGTTCTACCTGCAGGACGCCACCGTCTACGCCTTCAACCAGTCCGGCAGCCCCACCGGGCTCCTCACTACCTCCATCCAGGTGACCCTCTCCACCCGCAACCCCAACGACCGCATCGGCGTCTACTACGACAAACTGGACGTCTACGCCTCCTACCAGAACCAGCAGATTACGATGCCCACCGTCATCCCTCCGACGTACCAGGGCCACAACGACGTCGTCGTCTGGTCGCCCTTCCTCTACGCGGTCAACGTGCCCATCGCCCCCTACCTCTGCGCGTCGCTGCTGCGGGACCAGAACGCCGGCGTGCTGCTGCTCAACGTGAAGGTCAACGGCAGACTGCGCTGGAAGGTCGGCAGCTGGACCTCCGGGAGGTACCACATCTTCGTCAATTGCCCCGCCCTCCTCACCTTCGGCGGCGGCGCCGCCGGGTACTCGCCGCTCATCCGCTTCCAGCAGATGTCCACCTGCACCGTCGACGTCTGAGCGGCATCCCTTCCACCTGGTTCTGCATTCTCGGTCAAAAACGAGACCTCGCCTGAAGCCTGTCGAGGAGGAGGAGGGGTAGGCGACATATGAAATCTTAATCGTATCTCGTGCCCAATTGCCCACACCGGGGAGAGCATTTCGACCAAGTTCTGTTGAATAAACCTTTCCAGAATTCTCCAGCAATTAATAGAAATCCCCATCTCTCTCTCTCTCTCTCGCTCTTGTGCCAGAATTGCAGTTCATGACCCGTGATTATGGCCTATTATTGTTGATATTAATTGAGAGAAAGAGCGAGAGAGAGACGGAGAGATTGAACGGGCCGCTGGAGGGTAGCTCGCTGCCTTCTTCTTTTCCATCGGTGTAATTCAATGAACTGCTTCGTAAGGAAAAGTCGTCGCTTAAACCTTGAAATCAATCGTCGTCGACCTGCGACCCTCCCGTCGGATTTCGTCGAGGAGGGGGAAGGGCGAGACGCCGTCACCCACGGCCGGAAAGAGGGTGTAGTGCAGGATGATTGAAAGAAATGTGTTTCATTAAGGTGGACGAGAGCGAGAGAAAGAGAAAGAGATAGAGACGGAGAGAGAGAGGAGATGACGAGTATATCCCTTTGGTTCCATTGGTGTCGGTGGAGGAAGGATGCCGGCGAACGTAACCGGCGACGGTGAGTCCCTGTCGTGCTCCCCCGGCTGGGCTGTTGGCTGTTCACACGCGAGCGATCTCTGTCGGCAGCGGCGACGGCGCCGCAGGTCCTGTCGGAGGTTTCCGCCGTCGCCGCCGTCAGCAACCCAATTCTCCGAGTGGTCGCCGTAGCCCACCGGGAGAGACAGATATGATGGGCGACCTACCTTGACTATCCCGATGAGGGAGGACTGGTTTCGGGGTAAGATTCCGGTCTCCGCCTTCCTCCTCCGCCGCCGCTGCCACTGGTAGTGATGGTCGAATGGACGAGGAGAGAGAAAAACAAGGAGAGATGTCCCCCACCGGCCGCCCCTCGCCGCCGACTGGGGCCCCCTGCCAGTCGCTGGCCGGGCCGACGGCGACGGGTAGGAGGAACGATAGCATTCACGGTGCCCGTTCTTTTCCTTCCGTCGGCCCAGCTCGCTCTGGGACTCGTGTATGGGCCTCCTGTTAGGCCCACTTAACTCGGGCACTATGGGCCGGGTTGAGGGTAATACACTAATGGGCTTCGGTCCATTAATTATGTCCAGTAATTCATGAAAATAAATATTACACATTACTCGTCACGTAGTCATAATAATAATAATCCAGCAGTAGTAGTAGTAATAATTATCATATTATTATTTATAATAATAAATACTAATCGTAGATAAGTCAACGGAAGACGATCAATCCATCAGCTGGCGAACTCGTGAAAAGCATTAAATATCCCACTAAATTCGATGGCCCAAATGATCCCCCCCGAGTCGGGAAGGAATGACTCTGTACACGTGGCGGTCGCGGAGAGACGAGCGGGCCCGCCCCCAACTTGGATACCTAACCCGGGCCAATTGAGACCGAGTCGAGGACGACCCGTCCGAGGCGGCGGTATATACCACCGTATCGTATCGTATCGTACCGCGAGAAAAAATAAAAAAGGGCGGGGGACGAGTGAATACCGACATATCGCCGCGATAAAACGGGAAGGGAAGGAAGCCGAGAAGAGATGGTCAGTCACCGGAGCTCTCTAGGTGGAGTTCTCCTCCTCCTCCTCCTCCTCCGGCCGCGGCAGCGGCGGGGGTGGTGGCCCCTCGGCCGCAACGGGTATCTTCTTCGTCTTCGTCTTCATCTCCGGCGAGGAGGTTCCGGGAAGAGCGAGGGGGAGATGGCGGGGGGGTGAAGAAGGGAGGGGAGCCGCAGGGGGTGGAGAAGGGAGTGAGCCCTCCTCCGGGTGGCGGCGCCGCCCGGCCGCTTCCCCCATCAGACTCGGCCCCCTCCTTCTCCCCCTCACTGATGGTGAAGAGCACCCTTGAAGCGTACATCCCCCGCCACTTCTCCAGCTCGTCGTCGACGACGTCTTCCTCCGCCGGCTGAGGCGGCGGCGGCGGCGGCGGCGATGGCTTGGCGACGGGGGCCGCAGTGGGCTCGATCCGGGACTGATTCTTCCAGCAAAGGACGTAGAGGAGGAGCTCCTTGGAGGTGGGGTTACCCTCCAAGGAGTCTCCCGCCGCCACGGTCGCCGCAGCAAGCTCCTGGTCGGAGCTCACTCGCCGGAAACTCCGGCGACGGTACCAGAGCAGGTACACGAGCTCGACGGCCAATGCGAGGAGGCAAACGAGGAAGACGATGACCAGGGCCAGCCCCAGCCTGGTGAGCCCTCTCATGGCGCGCCTATGCGGAGGAAGGTGAGTGTAGTAGAAGAAGAAGAAGAAGGAGGACGAAGAGGAAGGCGACAACAGACGGAATACGGAAGAGAGAGAGAGAGAGAGAGACGCAAGTTTTCATACGGGGGGGGGAGAGAGAGAGAGAGAGAGTGGGCGGGGGACCGGCAATAGCCGGTGGGGCAGCCGTTAGAATGGGGAGGGAGTCCTAAGAAGCACGCTACGGGGGAATGCGGCGGGGGGGGGGGGGGCTTTAAAACCGAGATCACGTGAAGGGCACCCGCAGGAGAGGCACAGCGTAGGCCACAGTTGGGTCCATCGATCGAGTGGCTGAGATGAGGAGAGAGAGGGCGGGGGGGTATTTGGGCCGTGCTCGCAGGTATTTATTTTGTTTCCCGTCACCGTCTGTCCACCTGGGTTTTAATGTCACCGCCGCGAGTTGCTTCGTGCGGTGTCAGTACGGCGGCAGGGGAGAGGCAAGTGTCACCGCTGCCGGCGAAGCAGTGGGGGCCAGTGAACCAACCTCCCTCCCTCCCTCCCGGCTTCATTATCTGTACGCAACAAGCGAGCAAGCAAGAAGGGAAGGGTCTTCCCGTAACATCCATTCAATGAAATCCGAGAGAGAGAGAGGGGCCCCACCCCACTGAAGACACGCCGGGAAAACGTCCGGCGGAAGGGTAATGCGGTCGAGTACGGCACAAAGTCCTCGCAGAGAGAGAGAGAGAGAGAGAGAGAGAGGTGACCCCTCAACGTCTCTCTTGGCATCCTTTACCCACCCTTTATTTGCCGGGGGGAGAGAGGAGAGAGAAGGGGGGGGTAAGGTTGGTGTTCCTGGTTTGGACGTCCTTCGCGCTTCAACAACAAAGAAAAGAGTCTCTTTTCGAGGACCCAGTTGGGATGGGAGCCAGCTTTCAGAGCCCAAGTCTTCCCAAAGAAGGACGGCCTCTGTTGAATAGTCCATTCCAAGATGCAGATGAAGCGGCGGAAGGTGCTTGCTCTCTCTCTCTCTCTCTCTCTCTCTCTCTCTCTCTCTCTAGCTCTAGGGTCAATAAAGGGCTAGGAATGAGATGATCTTGTGGTAGCCTGAGCCCCAGGAGAGTTAACCGAGACTCTGACCCAGCTGGTGCAAGAGGTTAAAGACGAAAAAGAGAGCACTGCAGGACTTGTATGATGATCCCGCCTGGCCCAGATAAGGCTGACCCAGCCCTCTTTAATAGACACAGCCACATCTCTCTTTAAGAGAGAGGTGCTCGGGCTCTGCCTAGTAGACCTCAGAGAAGCAGTCACAGAGAGAGAGAGAGAGAGAGAGAGCAGTAGGGAGCCACAGAGTGAGTCTTCTTTCAATCCCATAACAAAGCAACAATGCAGCAGAGGAAGAAGAAGATAGACGGCAGGAAGCAATCTATACTCATCAAAACCCACAAGGGCAGATGGCGGCTCTACTAAACCCTGATCATAGGGGAGCCTGGTCCACGAGCTCCATCTTCATGGCCAAGCCCCCGATCATCGGACGGACGGCTGTTGACCCCTCAGATGGCGGCGAAGTAGTCCTTGCTGAGCTTCGGGTCGGGCTTCATCGACCGGTCCCCGGGCTTCCATCCCGCCGGGCACACCTCGTCCGGGTTCTCTTGAACATATTGCAACGCCTGAGGATGAAGCGGTACGGGTTCAGACTGGTCAAGAAGGAGACGACGAAGACGAAGACGAAGAAGAAGAAGAGCCCAGTATTTCTGAGAGCTTGAAAAATTAAAGACAATTTTTTTTAGGGCGAAATGAACAGTCTCAGAGGCGAGGTTTTGGTGGGTGGCTCAGATGCTCACCAATTTAATCACCTACGCTGTTGTTCTCATAGCTCATGGAAATCAAAATTCTTCTCACTTATTATAGATTATAAGCAGAATCCTCACTGGGGTTTGATCCAGCTATCATTATAATAATTATTATTATGATTATTATCATTATTATTATCATTATATTTTGTTAGTACCTGGAGAGTTCTCAATGTTTCGTCCACGCTCCGACCAATGGCGAGGTTGTTGATGGTGGAGTGCTGGATGACTCCCTCCTTGTCAATGATGAAGAGGCCACGGAGGGCGATTCCCTGAAAGCCACAGAATATGCGGAGATTTTCAGAGGATTTTCAGAGGATTTTCTCGGCAATTCCTTTGATGAGTTTCATAACTGCCCACAATAGTATGCTTTCTGAGATCGAAATCGAGGAGAATTGCCCATAAGAAAGAAGTTGTACCTGGTCGGGAATCAAGACCCCATAAGATTGCGAGATCGATTTGGTTACATCAGACACCAATGGGTAGTTCAGGTCTCCAAGACCCCCAGACTTCCGATCTGTTTGGACCCAAGCAAGATGGGAGAACTACAAACATATATATATAAAAATCACAAATGATCAGCATAGTCCAATAATTTCTACAGATTATCAAGATCAGAATTAAGGGTATATTTTCCTGAAAAATAGTGGATCAATCTGGTTGATTAAAAAAAAAAAAAACCTCCATCGTCCGCAAGATAAGATAGATAAAAATAGAAATTGTATGATTTTCCCTTCATCTCAGATCACTAGGAGAAAAACAAGGAGTAGACTTGAGAAAATGAGGAAAAAAACATTAGCAATTTAATCTCAAACTATCTTCAATAGATATGCTCGAAAAAATGATGAATCTGGATTGGCTGATCATCCACTCAGCCAGAAAACGAAGTAACATTCACCCAAGGTAATTTATCTCACGTGAATAAAAGATGAAATATCATACCACACTGTCGACTGAAACACCCAGAATCTCCGTGTTCACCTTCTCAAACTCCGAGTATCGGTCGCTGAATGCAGTAATTTCTGCAGTACAGAAATTAACAACATTTTAAAAAATATCCCATCCAACAAAGCTTTAATTCCAACCAAAGAAATCTGATGATGAACATGAAAATTACAGAAGCTTACCCGTGGGACAAACGAAGGTAAAATCCAACGGGTAGAAAAATAGTATCACATACTTCTTTCCAATATAGTCGGAGAGATTGACCTGTGACAAATACCAAATAATTAAAAGGGTCCTTTGGAGAACACAAACTGAGATGGAGATGAAGGTTATAAACACCTATGATTAGTTCTACAGTGTCAGGCTCACATATCTGGTTCCCGACGACAGAGAAAATAACCCAACCCATATGTAAACGATGGGGCTCGGAGTCAACTCAATGAACATTCTCTAAATACAGAGGGTCAAAACGACTAGGAAGCTGACCATTTTTTTCATAAAAAAAAATTCTACTATTCATTCCATCAGCCACCGCTCCCCAAAAAATCCCCAACCGCAGCTCCCTTTTCCTGTTTTTGCCATTAAAACGTCGCTTGTTTGCTTCGTTCCATAGACGTTTAAGCAGCACAGAACCGTGAGATCTGAGAAACTGGCCACATCAAACCGGCTTATAGATTCCTTCCATTTTTTATATCATTCCCCTAATAGGAGAAGGGAAGAGGAAACGAGCCAAGAAAAGCGAATGCACATAGATTATATCTCACGCATTGCCGAAAGAGAACACCTAACACGCTCGACTCTAGAGGATTATACCTTGATGAATTCCTGATCGAAGACCGCTTCAGCTTCGAAATTTGGTGCAGTGTTTCCGACCAGTGGGAGCTGGGTCTGCATGAATCATTGGAAAAATCGTCACAAGGGAAGGAAATTCGGAAGAACGCACGCGCGAGGGAGTCGGGGGATTGTACGGCTCGCGATACGTGTAGAGTACTGGATATGAAGCATGAGCAAGTACACCCCACAGCCAGGCTCCTTTGACCAGAAGATGAACGAGGAAAACCCGATGAATCACCGCGACACAAATCCAGACTAACGACCAAGGGCACCACGATCACCGGAGCGGGGACGGACGACGAGGCCTTACCGCATTGACGGAGAAGCTCCTCTTGGCGGACCGGGAGGGGGAAGCCGGCTTCGCGGAGCGGAGAGGCGGGACGGAGCTCCTCCTTAAGCCTTGGAAGGTCCTGGGCACGGTCAGGCTCTGGGAGGAGCCCACCCTGAGAGGAGGCGAGGCCAGGGAGGCCATCGCCGCCGCCCCAGCCTTGGAGGAGATCATCGAGGGAGCTGCGCAAGCCATCGCCCAGTACCCTATCTGTCTATCTGTCGCCCAGACACTCGCTCTCGTGCCTGAGGATAAGCAGCCAGGTAGATATATAATGGGGCTGTCGGTGTAACCCATCAAATGGACGGTCCGATGATGGGATCTCCACCCCCAGATGGCATCCTGACCGTCTATCTCATCTCTCCCACTGAGGGCATCATCGTGCCATCGCGATGTTCTCATCGGCTCGTTACGCCCAGTTTCTCCACACAGAAAAAAAAGCTGGATTTTTTATAGGTAGAAAACCCGGTAATTATAGAAAATTGAAGAGAATTTAGCCTCGAACTTATTATGATGATGAAAAAAATAATATTTATGCACATAAACTCGCAAGATCCACAGATTTTGGGGGAAGGGGGGTCTTTCTTCGGGACATCGTCTCAGTCCTGCCGCCCAGGGTCGCCGGCGGCGGCCTTCATATCTTGCATGACCCGCTCGATCTCCGCGATTCCATTCAGCTTCTCCTCGCGGTCGTGGTGGCTCTGGCGGTGCCTGATCCCGGGAGGCTCCTGGCTGCGCTGCGGCGGCGCCGACGGCGATGCCCAATACCCGCCGGCTCCGGCGGCCGCCGGCTGCGGAAGCCCGTACCCGTATCCTCCGTCTCCGGCGGCCGCCGGCTGCGGAGGCCCGTACCCGTACCTTCCGTCTCCGGCGGCCGCCTGCTGTGGAAGCCCGTACCCGTACCCCCCGGGTCCTACTGCCGCCGGCGGAAGCCCGTACCCCCCCCCGGGTCCGGCTGCCGGAGGTGGAGGCCTGTAACCCCCGGGTCCGGCTGCCGGGGGCGGAGGACCGTAGCCCCCGGGTCCGGTGGCCGGCGGCGGGGGAGGCGGCGTGTGAGGGGCAGGATGAGGAGCTCGGCCGGAGGCTTGTCTGAGGATATACTGGAGGAGTTCGACAGCGATGGACTGGCCCTTGTCGGTGAAGTTCCTGATGTAGAACATGAGCCACTCCCCGGACCTGAGACTGATCTCCATCAGCTTCCCGTTGATGCCGGCCTCGTGCATGGCCAGGAAAGGGTACACGAACTTGTTGTACACGTACCACGCCCCCTGCCATCATCAGATCACAAGACACAGCCCCATATTTCATCGTGAGACTTGGAAACAGTGATGGTTGACTTTGACCGAATAACTCTCCCCCCGCGAGCTTCGAGATTCCTTATTCTTGGGTGACTTGAAAAACAAATCGGTGGGTTTTCAACAAAAGTCAACTATGCTGCGATTTCAAGATTGTTTGTTGGGGAAAGTTCCAGGCCTCCTACCTTACCCATTTCTAGACCCAACTTCTGATCAACTAAAAACTATTTTTAGTCAACTTGTTGCCTTTCAAAGCTCGTGTATTTGGTAATTTATCTGGCCCTCCCACCCAATCCATTGATTCTCCTATTTCAAACACAAACATGGTTGACTCAGTTATAAATATTTGTCAGCAAAAGTCAACATGTCACCCCATCTAAGCATCTTGTATCGTGTCAAAGCTAGGAGTTTGGTAACCTGACACACTAACACTCTTCATTCGGAGACTACAGCCGTTGACTTGGCTCGAACAATATGAAGCTATGTATGTTGGCTCAACAGCAAAGTCATCTATTAGTGAAGGGTTTGTACCTGAGTCCTTGGGTGCCAAAGAAAGATGATGAAGGCGAGCTTTGCTTCACCGTACAGCGGCAACCTGTCGATGTATTTTTGAATCAATGAAAACGTACAAACCAGAAGATGTCGCGAAGCTACGATCAATCGCGAGAGGGGGGAAAAAAGGTATGAAAAAATTACCACGAGACGAACAGATCACCGAATTTCTCCACCGCAGTCAACAGCCCTATTATAATCCTGCAATCATGGTTCGTCAATTCGTTGACTTTAAATGCAGAGTTTATCGTTGAGAAGTCAAAGCAAAGGAGTTTCGGCCTTCTGTCGCAGTTGTTCTAAACAGGAAAATCCGACAGAGAATCGACCTACACCTGTATGTTTGTCCGTTTTATCTCTCGGAATTCCCTATTTTGTTATTTCTTCTTCTGAAAACTAGGTTTTAGTTTTCAGTTGCGGTGAATTTCTTCGTCTGTTCGCGGAAGGATGGATCCCGGAATTCGTGGGGAAGAATCATAGGGTTGAGAGGGAGATCGGAGAAGGCGCACCAGTATTGACACCAGAACCGGAACAGCTCGATCTGCGGCCTGTCCTTCTCGATAGTCCTGAAGCATTCGAACGCCGGATATGCGTACCCTAGCAGAAGCCTGCGAGCGGAGAGGAGGAAACAAGGGTATGGCGTTCGATCCGTCAGATCAGCCATGGCAGCGAACGGAAAGATGCCGAAGATGGACGCCGTGTGCGACAAATTTAGAAGAGGAGCAGAGACTTACACCAGGATTGAATTGACGAATTCCCCCAGCATATTTCCCCCTCCTAGAAGAAGAAGAAGAAGAAGAAGAAGATCGCACGGAATCGGAATTAGGGATGAAACAGAGAACCAGATATCGCGAATTACTTCAGCTCCTGTTCAGAATCGAAAAATTAGGGGAGAAAATCGTAACACGGCGATTTGCATACCGAGAATCTCGCCCCGTGGGCCTCTAGAAACCTCCCGTACAGGATAGTGACTCTAGAGAAAGAGAGAGAGAGAGAGAGGGTGTATCTGTCTGAACAGATAAATCAGAAGACTTGGAGAGGAATTTATTGAGTGAGCGGCTGGTATTGGGATTGAGTCGGGGAGGAGGGAAGTTGAAGAAGACGACCGCGGCTTCCCCGCTTCTTCTTCTCCATCATCTTCTTCTCCTTCACGTCACAGAGAAAGAAATCTGGTTCGGCAGACGGGGGAACGAAGGATCGGAGAGAGAGGGAGAGAGAGAGAAAAACAAACAAGACTCCTCGCCGCCGAAGGGGCGGGGGATGAGATGGTTGGCGCGGTCCTAAACCGTTGACAATTACCATATGACCATACAATGACTTCAAATTTACAGACTATTAAACCAATACACCGGATACTCTAGAGGGTATGTTGGTAAATGAACGCCGGCCCCGCTATCCAGTCCCTTCTATCATTTGCGTGCGGACCCACTAGGCATGACCGAAAATTTTCAGGTGGACTTCCCAGCGGGACCGTGTTGACCCAGTCTAATGGGAAATCCTTTTTTTAACATAAATTCATTTAAATGGGAGATAAATTAGTTTAATAATTATTTATGTATTTAAATAATTATTATTTATTTTCTTCTGGGTTTAAAAATAGTGGGTTGACCTCTGGATTCCCTAGCGTCATTAGCACGTGTAATTTTTCAATACGTTCGCAAGTTTGTCATTGAATAATTAGTCAATTATATATTATTATGGAGCTCTTCTACATTTTTTATCCCAATTTTAACGAAAAAATTAAAAGTCAAATTTATTCGGTGGTGGTATTTCCTATTGGATAAAAAATATGTTTTTGTATGTTAATATTTGGAAATAAGCTATAAATTATGAAGTTATATGGTACCTTGAATGTTCCGTCTGCTGGTCAACGGTGTAGACAGGCAGATTTTGGCATGAAACACGTTTCGTGCGGCGTCAAAAAGCTCAGAGGTTTTAGACGGGCTGATTCCTTGTTCCGCAGATGAAGCCCGGGTTTCATCGGACGGCTGACGGGTGATCAGGTGGCGGTCAACGGGCATCGCCCAGATGAGGACAACGTAAGATTCTGGCGGCCTCATCCCCGGCGAACACGTACCACTCGTTCCTCCCTGGCGGCGGCAGTATACGCCATCAGATTGGGACACCCGTCAGAGAAACATCCTCCCAGTGACTTGAAGCCGTCAACCGCGACGACCTTCAGCTCACCAGCCGCAAAGTGGGGGGGCGCTGATTTCTGTAGTCAAGTGGGGCTTTCCGAAGGTAGAGAGAGCCCAAAGGTTGACTCTGCCGACTAGCCTCTCTATGAACCACCACCTCCCGGCTACCTGACAGCCGCTCTTTCTTCCTCCTCAAAGCCGGTAAAGTTTCTCTCTCTCTCTCTCTCTCTCTCTCTCTCTCTCTCTCTCTCTACTTATAGAATATAACGGTTCCTTTCGTACCAGACAGCTCCCTCACCTCTCCTCCCCTTTGGCGAAGGCCTAGTAGAGAAGATTGCGTGCTTGAGATAATATTAAATGTCATAAATCACCGTTTCGAGAAGTCGTATCCACTAATATATGTCTGATACAAAAATTACTATCGTATGCAAGTTAGCGAGGTGCAAGGGTCAACGCGTTGAGTAAGAACACGATCGTACGCAAGGTAATTGTTACATAAGCAGGTCAACAACAAAAGGATAATTACCAATGCATGCAGAAGAAAACCAAGAAAACAAAGAAAAAATGTTGCCTTGGTTTGAGAGCTCTGATTGAACCATATGATTTGATCAACATATTATCACGTAGTGGGTCAACCTATGTTGGTATTCTCTTGACTTTTTTCCATTTTCCTTTTTTTGGCAACATGGAAATTGCAAGAACGTAATTGAAATAGATTATCTTGTTTTGATCTAGCAGATTACCCTTTCAGCTCATCTTAGAGATCTTTCTTCCATTCCAACTTGTTCTAGCAACTCAAGAACGTAAGTTGGTATGGCCACATCACTTTGACTAGCAGCGTATCTTTTGTTGAGAAGTGGGCATGGTGATACTCTTACCAAGAATCTTTCCCCTTGCCATTTTCCTATTTTTCTCATATTTTCTGAGCATCATATGATTGGAGCTTCTTATGTTATGGGTAGCATGTCTTCTAAGATGTTTTGAACGTATTTATTCATGGAGAAAATTGATTGACCCTCCCCCCCCCCCCTTCCCTCAAAGGTGGTGCCTGATGTTCACACTGACGATGACATTCAAATGTGAGTTTCTAGAACATCAACGGGTCCGTGACACCTTCAAAAGTCAAAGCCAATGAACATGCTGTCTGCCTCTCGACTAGTCAACTGAAGAGGGCTTACTACCGCCGACCAAAGTCAAAGCTAGTCGATGGACGAGATCAGTCATGGGTTTCATCGAACGGGAGAAAAATCATTAAGGAGAGGTCTCTGGAGGTGGCGGCTGATGGGGGTTTGAGCTTGGGCGGGAAATGAGAGTTATGTGCCCGCACATGTTGGATCTTGTCATGGTTATTGTGCAAAATAGAGATGCACAAGAATGATTATGAATGCTTTAATTTTTTTAATATGGCATTTATTTGACACGTGGCATATAGTCGATTAACTCTGATTTTAATTATTCCGAAAATTACGTCTGTTATTTAGACTAGTTTCCATTTTTGGTTTTAAATCTATCTCGGTTGGGTCACGTGCCCATAAATGCCCGTCCTTCCCTGAGCTCGGTTCCCAGCCTCCCTTTCTCAGCTCTCCATAACTCCGTCAACTTCCCTTCTCCCTCTTCTACACTCTCTCTCTCTCTCTCTCTCGTACGCTCGCTCTCTGTATAAATATAAGATAATTGACGAGAGGAATTCAGAGGAGAAAGCAACGGCCTTTTCCCAACCCGACGGGACAAACCCGGACGTTGCCCACCCCCCCCCCCCTCACTGCTCTCTCTCTCTCTCTCTCTAGATCTCCCTAAAAGTAGCCATGTCGTCGTCGGGAGGGTGGAAGCCCCGATCACGCCACCCGGCGGTCGTCCACCTGGGCTGCGGCTGCCGAAGGAGAAAGCTCCCCTTCCTCTTCTCCTCTCCGCTGAGGAAGGTCAAACCCTCCTCCTCAGCTGCCACCACGACCGCCGCCGCAACGGCCACCTCGCCATCTTCCTCGAAGAGTGTGCCCAGCGGAGCCGGCAGCGCCGGTAATGGCGCAGGCAGCGTGGCGGTGGTGGTGGAGTCGGCCGACCCTTACCATGACTTCCGGAGGTCGATGATCCAGATGATCGTGGAGAACGAGATCTACGAGCGGGATGGCCAGGAAGAGCTCCTCCGCCGCTTCCTCTCCCTCAACTCCGCCAGCCAACACGACGTCATCTTCCGGGCCTTCGTCGGAATCTGCGACGGCGCCTTTTCCTCCTCCACGGCGGCGCCACCTCCCGTCGCCGCCTCCTCGTCCACTGTTGCCCCCGCCTGCTTCCGCGGCAGCTGCGGTGGAGGGTACGGTTTGGGGTTCCCTTAAGAATCGCTCTGCGCACTCCAACGTTAATCCGCACACGTGCGGGCTAACCACATGCACTGTAGCCTACGTCGTATTTCCTTCTCCTTTTGTTGCATCGCACGTGTGAAGTGGCCATCCGACTTGGACCGAGAGATATGGAACGTTGACTAGGATTCCGAGAAGGAGGTCTAAATTATCTCGAACCTTTTTTATTATTGGCGAGCGATTTATGTGCGGGCGACACGTGTTAGGGGGGGTGAGGGGGTTGGATCATATCGATGGCTGTGCTATTTCATTTAATTAGACATAACTTTGCATACTTTATACAATGAAGCGTTAATCATTAAATTAGGGGTCCCAAAAATGACTCGATTAGATCTGGTTCTCCCTTCGATTCCTAGGATCTAAACTTGACTCGTCATCAAGAAAAGCCCATAAAGTAGAGAGAGAGAGAGAGAGAGAGAGAGAGAGAGATTGGGCTAGTCAAGCAAAGAGCCGGGCACCACTATTTGAGCTATTTCCTCCAATCCGCCGGGCTGTTCTTACTAGTATTGACAACCAGCATTGATATTTTCACAGAGAGAGAGAGAGAGAGAGAGAGAGAGAGAGAGAGAGAGAGAGAGAGAGAGAGGAGAGAGAACCTGGTGAATCAACATCCGCGCTGCCAGCTCTCTCTCACCGTTCCAAGACGCCTAATTTGGTGAAAACCTCAACCAGTTGACCATGCCAAAATAACACTAGATCAATGTCAAGGGGAAAGCTCGAGTGAGCCGCTTGCTAGGAATAACCATTAATAGTTCTGGGTGTCCTTCCAGACACCGTTCATAGCAATCACATGCCCCATCCGTCTTCAGAGCCAGAGAGATAGAGAGAGAAGATGCAATATATAGAGAGAGAAAGAGATAGAGATAGAGGAGAGGGAGAGAGGGGGGGGCAGACACCGTTGTCCCATACCCACGGGAGTAATCTGCTGAGTCTCTTTGGGCGGATGAGCTAGAAGTATGTGCCTTCTGGAGGCTGGACGAGCTTCCGGTTATGGGGCGCCGCCATCTCCCTTCTCAGCTGGGTCAGAATATCGGCCATCGTGTAGTCCCTCAGCCAGTTCGCCAGCATCGCAAACTTCCTCGATTCCACCTGATCAGTTCGCAGGAAGCTCTTAAGAACACGGAAATAGTAATCTCGGCTGCAGCTGAGCTCGTCTGCCCAGAGATTTCTTCACCAAAACCAGTTAATTAATCACCACCGCCTCCACATCACATCCATCTCCTCTTCAAAATCCATCTCTTTTTTTTCTTTTTTTTTCTTTTTTTAAAGAGAGACAGATGGTTTGATTGATCTCAGATCATAGCAGAGACAAGATCATGAGCTATATATAGTGTAAGAATTTCAGCTGAAATGAGTGCGGTGGGAGAAGATGAATCCCAGGACATGATCAGACAACTTAGATCAAGACAAAAGTAATCTTTCATCAGTCTTTCTGGATGAGAGAAGCACACACACACACACACACACAAACACAGAGGGATTGAGCCATTTCATCCAATCTTTCCACTATTTTCATTGCTATTTGCGGTCGGATATTATATAGATACCGGGCAATCTAGTTACTGTCTCATACGCATCTCGTCTTCTGGGAGGAAAAGAGAAAAGAATTACAATTCCCTATGAACCAAAGTTCTAATTTAGCTTCCCTGCGGATTCTTACCATGAAAAGAAAAGAAAAGAAAAGAAAGCAGATCCCATGATATGAACCACGGAGATCACTGATGCCTCAAAATAAAATAAAATTATGTGTGGAATATGTATTCTTCAGATTCATTGTCCATTCAAACGCAGGCAGCATTTTTAGGTATCAATAACTTCAATTTTGTTTTAAAAAGAAAAAAGGATTACGAGTACTCCAAAATCAATACAGTTTTCAAAATAATACACGAACTTTTTCACCAGCAAACTGCGTCAGTAGGGATCAATAGAGATTTGCTTTCCAAAACCTCCAGTTTTGTCTTTTCACTTAACAACTGCATGTTAATCCTAAAAGTCAAGACCACGAGTGATTTGAAAGCGATAAATCAATGTAGCAGCATGCGTAGATAGATTTTCCACGAGAACTTGACAAGAAATGCAAAGAGTTTGCCTTTCTAAATATATCCTTTCTTTATTCACTAAATATAAAGCATTAAAAACTTCGGGTTCATTTTTAAAGTTAGGACCAAGTGTGCTCCAAATCAATACAATAGGATGGGCAATTGGAATTTTCAAGAGAAGTAGTAAAAAGGGGAAGGAAATAAAAGAGATTAATGCGCCCGTTCTTTGGTTTCAAAGCATGCACGCATATTGCACAGTGCACTTTCTTTACTTCTCCTTTCATTTGAATGTGTCGCAGACTCCCAAAATACACAATCATCGGTTAATCTTTGATAAAATTCCATGATAGAATAATGAGGTCATCCAACTCAGAACCAATTGGATATGAATTCAATGGGTCCTCGTTTTATAATAAACAGTATAGGAATCTTCTCGATAGTCTAAATATGTTGATTACCATTGAATGAAGAACATTGAAAGAAATGAACACAGGGCTGAAGAGTTACCACTCCAGTTTCATGGTTCACGCAAGTCATGTTGATCCGTGAGTGAAAACGAACACTTGGTGGCTTCTCAGGATAATCCTTATCGCAGAACAGTTTCAGTTGATAAATACGCCCCTCGTGGACAGACTGCACCAGGTGCATGAAGCAGTCAAAACAAAATAGGTATTACTTCAACTGGGGAAGCTTCTAGTTCATATAAGACACCAAAAGCTAAATGATATTAGAATAGAAAGGAAACTGCTTCACGGTCACATCATTGTGATAAAGAAAATCGACTAAGATTTGGAACCAAAAGCGAAAAGAAAGAGCCAGAGGACTTGTCAAGCTTGTTTTGAAAACTTTGCTCTCGAATGAAAAAGTGAGGCAACATTAACGCAGGTGAAGCAGTAAAAGTGCTAATCTTAGATTCTCTCAAGTGCCTTGAGATCAATCAATATTTTTAGACGTACATTGTGAGGACCAATAATGGTGCCCGTCCAAGATCGCATGTAAATGTCATCTCCGTCATCCATTCCATAGCTCACTGTACCATCTCCAATGCCTTTTTCGCCATGCTCTAGTTCCTCCAGCAATCTAAAGTTTCTTGGAACTATTAAGGAAAAAGATATGAACAGTAAGATAACAAGACTTGTAAACTGCAGATATACAAATACAAGGACAACTCTTCAATACTAAGCAAAAAACAATAGTTAAACAAATGAATATGGGAAAAAAGACGGCCACCCCCGTTTAGCCTCTAAAAAAAGGATAACAGATGATCTAAATTATTTAATTAAACAATTAAACAACATTCCGGTCAACTATTTTTTTCGAGCATAGCCAAATGAATAGTGAAGCCAAGAAAGAAAAGTGCATAATTTTAAAATTTTTGGAGGGTCTTATAGCTATGATGGTGGAAAAAAAGCCATATTTTTATCCAGTACCAGACTATTTCTCTTTCCTTCTCCATTGATTCATTCACACCCTTTCCATCATCGGCAATGATACCAAATATGAGTCAAGGTATCGACCATTAGGTCTTCAATAACATGTACTTCGACACAAGGCATGCTCTAAGGAAGGAGAATTTCAAGAAACTTAGCTTACGTAGAAGTATTTAGAGTTAGTCTGCAGTTTTAATCTCTTTCAAAGGAAAAGACATGTCCATTGAGGACTAAATTTTTTTCGTGAGGATAGTCACACACGATTTTCATTAAACTCCATATGCCTAGAAGAGATCATCATCGTCCTCATTTCATTATTTTTTTTAACTTTTGTTATTTGGATAAATGTTGATACATCTACAAGACAAGGAAGCACACCTCTCCATTGACTCAGTGGAATGAAGCGTGACTGTTGTACACATGCAGAAAATCTAGAAATTAAAGATGAAAAACGATAAGCAAAAGCCTGTCTCAGTAGTCTCCTTTCGTCTTCACTTTTCTTGCTTTTCTACAAAAGCATAATGCAATTTTTCACTAATTTTAAGCGATGAACATCTACGAATTATACAGTAAAAGACGTTACATGAAAACAACTTTACACATATAACTTTGCTAATGAATCACATTCGTATAATCATAATGATCTGTAATAAATAATAATAAAGCAGTGGAATACATGTTCTAGGAAAAAATTCTTCGCAAAAATCATCCAATGAATCGAATCCGACCTGGTAGGAATTGGCACAGAAATATTTATGAGACGGAAATAGCTCAGCGCCTGGGTCCTCTGAGGCACTTAGTGGTGCCTCATAAACCTTTCAAGGAGCGATCTGGGATCTAAAGAAAGCATTTCAAATAACACAGAAAACCAATCGACGGATTATCCGCCCGTAAGACGTAGGAACCGGATACACGAGAAGAAATTTAGGCAGCCGACAGACCTCCAAAAAGGAAATCGATCCCCATGAGGTAAGCCCGCATAGGACAGCACAGGGCGAAAGATGAAGAGTGATTTCCATCATACTAAGCGCAAAACACGCGATCCACACGGACAGATACCAAATAAGACATAAATCACAAGCCAGCTTCAGATCATCTGGAGGCAAGAGGAAAGGTGGATGGGAGGGAGAATTAAAACAATACCAACGACAGAAGATCCCCCCGATCCAATCGTCATCCCTGCCGGATCTCGGTTAAGCTCTTCTGAAGAAGACGATGATCACCGAAGCGGAAGAGGATAGAGGAGAACAAAGGTGAGGGCTCCCCGAAGCCCCAGAGCGAGACTTGAACGGAATCCTCAACTTTGTCTTCAGGTGGACCGAGCCATGTTTCTAAAGGGAAGACTCTAGATTTCCATCGCTCACGCACATGGATCGTCAGATATCAATCGGACGGTATGGATAAGGTACTCCTTCTTAAATCCTACGGCCAATGCTGAAGGATCATCGATCCAACGGCATCACTTTCTTTACCAAAGGCTATATATTCGACGGCTGAGGCGTCGTACTGGTATTCGCTCGATTGCCATCGGACGGTGCAGATAAAATCAACTCCAATGTTTAAGACCCTAGGAAAGTGACCGTTGGATTGAGATCTGACGGCAAGTATTTCTCTCACCGGATTTCTCATCCATCTCGGGCTCCTCCAAATCGGACGGCTGCGATTGATGGATTCGACCGTTGCGGATCGCCTCCCCTTGTGTACAAGGACGCGTCTACCCCTTGTTGGGGGCAGAGTAGTGGAAACGTGAAGGCGGAGGGGACACCCGTGGGGTTGATGTGATCGGCGGTTCTTCTAGGGTTTCGATCGAAGAGGGTTTCGCCGATTCCTTCTGGTGTTGCTCTGGTAAGGCTCGTTGCTCTTTCCGACTTTCGTTTCTCTATCTGCTCGCCATCTGCCAGCCGCAGCGGTTAGGGCACTAGCGTAGGAATGCTTTCGTTTCGGATGCCACAGTTCTGTGTCGGTTTCCAATGACAGCGGCATGCTTTGAGTTAAATGGGTCGGTTGAACGGAAGAAAGAGCTCGCTCTGCTCTTTGAATGATCTCATTTTTGTTTCTTCCCTTGTGGCTTACGAAATTTGCAGCCCTTGGGAAAAGGGATGCAGAGCCTCGGGGAGGGGGGTGGGGAGGGGGGAGAGACAGAGAGAGACAGAGAGAGGAAGGGAGTTGGCAACGGAGCTTTTAGTTTTTAGATTTTTCATTTGGTGTATCTAGTCTAAAAATAATAAAGGTGGAGGAAATATGTGAAAAATGTGCTAGCGTTCATTTCAGGGCTGTTGGAAGTCCATGTTGTCAATGTGATTCTCTGACCCCTGGGTCCTTTGCTGGATTTAATTTGATGGTCATTTCTCGGACACACGAACTCTTGATGTTTGTTCTTTCGAAGTCGTGAAAGATCCTGTTCTTGACGATCATCTTTCTTTAAGTTCTGTCGTCTGGCTGGCCAGGCTGAGGTTTTATATATGTGCGATGCAAGATGGTGTATATAATGGTGGGGATAGTTAGCGTGCATGTTCAGTACGATCTCATATTTAAATTGACCCATAGCGTTAAATGATATCCTTGTGGTCATCATGGGTCAATTTTCCGTTCGCATTTCTGGTACTGGATCTTGCTCCAATGTGGAAAGCTTCCCATTTGGGAGAATGTGAATGGGATTGCTGATTCGCTGGAGTCTGGGTCTTTAATGAGGTTTATTATTGAACTCCGTGAGGTCGGAAGGTCGATGGGGAGCGAAGGGGATCGTTTGGAATGTGCGAACCACATGTTTAGGGAACCGTTTGGTCCCTGCCTGAGCTGTATTTGACTAGAAAATGCTCCATTGAATCCCCGAAAATTCAAATTTAGTTCTTCACTGCAGTGACTCCCATGTCATCAACAACCCCTCTCTTGTCTTTGTTCCGCTGCCCCAATCTCTGCCTTTATACATGTGTGGTGGACTGAAGGACCAACCGTATTGGCACCGCTGTTGGCTTGATATCTCTGTCAACATTTCGATATTTAGGAAACTGTAGTCCTTTCCCTCTCCGCTGCACCACAACCAATATTGTGGTATGATGTTGGTAAAGTTTTTTTCACTGTTATATCTAAAAGAAAAATAAAATAAAATAACGGATGCGGTAAACATTGGAATATTTGAATGGAGCCAGGCCGATACCTTTTAGAAGGGTTGCCTCTTGATTTTTGCGTTTATTGTTCTGCCTACTGCCATCATAACTTTCTCCTGTTACACTACAAGCTGTATCTTCTCTTTTTCTTTGTTTTTTGGTCAATTTGTCTTTTTTAGTGGAACTTTGACTTCAATTATTTAGCAAGAGATTGAATCTAGGTTATTTATTATTTTGTGTTTTGATTAAACCATGACTGAAAATTCTGTAAAAAAGACGAAGAGCATATGTGAATATCGTTTTTGATTGGCGTATTCGGTTTTTTATGCCTCTTATTTACTTTTTTTGCAGAGAGGCATATTGGAGTTGATTTTCCATTGATTCATATTTCATTTTTTAGCTATTAAATGGGGATTTTTCTTGAAGTTCTTCTCCATGAAGCCCCCAGCAGCAATAATAAAATAAAGGATTTATGCGAAGTCTATCGTACAAGGCTTAAAATAATGATTGTACTGTTAAGTTGGCTTTATATGGTTGATACTCAAAAAATATTTGGGATGTTTTTCTTTCTGCTTGTATTTCTTATGTCGCATCCTCACATGCACAGAGAAAACGTGTGTACTACTGACTTGAAATGTACTAATGTTGCTTGCAGATGTCGTTGTTTCTGGGAAATCTTTCCTCTCACATTCATGAAGACGAGCTGGAAAGGGTATTTCGGCGATTTGGTTGGTGTGATGTACAGCTGAAAGATGGATATGGATTTGTGATATATGAAGTACCTGAAAATGCTGAGCGGGCTCTTAGATCCTTGAGAGGGAAACAGATATGTGGCGAGAACATTGCTATCGATTGGTCCAAAAAGCAACCGAGGCCATTCCAACGGTTCTCAAGGGGTAGGAGGCCCTACGAACCATACCATGGGAGGAATTTCCGCGAGGATGAAAACAGTGAGAGGATCAGGGATCCACAGTATCGTCGAAATCTTGTAATGGATCGTGGGAGGCGTCCAATGTTTGGACAGAGAGCTCGTCGCTTTGATGAGACGGATTATAATCATGAAGATGTTGGCAATCATAGAGAAGAAAAAGCTTTAGACGCTAAAGGGAAGAGCTTAAACGAAGGCGACGCCGTTGAACCTGACACGGCAGAGAATGACCGGTGGGGGGAGCCTTCCAATGGCTCACTGGAAAGGAATGGTGCGGATCGTGAAGCTGATTTCGAACGTTACGAGCCTTCGCATGGTGTTGAGAAGAGAGATGATATCGAAAATCGTCAAATTCCTGGGTCAGATGGTTCCTCTTTGAAAAATTCACCTGACAAAGCCCAGAGAGAGCACTCAGGTGATAAACAGCTGGATAACCTGAAACAGCAACCGATATGCTATATATGTGGAATAGTGGGTCACAAGATGCGCAACTGCCCTCGTGGCGACAGATCAAGGCGAGACAGATTTGGTAGATTTGGGAGGAGGGACGATGACGCAAGTTTTCCTGCTAGAGGTGAAAGGGGGTTGAGTAGAAATGGACCCGACTCCCGGGGGCGGTTCAGTGCTGGTAGAGACACCTTGCTATCAAGGCCTCACTCTGGTGACGCAAAGGGATCTCAATCAGAGAAGCTGAGAAGGCTGGAAAGGATGAGGGAGAGCTCCCCAGAGAGTTCAGAAGATCATCTCCCTAGAGTTAGAAAAGAATCTAGAGGGAGGAAAAGAGGTAGGCATGAAAGTGGGGGCTCCAACAAAAAACGAAAGAAAAGAAGCAAAAGAAGGTCGCAGTCATCCTCTCCACACTCTGATTCTGCTGCAGGTAGCTCCAGGTCCCGCTCACGATCCTCTAGATCCGCCTCTGGCGTCAGCTCCCATTCGCGTTCAAGGTCTGTGTCTTCTAGGTTACACTCCGAGTCGTCGAGCTCAAAGTCCGTATCATCCTACTCCAAATCAAGAAACTCCGGGTCAAAATCAAAGGCCAGGTCAAGGACCAGATCATTATCCATTACACTAGATAATAACTTGCCATCTTTTCCAAAGGATGCAGCTGCAGCTGCAGATGCCATCGACGCATCTGCCATGGACGAACTGCTCCATGTCTCGGGTCCTGAATCCAAACAACAGTTTGGCGACCATTTAGTAGGTTCAGAGCTGAAAGGGACAGGGCCGAACGGTGCATCTGAAGATGAAAACGTGCTCACTTATCCCAAGATGGATGCTGCCGCCTTGGAAGAACAGCATCCTGGAGATGCTTCCGAGGATGGGAACTTGTTCGATTTCAGTATGGAAGAGAAGGAGAGAGATTTGTGCATGGATCTGCTAGACAAGGTCTCATATTCTTCAGAAAAGTCCCTGGAGAACCTTGGAGAAGAGGACAAGGCAGAGGAAGCTCAGTCCCACAAGCTGGACCTGGAGATCCATGGTGGGTACCCCGACAGCAGATCTTCGAATATGTCGTTCCAGGAGATGTGCACCGTTCTCAGGCACTATGGGCTGGCGGCTCCGGATGAGAGTAGTGACCCAGGCTCGAGATCAGTTGGCGCCTACTTCGGATCCGCCCGCTTGTGGCCGTGGGAGATGGTTTATTACCGTCGGCTGAAGAAAGGTCCCATCACCACAGAGAACTACGCCAGGCGTCTCGCGCAGAACAAGAAATTCGGCATCGTAGATAAATTCATCAGAAGCAGCAGTGGCTGGGGAGATAGCGAACAGGACGACATTTGATGGAGCTTCCTCTCTTCATCTCACCTCATACTGCACACATCCCAGCCCCCCCAAGTTTCAGTTGGTGCCCTCCACAGTGCATCTGTTCCCCGGTAATCCTCTCACTCTCTCTCTCTAAGTCTGAGCTTGTCTGGGTGGCACCGTTGAAGCTGGATCTTGATATTCCGTTCTGAATTGTGGGTTTTTTAAATTGTTTAATCTGAATTTTGGGTTTTTTTTATCGTTTAATGTGAACTGCGAATGGGTATGGGTGATTTCTTCAATATTTTCTCTAGTTGGGATCATTACAGCTGCATGTTTATCAAATATGGCCGCTGATCAGACATCCATATGCGTTGGATTCTTCATCGGCAGGGACATTTGCGGCGATCTACGATGAGTTGGGACGATCACCGGGCAGGTGGGGGCGGCTGCTGCTGCTGCTCAGACTCCGCCGCATCGTCACTGCAATGTTTCTGTGTTTTTCCCATCACATTTTGCACTCGGTGGTGCCCGTAAGAATGTATACATCAAGAACATGAGGCAGTACAAGTTTCATTCTCTCACTAGACGACGTTGGAATGTCTGGCCCATCTTGATATCGCGGCATTCTCTCTCTAACAGGGTCCTCACGGGCCTCGGGCCGAGCCCGTTCATAATGATCTTTCGCTCCGGCCGTTCACATGGTTACAGTGCCGGTGGGTACCTTCGGAGGCATTGAATTGAAGGGCCATTGAAATAAATTGGAATAATCCTTCCAGTAAGAACCCACCGGCGGCGGCGGTGGTGGCCGCCGCGGCGGCGATTGCAGTGAATGGCGGAGAGGAGAAGAGAGACAAAGAGTAGTAGTGGTCATGGTCTAAGTTCTGTTTAATTAGGCTACCACTGAGTAAGATACTCCTTACATATTCACCATCCGTCGGCAGATGAGAGGAGGTGGGGCTCCTCCTCCCTCTTGGGGTGATGAATAACTCAAAGGAGTACCATCAGGAGCAGAGGATCTTGTCATGGCGGCGGAAAACTCTAGCGAGAGAGAGAGAGAGAGAGAGAGAGAGAGAGAGAGAGAGGGTCGTGCGTCGTCTGGTTCAGTTGTTGTTGCGAGTCTTGCGCGAGGAGGAGGTGGTTGTCTTGGGGTCGTTGAGGAAGTCGAGGAGGACGGTGCTCTTGCACTTGGGGCACTTGGGGTCGTCCTCGGAGAGCATGACGTACATGAGGCAGCGGGGGCAGCCGACAAGCACCATGGACGTCGCCTCAGGGCTCCGGCTCGAGCACCTCCCCTGCTCCGTCTCCGACGACACGCACGAGCTCGGCGGCGACGAGGAAGAGGACGATGAGGAAGAAGAAGAGGAAGACGAGGAGTGGTTGGGGGAGGTGATGTGGGCGCGGTTGTGGCCGACGGCGGCGCCACCACCGCCGCCGACGCTCCCCACGGTGGCGCCGGAGGAGCCCCCCCGCCGGATCGACAGGTTCAGCCGCAGGTCCACCCTCGCGCTCTTCCCGTTGCGGCTCATCTCGCCGTCTCCCTCCTCCTCCTCAGTGGAGAAGACCTGCACCAGGTGAAGGGAAAAAGCGCAGAATTCCTTCTGGTCAGAGCCCAGGGAGAGAGAGGGAGAAGTGGAAGAATTACAGGGGGCGGCGGAGGAGGGGGAGGAGCAGGGAGACAGAGGCTCACCTCTGCGCAGCCCGGATGGCGGCGTCTGCCGGGGGTTGTGACTGGGAGAGAAGGGAAGAGCCCGGAGATGCCGGGGCGCCGCCGGCGGCTTCCGCGGAGGAGCTGCTGTTGATGTCGACGGCGGCAGGAGGACCACCAACTTCCCTCCACTAAAAAGGGGACGCTTTCAGCAACACCGGCGGCGAGGACCACCAGCTTCCTCCCCCCTGTTGCTGCGGCTGGTCGCGCTGCTGCTGTTGCTTCTGGTGGCTGCCATCCGACGACCCCCCATTTTATAGGGGCCGAAAAGAGCCCCTGCCCGAGGGCGATCGACAGAAATATGTGAGGGACAGAGAGCCTACCACCAGAGCCAGCGAGAGAGAGAGAGAGAGAGAGGTGGGGTTATATTAAATTCCTTTCTTTTCCTCTCTTTACGTCTCTCTGCTTCTATCCGTTCTACATAATTAGCAGTGCAAGTGCATACAGGTGTTGAGACAGAGAGAGAGAGAGAGCGGCAGAAGCTGGTGCTGCAGAAAGGGGCGTGTGGATTGAATGGAATTGAAGCATTTCTAGAGAGCAGAGGAGTAGACGTTCCCGGGATCGCTTGCAGAGAGGGGAGAGAGAGAGAGAGAGAGATAAAGAGGAGAAGTCGCAGTTACTGCATGCAATTACAAGCCGCAGGGAGTTCCCTCAGTCACCGCCTTCCGCGAGCTGAGGAAAAATCCGAGCTCGACAGTCAGATACTAAAAATATATAAATACACATATAATAAAATACGCAATTTTCCCACAAATAATTGGGCTCGATGTTCATATTTTAACATTTTAAATCGGGTAAAAAAAGATTTCATTTCACAATAAATTGTGTTTCCTAAAATAAGATATAAATGGGTATTGCCGTTTTTAGCAATAATCTGAAGAACAGAGAACAATGAAAATGATTCCACGCGTGAATCTGATTTTTTTTAAGACCAAGTTTGTTCGGTGGTCGTAATATTGGTTGGTGGGAAGGAAAGTAATATATTTTATGCATTTAAAAGTATTAAAATGCGTGTGAAGACTAATTTTTGAGAAAATTCTCAGAAGCACCATTAAAGATAAAATTCCGGGTGTTATATAAAAAAGGCTTCAGTTTAGAGAGAGAGAGAGGGGAGAGAGAGAGAGAGAGAGAGAGAGGAGAGAGAAGGGCAAAGTTGGTTGAGCATATATATATTATATATATATATATATATTAAAAAAAAAGGTGGGTTTCCAGTGTTGGGTACAGATATCTCAGAATTTACCGGAAACAAGTAAAAAGAATATTTACATTTGTCAAATAATTAGAGGCATTAAAAATCTGGAGCCGAGAGATTGAACACAGCCTTCATTTAGTGTGATGGCAGTCGTCACTCACGCCGTATCGCCCCTCAGTGGAATCGGATCTTCGTGCCCCCGGGCCGATGCCCCTAACTAAGCAAGTAAATGAGCAATTAAATGGCCGCCGGTTGGCTTAGTAAATGTCTTGAATTCTGACCATTCCCCCCCACCCCCTTCCTGAGAGCTAGAGAGAGAGAGAGAGAGAGAGAGAGGGTCACAGAGCCGTGTGGGCTTCTCGTTCATGGAGGTGATATGATAAGCATACAATAAATTCTCTTGTTTGATACGTGTGAATGGGGCTCCCCCCCTTCAACCTCTCTCTCTCTCTCTCTCTCTCTAACTAAGAACAGGAAGAGAGAGAGAGGGAGGGAAGGGTGGTGAAAGAGCAAGTTGACCCCCTTTAAAGTCACCGTGGAGAGGGAGGGAAGGGAGCTCGAAAGGGAGTTTTGATCACATGCGCCCTCTATGTGAGAGGGAGGGGGGGGTTCATGAATGCATGCGCCTAGACCGAGTCCCGTCGTATTACAATATTTTTAAAATTATTTTCTCGATATTTGATCGATTCCGATCAAATATTTTATCGTATTAACTACGGAGTCTCAAGATTTTCTTACAGATTTAAGCTCGTTTTCAATGAAAATATAGGGATTTCAGGCCCTCCACGTGGCAATTACTGCTGTATTGCTGGATTCATCTGTCTTGGGCCTTCCAAGCCCGTTGACCCCGCTATTAGGGGAGCATAGGAGTCGTGGGTTGATAAGTTAAGCGATGCCTTAACCGTTGAAGCCAAGAGTGTTTGACTTTCTCTTCTCTTAAGCACGCTGGTGACTTTGATTAACGTAAAACACGGCGCCTTCAATCAATGAGCGCCTCATGTCCCAAAAGTCTACTTAGCTGACGTCTTCGCACCTACCCACGTGAGATTTACATAAACTCATCGTCCATTAAAGAACGGGTCTAGTTTCATTCGTCGTTAATCCCTCTCTCTCTCTCTCTCTCTCTCTCTCTCTCTCTCTCCCCTATATCTCCGACTTGGGTTGATATTCGCTCATCACTAATCTCCCGCCCTCTCTCTTATCTCTGTCATCCCCGACTTGGGTCGAGCTTCCATTCACCACATACCACCGCTCTAAAGTGTGTGTATACAGCTCTCTCTCTCTGCTCGGCAACCTAGGATGGGTAAACCAAGCGGTGAGACCGAGCTGAAGCCTCCCTGGGGAAACCGAGATCTCGGGTTCATCGCCCCCCCCGTATTAATGCCCCATCAATCTCATCGTTCATAGAACTATATAAATACTCAAATATTTATATAGATTGATGACGTTTAATGTAATAATGTGTGTGTCTAGGGGGGGGGGGGGGGGGAAAGTCGTCCCTCCTCTCACGTCATGCTTATGGTCTTGTTACCCTCCCGTCGGTCATGTCATAAATTAATACCCAGAAAAATATCCCCGTTTACGTTGGCCCTCGATTAACTCGAGAGAGAGAAACTTCGGTCTAAAATTCGGATAATATCTACACACACGTACTTCGGACGAACCTGGTGCCTACGAGAGAGAGAAAGAGAGAGGGAGAGAGACGATTACGTTAGTTCGGGATTAACTCCGGCAGAGAGAGAAGCTGAAAAGAAATTCGGTATAATACCGGGTTAAAAATTGACTCCAGAGGAACCTGACGCTTAGACAAACAGAGAGATAGATAGGTAGGTAGGTAGAGAGAGAGAGAGAGAGAGAGAAGACGGTGATTGAGTTGGTCTATTCGCCCACCTCTCCTCCTCGTTCACGGAAGACGTTGACCAGAAAATGAGATTTGAAGCGGCAACTCTGAAGGTTTCGGCGGGCCATTAAAGCTCACAGCGACTGGACGCAGTAATATGCTCCAATCCGCGCTACCCTTTCCTTTTCTTGTGTTCTGAAGAGGCCGTTCTATCCACATCTAGGCATTTCCTGTGTGGGTTCTTCCTTCCGATTATTCATAACCCAAGCTCCATTTGTTTCCTTTTTCGATCTGGAAGATCACATTCTATCTACATCCGAACATCTCTCAGTGGGCCCTTCCATTATCATAGTTTCAATCTCTCTCTCTCTCCCTCCCTCTCTCTCTCTCACGCTCGCTCTATCGAAATCCCGCCATCCGTCATCTGAGTTCTTCGGCTTTTTTAATAATCGTAAGGTCATAATACGGAGGCCGCGGTAAACATAATATTAATCTGGAAGGGGGGCCATGAATTAATAGTAAAGGCGTGCATTGCAGAGGGGAATCGGTCTTCGGCTGGACGAATCACCTGGCTTTGGTGACGCGGTTTGAATGCGATTCAATTATCCCGAATCGCCAGAATTGGATTCGTTCGGATGCAACTAAATGCCCCACCCGGTCTTCTGAACTCTCTCATTCATGGCCGCCACGCGCGCTCTCGTTCGTCCATCTCCCGCGATTCTCTCGAGCTTGTTCTTCGATTCGAGATGGCTTCTTCTGATCTAGAGAGAGAAAGAGAGAGAGAGAGCGGGGGGTGAAGCAGGTGGGCATTCATGTGACCATTTACGGGTTTGATTTGCTGTTGCCAGCGGAAGAGCATAGCAACACGTCATGAGAATTGAAAACCCCATTAAGACCATTCATGGCTTCTCCCATCTCTCCCCTTTTATAAATGTCTCCTTGTCTTAAAGCCGGTACCACTGTTACCGTTTTATTACTCTCTCTCTCTCTCTCTCTCTCTCTCTCTCTCTCTCTCTACGGTTTCCTATGTGCCCATTTGAATGACGGCCCCTTTTTAAGTAAGCAGACCCATTCGGGCTGTACTCAACCCAACCAGAAAGCCGTCTTCACGGACGTGAACCAGTTCACACCCTCACGAATTGACCACCCCCTCGGACCCATAATCAGTTCTCGGTCCGCGCCAGCCTGTCACCCGGCGGCCCGGGGACGCCAACCCACGTTCGTTGACCCAACCCTTTTAAAGGTCAACACACGAAAAAAATCGTGGTCAACACCCAACAAAAAACCCATTCCCATCAATTTTCCAATTACTTCCGAGACTAAAGATCAGAGATTTCGTAATCGACCTCTACATTTCATGACAAGAAGAGAAACTTAAATCCGCGGCAGAAGAGATGGCCAATTTAGACGAGCAAAGGTTGACCAAATACGGGTTGTCAAAATGGAACCTACAGCCTCACGGTAGATCAAGCTAGAATCGGTCAACCCTCACCGACCGCCCAGCCTTTGACCGATTTTGGGTCAAATTGGCCCCACGGCCCTCTCCCTTTGACGAACCCGGACCCGTTCTTGGGCCCAATTGGACTTGCCTTCCAAATCACACCTGCTCCGTCCCAGCGGCATTCAAGCCCCCACTAGTTCCTCCCCCATTGAGGAGGAAGAAGAAGAGGTCCCCCGGATGAACACCGTATGCGATACCATCATCAGGTCGCCATTGAAGAGAGCTGCTGGAGAGAGAGAGAGAGGGAGTAATTAAAGCTGGCGAATGAGAATCTCAAGGCGATCTCCCCCCTCCGGAGAGCCCTTCCCACAACCTCCGGCGAGTACGGCCATCGCATTAAGGAGGGGCCATCTTCCTGCTTAACTGGAAGCCCGGGGGCCCAACCCTAATTCTCGGTCATTCATTCCTTTAACTAGTCACCCACCCTTTCGCTCTTCAACTAGAGAGAGAGAGAGAGAGAGATGGGCTATTAAATGGTTAAGCTGGGCACCATCCTGGGGTCTCGACAATGCCACATAGAGACAGAAGGATAGAGGGATAGAGAGAGAGCTGGGCTTTTGAATGGTTGAGATGGGCACCATCCTGGGGTCTCCTCGATGTGCCCACAGGGCTCTCTCTCTCTATCCTTCTGTCTCTATGTGGCATTGTCGGGGCTCCCGGTTGAATTGTCCAGTCTTCGGAATGGGATTTTCCAGGCCCACCTGCGGATTCTCACTGTCTATGCTCTCTCTCTTCCTCCAGTTCGTTCACTGATGCGAGAGGATCTACCCAGGGCTGAAGATCCGAGGCCGCCTTCTGCAGGAGCAACTCCCACAACCCAAAAGCTTAGTCCAACGCTTTTACTAGCATCTCCTGCCAATCTGGACGCGATTCCTCGTCGACGAACCCGTTATCACCATAATAATGGGGGTTTCTCCCCCGTTATCACCATAACGGGCCGGGCCTTTCACGAGCTTAAGATGATCTCTTAGGCCGGCCCGCCCGGAGGAATTGGGCTCGGCCCGAGAAGATTAAGAATGTGTCAACGCAGTTCTCGATCCTTAATGGGAGAAAGATGGTCTCTTTAGTCATATACTCGATCCCAAGAATCTCTGATATTGAAGGCAGGGGAAGAGTTACCGCGCTCGATCTATTTTTTCAATAATCAAAGAGTTAAACAGTGATTAATTTTTATCAAGGACGGCCGCAGGAGGACAACGTTCTCTTCATTAGACCAGTAAAGCGGGCAACAAGCCTGTCTGGATTACCGGCTTTGACTTACAGTGTGATTGAAAAGTCAACTCGAGACAGAAACATGGCAAGGAGGATCACCCCCCCACCCCCCCGGTCGAGTCCACCAGCGCCACTGCTGTTAATCAGAATCATAGACAGCCGGCCGGCCATATCACCCACTTGGATCCAACGCCAACGCAAACTATCGGTGACCGCGATTTGACTTCACGCACACGAATTTTAAGTCAACCTCGAGAGCACATACGGCCGAAAAGCTCCCTGGCTCAGATTCCCAGGTTTGTAAGGCTAAAATTCTTAGCATAAACGTGCAGACCGCATATCCTCCGACGGCTTCCAGTGCCTCTTCCTCTGGTTGATGAACCAGTTGTTGATCTGCTTCTGATCCAGCCCGGTAACCTCCGCGAGCATTGCCTTCTCCTCTTCCTGGGTCGTCTCCTAAACCCATATCCCGATGTCCCCTGGGTCGGCTCTGATCCGTTTGGACTGAAACTGGGTACTCAAAACGCGTTGACTCCAGCAAGATCCACGTGCCCAATAAATCGCCACCCAAGAAGGGCCTACTAGAACAAGGATGAGCAAGCTCTGTCCAGGAGACCGTTAGCTGCTGGAACCCCATCTTCTACAGATCATAATAGCCGTCCTATGAACAGATGGGAAAGCGACAAATCGAATGCCTTTTCAATTAGCACGGATGAAGCAGGCGATGTGGTCCATAGAACAAACAGGAGCGCGCAGAGTCAACACCGTTGTCCAAAGACTGGAAAGACTGACCGGTAGAAGCGTGAGATCAGCGGAGGCGCAGCATTCCAGAGGACTTTGGTCTTCGGTCCGAAATCGATTGCCAATGGGAGACTGGAATGGGAGCAACAGGGAGACCCCCATCTGCGCTTTTCTGATTGAGAGTATGCATCCACAGAGGGATTATAATTAAATGCATAAATCAGATCTGCCGGAACAGGAGGAATATGACGGGCGAGATCCCCAGAAGGAATCAAGAATGAGGAGAAATCATGCAAAAAAATAGGGCAACCCACGAGGTGCACAGGGTCGAGGTGGGGTCGCCGGAAAATCCCTCTAGTACCTTCCCCTTCCCCCCAGCCCGCCGTGGCCGCCGAAACCGCCAGGGCCACCGGCGGCGAAGGAGGACTCCGCCTGCTTGACGACGCCAGGGAGATCGGCCATGCCGAGAGCGGCGAGCATCTCGATGGTTTCCTTGTCGACCTCAATGCCGTCCGTCTTGATGGCGGACACTTCCGGGACGAAGTCCATGCGGCGCTCCCTCTCCTCCTCCTGCAACTTGAGCGAGATGCCCCTCACGGGCCCACGCTGGATGCGCTTCATCAGGTGGGTGGAGAAGCCGGCGATCTTGTTGCGGAGGCGCTTGGAGGGGATGATGGCCACCTCCTCCAGGATCTTCTTGTTAGTGTGGAAGTCGAGGGTCATCCGCGAATAGTACCGCTCGATGACCTGCCGCGACGACTTCTTCACCGTCTTCGTGCGCACTCGACCCATTTTCTTCCTCCGCCGCTCTCAGAAGAAGGAAAAGAATCCGGCGCAAACCGGGCGCTTTACTCTCCTCCTCCCCCTGCTGTTCGGGCAAACCAGGTGCTCAACGGGCCATTCTTATTGGGCTTTTTTTTAACGGGCCAACGGCCAATGGGGAGATCCATAGAAATGTTATAGCCTCGAATGGCTGCCCATGTCCATTTAATAGAGATGAGCCCAATAATATGATAAAACTTGAGTCTTTACATGAATCGAGGCTGATTGCCTAAGAAGACCATACAAAGCCCAATGGAAATAAATAAAGTTTGTATGAGATTAGTCTCTACTATAATGTGCATATGTTAATGTGGCACAAGACAATGCACAATGGTGTGGACCATAACATACATAGAGCATGCTTTATACATCCATAACAATGCAAATGACCAAGGATGTGGTGATGCATGTGAGATGATAATAAATATGTTGTACAAGTCATAATTGAAGTCAATAAATCAACAACAAAAGATCATCCAATATGTAATATGACACATTTGACTTGACATATGGGTATGATCATCTAATGTGTATGAGAGGGGTGACTTCTCTATTCTTCAAAAGTCAATTTTGATATATGCCTAATAAGGGCCTATATCAGAACAAGGAAGAAGAGAGGGCTAAGGCCCATCAGGCCCAATTAGAACCTCCTTTAAATCCAACTATGGAGCCTTCCCCAGGGAGCAGGAAATTAGAAGAAGAAGGATCCTTGACTGTCTCCCTCCTCTACCTCTCCTCTGCCACTTCCATTTGGGGTTCTTCTTTCTATGTGAAAATCTTTTCTCTGGTTGGATTTGGAAATTGTTCTTTAGGAGATAAAATTCAACAGCAAGATACAAACTGAGATCATATCAAAGTCAAGTCGATAAGATAACATGTCACTATGTGAAGAGAGGTCAACTAGTAACTCAAAAAACTTTGATGTGTAGGAGATCTCAGAGAAGTTATATAAAGTGAATATGTGAAATATGCATGCTGTGTAACCATTCCTTTTATATGATTAACTAAATGATGCAAGATCTTTGGGTGATATGTGCCATAGAGATTATCTAAAATGATGTCTTTTACAATAGTCATCTAATAATATATGTAGAGGCATTACTTGATTATTGCCTCCACTCATCTTCATTTCATTTTTAATTATATATACCTCTTCATAGTGATATCAATTTCTATAAGCCTTTTTTCATATATTTAGTATTTTATGTGAGTATCAATAAAATTTAGAGCACAATAATTTTATTTTATGATTTCAAAATTATTTTTTAGTATAATAATTAATTAATTGACATATCTCTGGTACTTTACGATCATTATAATATAATTCAATAAATACAAACTATCCCGTTAGGTTCCACAAATAAAATTATCCATCACAAACATATATTATCCTCTAATTGATAAGTGGCTATTATTCTCTATTTTTCAAAAAATGGAAGTATAATATTCCGAACACATTAATGTTGCTTAATCCAAGAATGCCGAGTCCTAACAATGAATTAGAAGATTTTTCAGAACTAAGTAAATCGTAAATATTTATTACATCATTATCATCAATTTGATTAATGATCTGATGGGACGTACCACAATATTTATTTATTGATTTGTTGGGGCCTACGGCACGAGGCTGTAGATGCCCTCCAAAAATCGGCGTATGCCGCTTTCTGTGACGAGCACACGGTATTCTTTAGTAAAAGGCGAAAGAATAGTTCGCTCTGTGCTCATCACGCGGCTGCGTAACTACGAAGGAGCAGGTGCATCGAATTAAATAGTTTCCTGGTCTTGTGGATAATTGAGAAACCGATGTGGGACAAAATTGCAAGGTTTTCTTCGTCGATTTCTTCTGGGTCATGCTCGTTATGGGGCCGGCAGTCGGCATGTGCGAGGACCACGTGTCCGGCATATCCGGAATGGATCGTCTTATCCGAACATCCACGTGGCGAGTAAATATTTGTCCACATCATCAGGCCTCCATCCCCTGAAATCCACGGGGAGGAATCCGCATCACAAATTCTGGCGCGCAGAATCAGTTAGCTCGCCGCCGTCTCTCTCTCTTCACTCCCCCCCATCGACGCCTCTGCCCCCTCCTACAAACCACCTCAGATCATCGTCTCCCCGGAGAGAGTTGGTGATCTGATCTGAGCGAAGGAAGGAGACAGAGGAAGAAGGGAAGAATGGCTGCCATGGCCACATCCACCACCGTTGCCGGCCTGGGGGCGCTCCCCCTCTCCCGCCCCTCCCGGAAGGTCGCCCTCTCCTCCGGTAGGCCACCACATCTCGCGATCTGTCTGATGGATTGAAGTAAGCGAACGACATGACTCTGCAGATCTGAAGCTAATGATCTACTCCCTACCTTGGTGGTGCAGGTTTCATCAGATCTCAGGCGCCGGCAAGGAACCCCCTGAGCCAGAAGCTGGCCTCCGGAGGAAGGTTCACCTGGTAAAACCCCCCAACCGAGCTCCTTCCGGTGGAATCCCTTGCTCTGGTGCCTTTTCCCTGAAACCTGGTGGCTGGTGAAGCTTCGAGAGGGACTGGCTCCGGACGGACCTGAACGTGATCGGATTCGGCCTCGTCGGATGGCTTGCCCCCTCCAGCATCCCGGCGATCAACGGCAACAGCCTGACGGGGCTCTTCTTCGACAGCATCGGCAAGGAGCTCGCTCACTGGCCCACCGGCCCCGCTCTCACGTCCCCCTTCTGGTACGGATCTAAATCTTCTCCCCCCTCATTTGCCGATCCTCCGGACTCCTCGCTGACCTGATCCATCCATCCATGCCCCCCGGCTGCTCCTTCAGGCTGTGGCTGGTCACCTGGCACCTCGGCCTCTTCCTCTGCCTCACCTTCGGACAGATCGGATTCAAAGGCAGAAAGGAGGAGTACTTCTGAGGCATCTGCGTCGCGAGAGGGCTCTGTAATCTGATCATGTAAAGGAAGGAGAAGAAGAAGAAGAAGAAGAAGACGACGACGACGACGACGATGATGATGATGATGATGATGATGATGATGATGCCTTCTCTTTAATTGTCTTCTGTGGCGCTGTTTATCTCTAATGAGTCCCCCTTAAATGTGTCGATAAGAACGCAGTTCACCGGGCCCACAGGAGCTTTTATTTATTTATTTATATTATTTCCTATTAAAAAAATTACGCTTAATTACTTCCTCTGAGGTAAAAAAAATGATTTCCATTTTTTTTCTATATTTATATTAAAGCACTTTCTGTGAGGACAAAAATTGAGTATAAAAGGCCGCTAAATCATAATAACTTAATAAATTCAGTATTTCAATAAATGGCGAATATATGACGTCACTGTATTTATCCCAAGTAGGCCCGGGCCCAACTTTCGGGCCTCGGGCCGGTAGGTACGGCCCGAACATATATATATATATATATATATATATATATATATATATATATATATATATATATATATATATATGCGCTGCCAGAGACTGATGGGGTGGGCTGGGGATCACGGGCCTTTTTTTTCCGGGGTCTGAGATCGGGCCGGCCCGTTGGCATCCTTGTGGACTATATCATCTACCTCCTAGGGCTTCTTAATAAGACAGAGATCGTGCGGCAGGAGAACCCTGAACCTCGCCGGAGTGCGGTGGATATGACTCGCCTGAGCACCGAACAGGTGCGGCGGGAGAACGACGGCGAACCCTCCTCCATCACTGCGCTCAGCCTGTCCTTCCGTGCTTTATCAGACGTAAGACCTCGGGTGCCATTGTAATTCGCTTCCGTTTCTGTCCGCCAAGGTGTTTCAGAGCTGCGATTACAAGTTTATGTTGATTGCTGTGTGGTTCAGGTTTCGTGCTTGGGCGATTTCCGAAACTTGGCGAGGCTCGACGTCAGTTGCAACAGTCTCACCAGTCTGCAGGTCAGTTGAAAAAACTCGATCTCCCTCGTGTCCTCCTCCGACCTTTTCAGTGTGTTAAATGTTGATTCCGAACGTCTCGACTGCCTGGCTATCAGGCGTACACGGTGTGGCTATTTACGTGCTTTCCATTTTTTGAACTATCCGAGCGATATCCTCAACGTGACCGTATCGTGCTTCATTAATATGGCCACGCATGTTAGATTGATCCAACTCTTATTCTTCGAACTCGAATCACAGGGACTGAGCTCATGTGTCAATTTGAAGTGGTTATCCGTTGCACAAAACAAACTCAAAAGCCTGAAAGGACTTGAAAGTCTCTCCAAACTTACGGTAAGCTACAGCGATGACTCATTTTGCAATTTTCTAGCTTTCTATCTATATTGTGAATTGCGTATCGAGGTCCAGTCCACAATGAGACTTGTAATCGACGTTGTCAAGTGTTGTTTTCCGGTTTGAACATCGGATTGATAATCATGCCCTTCAAAAGTATCCATTTGTAACCAAGTTCTTTCTTTGTTAAATGAATTGTGCTGAATAAGATGCCCCCTCTGACATTACCCTCGGGCAATTTTTAATTTTTAATTAATCATTGCTATTTCTGTCCGTTAATTATCGATACATTGCAATCGTACCTACTTATCTTCTCCTCCTATGGATCAATAGGAGGAGAATCACTTATGCCAATTCAGTTGGATTTGTTGAATTGGTGCGACGGTGCTTTATGAATGAATGCTAAATAATTTTTGGAGAATGATCAACCTGAGTCATTTTCCTTGTCTATTGAGTAATCATATGGCTATATGGGTCAGCCAATATTTATTTAAAACTTGAGCAATGATTTGTTGCTGACGTATGTTGCCTGCATGCTTTTATCTGTTTGTCGGCGTTTCCTAACTTTCGATGTAGGTTCTCAATGGCAGCAAGAATATGCTTCAATCAATTGATGAGGTCAAGTCTCTCACTGATATACGGGCATTGATTTTGAATGGTAAGTTTGTGCAAGTAGCCCTTTCTTCAGACCGTTGATTCTTTGAGATTCTTATCAGAATAATATGCAAATGAACTTAACCAACTGAATGTTTGTCGATTTGTTTCTGTCATTTTTTCAGACAATGAAATATTTTCTATTGGTAACCTCGATCAGCTGAAGTTCTTGAATACACTTGGTATGTTTGACATGTAATTTATAATTCCTTTTTTTTAGAATTTATTTTTTTGGTGAAATTACTGTATTTTCCGGTAATTACAACGTACAGCTATCAGGATATTAATGGGCTATTGATCTTTCCTCGTATTTTTTTGGTTTCAAGTGAAGTGGGTTATGCTGTGTAGTTTAAATAGTTGACTTCGTAGATGTTGGATAGTCTATTATGCCTTGTTTCTACTCCTTTAAATACAGGAAGTTTCTTAACTTATTTCATAATCCTTGCATCAGATCTGTTAATAGGGAAGTTGGGTTATATCTGACTGGGAAATGCTAGGTCATATGGTTACTCTTGTTTTCTTTTTCATACCTTGGCCTTTTTGTTGCCCACAGTGCTTTCTCGAAACCCAATTCACGACATCGGTTCGTCCTTGAAGAGCTCAAAGTCTATTACCAAGGTAAAAATCTGTCAGTTCAGTTTTCTCATTGTATTGCATTTTTGTATCTATTTTAATGCTGATCATTTTGTCCTGTGAAAAGAAAATCCATGGTAATTTTATTTTTCATGGCTCAGTTGTCACTCTCCAGTTGTAAGATCCAAACGCTTGGATCGTCCCTCATTTTTGTAACAAATTTGAAGGAGCTCAGACTTGCTGACAATGAGATTACAGTATGTATGCTCTTGCTTTAGAGATCAGTTACGAAAGATAAATGTGGCATCTTGATACATACTTTCTCGTGCTGTGTTGGCTTCATTCCTACTTAGCGTGGGTGGTCCCAACTTATCCTATTTAAATATCTTAATTTAGTTGTACTTGCAAAATAGAGAAATATTTTTTCTTTCTCTGATATGCCTCTTTCATCACCATTTCTCTTTCAGATTGATGTTACCCCTAATTGAGATGTTTTTTGGCCCCAGAGTTTGCCTTCTGTGTTAGCAAAAAATATCAAGCTCCAGAATCTCGATCTGGGGAAAAACTTAATCACAAGATTGTCGGATTTAAAGGTCAATCATTATGCACATTTATTTTTGGTTTGATTTTATTGTTATTTTAATTGTATCCATATTATAATCTACGGTATTAACTTCCTCAGGTCATTTCTGAACTGAATAACATGAAAAATCTCAACTTACAAGGAAATCCTGTCGCAGAGAATCCCAAGTTAATTAAAAAGGTAACATCTCTCTCTCTCTCTTTCTCTCTCTCTCTCTCTCGCTTTATATATATAATATATCTACCGTTCAATCTAAACAAGGCTTCAAGTATGGTCAATCTGTCTATTCATACAAGTACATATGTGGATGGATCCATATAAAATGATGTGGCCCGACTTGTGGGTATCTATATAAAAACGGTCTGTTCTCATTACTTCTTGTCACAGATCAGGAAACTGGTTCCAAAGTTGCATATTTTCAATGCCAAGCCGATAGATAGATGGAATCAGAGGAAAGGAATCCCGGAGGCCGGCCCAGAAGATACCCCCCCTGTTGAGATCAAGGAGCGGGAGAAAAGGAAGAACCCCGGCGGAGGTGCAGGCGGCGGCAGCCATGAAACCCATCACAGGGCGGCAGAGGCGAAGAAATCCAGAGCCACCATGAATCCTCCTGACGAGGTGATCACCTCTGGAGTCAACGAGGAGCTCGTGGGCAAACAGGAGAAGAAAGCTGGGAGCAAATCTCAGGCCTTCGACGATGGAGAATCCCCTTTCATGGACCTTGTTCTTGCCGAGAGCTCCTCTCATGAAGCTGCACCAGGAGGCCGCCCCGCCACTCGAGCTCCGTGGGATGAGAAGCTGCTTGGGGGCCTGGTCGTGGACCACACGAAGAAGAAGGGCAAGGGGAAGAAGAAGAAGTCGGCGGGAGCTCAGCCGGCGGCGCCGCCCGGCTTCCCCCACCCGCCGGAGGTCGGAGTGGGCGGCCCGTCGACCTGGGATTGACTGTCGTGCCCTTCTCTGCAACTGAATCCTCTCTTTTCTTTCGTCTTCAAGCTCTGATTAATGGCGCTCTTGATCAGGATCATATTCCCTGTTCTCCCCTCCCGTGCCAGGCTCCTCTGCTGTTTCAGGCCGAACAGGGGAAGAGGAAGCGGGCGGAGCAGTCTTGCTTGAGGCCGGCGAGGGTGGCGATGGCGGCGAGGAAGAGGGAGACGCCGGAGAGGACGCAGCGCAGGTTCAGCTGCGCCTCCTCTCTGATCCTCTTCTCCTTCCTCTCCCTCCTCCTCGCCAGGTAATCTGCGTAGCGCCGGCGAGCCTCCTCGCCGGTGCTCCTCCTCCCCCCCTCCAGAGCCCCCAGCAGCAGCACGAGGCTGTGCCTGCCGGTGAGGCACTTCCCGTCGGCGTCCTCCACCGTCAGGCTCACCTCCCGCAACTGCAGCATGGTGGTGGCGCCACCGCTCCCGCAGGTGACAGATGCCACCGCGGCGGCGGCGCCGTCCTCCCCGAGCACGACGGCGAAGCGGAGGTGGATCTCACCGGTGTACCAGTGACGTTTCACGGACACGGGTCGCCGGCTCGAGAGATTGGCAGCTCTCCGCCGCGCCGGGTCGATCACCACCCAGCTCAGCTCCAGGCTCTCCGGGGAGATCACCGCCGCGGCCGGCGCCGCCGCCGCCGCCGCAGCCGCCTTGCGGTCGAGGGCGTCGATGCGGAGCGGGGAGCCGAGGAACCAGGCCCCCTGGGGGTCCGTCTCCATGACCCTCGACAGGAGGGGCTCCCCGCCGTGGAAAAGATCCACGGCCCACACCAGCGCCGCCGGCGGCGGCTCCGGGGAGGGCACGGCGGCGCTGCCGGGGTGGGGGTAAGGGTAGGCGTCGCTGAAGAAGCTCCGGTGGGAATGAGGGAAGCAGGGGAGGAGGCTCCGGAGGCGGTGGTGGTGGAGCGATGGCCACGCGCGGAGGCACAGGCTCTCCCACAGGTGAGGCTGCACGGAGAGGGCCCGGAGCAGCGGCGCGCTGCAGCTCGCGGCGGCGAGGCTCCGCCCATCCAGCAGCCGCAGGACGCTCGTCACCACGTCGGGGTGGAGCTCCTCTAAGCTGCGGCCGGCGGCGGCGCCGCCCTCCCCGGCGGCCATCTCTCCCAAGTCAAGTCCAAGTCCAAGTACCACAGGGGAAGACCGGGGGGGGGGGGGGATTTTTTATCCAAACATCGCAGGGATAACAGATACTTATTATGGGCTGATGTGGTGCCAACGCTCGCCGTTGATGTGGCGTCAGGTTCTCTGACTGGCGGCGCCGCCGTCGCTTCTAATCGTAAATGTGCCGCCCAACTAATCGGCTGGGATTCTCCTGGAGCAAACCCGTACGTACGCCTCTCCGGTCAAAGCGTAAGGCTCCTCCGGGTGGGTCAGATGTCGACACATCTCGGCGAGGGGTCACATCGCCGTGCAGGTGCCGCTGCGCGGCGCAGACCCAGCCGCTCGCTTCCCGTTCGATTATTGCGCAACGTTGACAACTATCCGTCCCCGTGCCGACGCTGTTGCCAGTCGCGATCCCCGCAGTCGGTGCAAACTAAAAGAGTATCACGAGGCATAGTAATTCAATCTCCAGTGGAAGATGCCCAGATAATTGTCATTGTTTAATACCCTTAAATTGGAATTAAGCTTTCTCTCATTTTCATCGATCTTTAGCCGGCCTTGCTATTAAACGGTCAACGCAGCATGGCCGCCGATGGGTCGTGGAAGCCAGAGAGAGAGAGAGAGAGAGAGAGAGAGAGAGCACTGAACCGATTGGGAATTTATACAGTTCGCTAGGGTGGAACAGTACAGAAATAGTCTCCCCCGCCGTAGTCGTCGTCTTCTTCTTCTTCCTCCGTTCAATCCGACGCATGCAATTCAGTCAAATCCAGAAGGAAGAAGAAAAGCTCCGATGAAAATGGTCTTATTCCTTCATCTCCATCTCCACGTTATTTCTTTCGTTCCTGTGCCCGTCAGGAGCTCCGCTGAAACGGGTTGGTCACTCTGCGGCCTTGCCCTTGCACTGGGCAACCCCGCCGAGCGGAGCGGTGGCTTCGCCCATCTCCAGCAGATAGCAGATTATGGACTCCACGTCGTCGCCGAAGATGCTGTAGGCTTCCACCACCTGGAGGTAGCTGAAACCCATCGACAGCAGCATCTGCATGCTGTCGTTGCGCACAATGTCCGGCAGAGATTTATCCCTTCCGCCGCCGGGGCTGCCCGCCGTCCCCGCCGGCCCTGTTTTCAGAGTCAACGGACGGGATAGCCAACGGTGAGAAGAGTTTTTTCTTTTCTCCCGCAGAGAACAACTGCGGAAAGAAGAAATTCAAAGAAATGCCCGGATGCTAGAGAGAGAAAAGTGGGGTAATCAATCTTCAAGGGAAATGCCGGCATGTTAGTGAGAGAATGACAAGTAGAGAGAGAGACCCACCCCTGCAAACAACAACAACAATAACTACCGAACAAAAGAAATATACCGGAGATCTCGATGGAAATCTCCAGCAGGTTTTTCACCCTGCTCTTGTTCCTGAGGGGCACACTGAAAAGACCCATCCAGCAACCAGAGAGGGCGTTGACAGTTGGAAGTCAACAGAAGTCAAGATCTGGTTTTGGGTACTCACTCGTCGTTGCAGAAGATGATGGTTCGGCGCCAGGGGTGGATTCCCTGAAACCCATCTGCAGCTTGAATTTATCCTTGGCGAGATACTCGGCCCGCGATGCTTCCATCACCATGCGTTCTATCTCCTTCTCAGTGAGCTCCAAATCTGAATAGAAACGACCCTCCGCCAGAAGAGCCTGCCATTGACGAAGGACGTCGATCAGCGTTCTATTCCCCCCCCCCCCAAAAGACGAGAGCGACTAAATATTTTGAGGCGAAAAAAAAAGAGAAGAAAAGATCCATCAAGCATAGGTTTTACTTTCTGGAGAGAAATAAAAAACAATGTTCTTGAGGTCGGTTAAATAAAAAACAATGTTCTTCCGTCAATCAAACGGAAATTGATGGGTTTTGGGGGAATGTCATCTAAATCAGTTTTCTCACCAATCCTATCCGTTTGTTCTCCAGCTCTAAGATTATTCAAGAGAATGGTCATCACTCGTCATCACTCCGAATGTTGAGGATCTGTCAGATGTTCTGATACTCTGCCATCATCGAGGCTTCTAACCTAAACAAGAGGATCGAGCTTTCTAGAGAGAACTTGTCTGGATTTTGGAGTTCGCTTCTTTGGTTCACTTCTCATATAGATTGTTTACATAGTCTGAAGGTGCCTAACTAGGCCAAGAAAACCATCTAGAAAATCATGAATATTGGGAGTGTATTTAACTGAGGAAGAACGAAATTGGATACTGCAAACATCTCCAAGGGACAAGTCGTCAACGAGATAAAAACAAGAAGAAAAGTCTGAATTGAATCGCAATCACCAAACCAGAGATTATTACGAAAAGGGTTAATGCATGTGAACTGATCATAGACAGTAAGAAAACGGATCGTCTCCCTCCGAGAGGAAATTCACCCTTGTGTTAATATGATGGAGAGCGTTCATTCTTTAAAAGGCATCAAACAGCAAAATAAAATCTAGAAGATATGTTACTTACATTATCAATCTGCTGATCCTGTTGGGCTTTGATGGCAGCCTTCACTTGATCTTTGTCGATGTTTAACTATATACATTTTAAGAGAAGACATAATCAGGCAAACAATTGCGACATTGATGATCTTTATCATCATATGTTGTGGGCTCGTAAAAGCAAGTAGTAGCATGCACCACGAGAAGAAAACCACCAGCGCCAACGAAATCAAATAAGAGTCGCAATGATGCTGCCTTTTTCGATCAACCAGAGAAGGAAAAATATAACTAGAGCGTTAAAGGCCGAAATGACTGGTTTTTCAGGGTTAGAAATACTGCAATTGCTACTCATACCAGGCACGTTGAGAATACATTGAACGAACAGATATCAGTCTCGCAATAAATGGAAGTAGATTTGGGATTATACACGTGTATATAGTTTCAAATGTTAAAGAAATATGTACATGGAGCATGCCTGAGGTATGTCCTATGTGCTCAAAGCATAAAGATGTGAGATCTCCAACTCACGGTGTTAGCCAAGTTAGAATCGACGTAAAGACCAACAAAATGGAGCGATCCTTGCAGTCATTAATCTTCACTCAGAGTGTTTTCCTAGACACCGCTAAAGATAAAAGAACAGTAAAAATTAAAAAAAAGCTGATGACTAAGATATTTCTTAGGTAACAGATGTATGGCAATTATGACTAGTAAAAAAATACTAGTCTCCTATGAGCTCGAGCCCACAACTATCATAGATTCATTTGACGCAAGAATCCACATTCATCTTAATAAAGAGCATATTATGAGCAAAAAGTTCAGTTTTCACATTTAATACGATGTTAATCAGGCAAGATCTCACTTCATACAAAAGTTATTTGACCAGTTCCAGGAAGTCCTCTATTTTTGAGTGGTCGCCTGTTTTTCTGAGAACCCACTTGCTCTGATGACATTATCTTTAATCGGCCTGCCAAATAGCCCCTCCCGAGGGAGTTTCCACCAGACCCATCCATTTTCCATGGTTCTACCACAAAGAAGAGACAATGGATTGGGAGAACTGGAGAGAAAAGCTGTTTTCTACTTTTTCTAGAGTAAATAACTTACAAGACACTCATCCACATAAAGTATTCGTACCCTAGTCCTCCAAGGTCATTCAGATCGCAAACCTTTACTGATATTCATCAATACTGACCAGTCCGACACCACTTTTCTTGCCGCACACAACGTACTTCAGTCATTTTTGTTCTCTATCCATAGAAACTATTGTTTACTTTCATTTTACAAATATTTGAGTAATATTTGAATTAGTTGTATTCCAGCCACAGGGGAGGTAAACAAACCTTTCTGGTGAGTTCTAAATCCCACGAAAAGGATTTAATCGTCAAAACACAACAGCAGTTTAAAGAATAAAAAAAATTCAAACACCAATAAATATAATCACCGAAATCGAGCTTTGATAAAGTTGTTTAACGTAAATTACCCCTCGGAGACTGCTAAATCCAAGGCCTGCACCAACTGTCAAACCCCGCGGATCAACAACTGAATTATAATGATTTCCACGGTGATAGCTTAGTCTTATAGGGGGTGTGTCAGTACCATAGCCTCCATGAAAAATGTTGATGGGTTCTGCAAAGGAAGAATGAATGCGTTGGACACAAGATTAAAAGTACCTATTTCCATAGGGAAGCACGCACACGAGTGGGTGATACCTGTGCTGTAAGAATATATATGTATTGGCCGATTATACATCTCAGATAATGCTTGGATTTCCATATTGTTGCCATACACCTGTAGCCAACGAATCATTTGAGGACTATCGAACATGCATCACATGTGCAAAAGCAGAATAACATGAATAGTAGTTCACAGGGACCTGTCTATTTATACCTACCTGATCATTTGTTTCAGTTGACAATGCATCATCAGAGTTGAAATTTTCTACAATCCCCAACGGTAGAAAAATTGTAAAGAATGCGGTTTTCCTCAGCTTAGGACTCCATTATTTCTTTCAAATTTAATGTTATGAAGAATCTCACCAAATCCACTCTTGCTTGCTGGTACTAAAGGGGTCTCACTTGACTCTCCCTACTCTACTCAGATGTTCTATTTGATTGTATTTCAAGGAAGATCTAGCTTTGGAAGTTGACGAGGGCGAAGCTGCTTAGGCATCTAGAATTCTACTTACATGGAATCTAATGATGCGATTATGCAACAAAGAGATCCTCTTATTGAATTAAGGTGAAAACAGAAGCTAAAGGTTGCTATCTCTACAGAAAAAAGCACCAATATCACCTTGCAGCATCACACCGTCAAAATCAAATCAACCATTAACTAAGAGGAGAGGAAGATGATCAATAACACACTCAATCCTACCGATATTATGACGGCAATAAAGAAAGGGGAAAAAGGCACCTTGTCTCTCCTCTTCCTCTTACAATAGGATGTGAAACCTTCAGTAACAAACTGAGAGAAATGGTCCCTTTCCCTCTCCTGAAACGAGGAATAAATACTAGTGTCAGATGAGGTACTCAGAATACATATCATAAAAGAAGACGCTAGAAATGCCCTCTCCAAGAAGTAGCCCGTCATCATAATAGCCTGACAAGTTGAACAAATGTCCTGGAATGATAAGAATATACGACCTTATTTAAAAGCATCATCACCACTACCATGAACTTGAATCACTGCAGAACATTATGTTATGTCTCTTTGTATAGGTCATATTAAGGATGCTTTAGAATACGTCATCCAATAACTTGACTAGACTTGGCAAACATATCTAGGCTGGTCCAAATCCACTAGTCCGATTGAGAATTAGAATTATTAAATCAAATTCGATCAAATTTGTGCATAGAAAATTTAATAATTCGAAAAGATTGTAAGGTCCAGACAGTCATAAAGTTGAAGGTATCGTAATTACATCTCACAAGTAAAAAACTGAAAATCAGGCATGTTCTAAAATAGATACCCACAAAGAAACACGAAAAATACCATGTAATCAATGCACATTTGTCGAACCATGTCAAATGCTTCAGCGTCTCCATAAACTTGATCTGCAACAGCACGAAACAGACAATTCCCATCCTCTAGCATTCTTTTGACTTCATATCCCTTGGATCGTCTAATATCAAGCTCAAAATGGCGCTCTCTCTCCTGAAATTGAATATATATTTTCTGAATATAAGCCAGATAAAAGAATTGTCAAATAAAGCACAGAGATAATCAATTGTGTGTCTGCGGGGACAAATTCTTAACGCTGGCAGTTTCTCGGGATAAGTTAACTAATACTAATTCCAACCTTTCCCTAAAGAAGAGTATAAGAATGTGGTAAGAGGTACATTTGCTACGTCATCAGCCAAAATGGTGCTCATTCGTTCATTTTCTTCCTCGAATCTGAGATGTACTTCCTGAATATATTTCCCATACACCTCAATTATTAAATGTCATCACTTTCAGTTTTTTGAACAGAGGCAAGGATGCCCATATGAAGTAGTCTCGAAAGTATACCACACGTTCTACCCAATTACAAGCCGAGGTGGTTTCTAGTTTTGCAATTCATTTATGCTTTCTCTTCTTATGTAATTGAAAATTTCAAGAAGAAGAGCACCAAACGAATACTTCTGCTTCCCATCAACACCACAGAAAGCATGCCTTCAATAGGCCAGCAGGACCTCGTCCAAGAGCACATGAGAACGGCACATTTACATCCTTTGTCAAAATGAAAAAAGTGGCAGGTCTGGCGTTTCCATGAGCAGAACCAAAAGTAAGTCAAAAGTCTGGCAACAATTGCTTTATAATAACAGAGAACCAAAAAGCAACCCCTGCTTCCCATGAGGGTCCATAGGGAAAAATTCTGAAATAAGCTTGGCAGTCCTTCATCTGCAAGCAATAAACAGCAGTTTTTACCTCATTTGCACGGGTTGAGGAAGATGTCAGACTCCAAAGGACGCCACAATGGCTGCAACAACTCTTCTCTAAGAGAAGAGTAACGAGGTGGCACATCTGCTTTTCTAGTAATCAATATATTTTAATAGAGACCAGAGAATACGATTAACTAATTTGGTATGTTAAACAATCGAATGAAAGATAACGATATCAATCAAGAGCTTCCAATGCGTGTACAGAAAATATGCGCATGCAATAGTAAAAACTGTATGAACTGAGAACAGGTAAAGAAAAAATTTAAATCATAAAACTATAAATAAATGGATAAGCATAGAGGCAAATATAGAAGGACAAATCTTACCGCGTCATCATACGAAGGCCCATAACATGGATTTTGCTCATCGGCACTATTGTAACCATCTGCTTCACTATATGATCTGGGAGAAGATGGATGTGGATCTGGAGCCGAGTTCCAGGAAGAAATGGCAGGCCAAGACGGTGGCCTCCTAGAAGAACCAATCCTCCCAACGCTTGAACCACCAGAAGAAGTCCTCCTTGAACCAAGGCCGGCATTGGAAGGTTTTGGAGGGGGCAAAGGAGGGGGTGGAGGGCAGGAAGCGCCTGAAAGAATCTGCGAAGAACTGGTGCCTAAGATTTCAACATCCTGAAGATCCTGCCTCTCAGACGCATGAGGCCTACCCGATTCTTTGGCCACCGCACTCGAATCCGGAGATTCATCAAGACACGATTTCCCTTTCCCAGCATCCTCCCCCGTTCCAGTCTCATGAATAATGCCTTTGCTGATTTCCGATAAAAACTCATCAGTTTTTGGGGGCTTATCCTCGCTGCCTTCATACTGCTCCGGCAGAGGATCATTCGAAAGTACCGATTCTGGGCGTACTTCCTTATCATGTTCTTCCTCTTTCGAACTGGAAGCAGCCTGATTCGCAGGGGTCTGGGCGGAGCGGCCAGCACTGGAAGAGGAACCCGCTGATCCACGCTGCACCAGTATTCGGGTCATCCCAGCGAACAACAATCACACAAATCTTCTATGTTGCTGCTGCGCCCGTCCACTCCGTCCCCTCCTGCTTTGAAAATCACAGTTGGAAGAACCAAAGAACACCTTTATCGCGCGTCCTGACCTTTGGTCCCGTCACGCCGATCACCTTGCTGAACGATTCCTTCCAGCCCAGCACGCTCCGTTCCCTGGCTACCAATACGCACATCCCCACGTAAATTCTCATGAGACCAGAGCCCCCGATGTTTACCTCTCAAATCCTGGATCAGATCCTTCCCCTTTCCTTCACGCTACCGTGGACTCATCAAAACTAGAGTCTTATATGAAAAGGGAACCCAACACAACCCAAGAACTCTCTCATAAAGTTCCTTGACAGAATCACCCACCCTGAAAAAACCAAAGAAAATGAAACAGATCCGCAAAATTAAGACCAACTCATACGCACGAGGCCTCTACCCAAATAGACCGGGAGCAGATTGTAACCTGGGCGAAATCGGAGAAGATTTCCGGTCTCGAAAGGGAAGAATAATCTACGAATTCACGGAAAAAGATTCCTCGCTGCAAACGGGCGAAACATCCCCGTCCTCTATCCTCCTCCGCCCTCGAATCGTCTCACCTACGGCAGCGCGGAGAGCAACTGGAGGAAGATAAAGATCAGTCACAGAGAACGAAGGCAAGGGAGGAATGAACTGCAGAGAGAGAGAAAGAGCGGGGGGGGTCGGGGGGGAAGAAAGGGGAGCAAGCTACTTTTTTATGATGGAGCACCGCCCATGGACGGGTGGGGGGGCTGCTCCTGACCGCCACGTGGCAATTCGAGGCTGTCCATCCGCACGTGCGAGTCGAGTCACGGTACTAACCCCGAAAAACTAGTTTACCGGAGCGGTCTTCAAGAAACTACATCTCACGTGTCTGACACGTGCCCTCCAGACCGGACGGACTGACCCAAAAGTTCCGGATCCGATGAATAGGCCCATGAAGATCCGTCATCTGGAAAACATGGAGCCCATTTGGTGGGCCCCTAATGGCCATATGTGCGTTGACTCTACGTCTACGACGTCGGCTGCCCCATAAAGATTGGGAGGCTTGTGGGGCCCACCCTGGGACTGTTGGTTCAGAGTTCGGAAAATATATAAAAAAATTTAAGAGCAGATATTGGAAGAAATTGGAGTCTGTCTCTCTAAGGCGACGTGAAGCCAAAAGCCTGGTGGTCTTCTGCTCTCTCCTCTCTCTCTGGCTGGGGTCAGAGGTGTCGTGGGAACAGCGTCTCTGTCCCTCCGGAGCTGGGACGATGGCGATGACGTTGAAAGGTACGGTGTCTATGCCTACCAGTCGAATACGGGCGGGAATTTTTTCGACGTACATCGGATTTATAGAACCTTGGTGAGGTGTTGATTACTTTTTCCCGTTCCCGGAGACGACTACGATTTCTCTTGCTTCTTCCGGTTCTCTGTCGGGAACTAGGGTTTCGAGGCGTTTTTAGGGTCCTAGGATGGTCGGTGTTGGGAGCTGCTAGGACGATGCCGACGTTTCGGGGTGTACGATTCCGGAGCCATGAAGATTCCGAATATTTGGGTTTGCCAAGGGGAAATTGAAACCGGCATTCCGTAGGAAGTCCGTGAAATTTTGTCGTGATGAGGGTGTTATTCGGATGGTACGCTTCATGACGGTAATCGGGTGCTAACTGATGCCGATGATGTGCCCGTCTATGTTCGTATGCTACACGTCATCATGAGAACAGTACAATCGTCGGCTCACGCACGAAGCACGCCGTGTCGAACTTGATCTATGAATTTTATTTTCTTTTAGTGCAGTGGGACATTTTTTGTGTAATATCGTTGAATTTGGGGATGATTTCTGATTTAAATAGCGTCAGATATGATTTTGAAGACCTATGAGATTTTCAGTTTTGTCCCACCATCAGGTTTTATAAGATTTATGTTCCTCAAGCCCCTCTGGTTAGACCGCAATACATCTTACCCATTCTGGATCAGGATGTTTTATAATCGACAATCGTTTCTGATCATTGGATAGTTCGTGCTCCAAATTCTCAAAAAGATCTTTAAGAAAAAAAAGGATATCCCGACTTTTCTTGGTTTTTGTTACCTTCTTCTCTCCTTTGAGTGCCCAAGATTGTGCTTTCTTTGCATGAAGTTTCTCCCGTTTCGCATTCGTTGCACATTAATCATGCAGTTCTACATTTCGCAATCTGTTGCTGTCAAAAACATCTTTCCCTATCTGCCCAAGGTCCCTATCTTTCTACATTTTTTTATTCTTGCAAGATGTTCTGGTTCCTATCTTCTTTCTCACGAATCACGTGTAATGCTTTTTAAGCTTTATTTTATTTCTATGCTTTTTAAAGGATTAGCATGTAATTGAAATTTTCAGGAGTTGTTTTCACTTGGTCCTCAGTGAAAACTAGCAGAGAAATATGTACTCACCCAATCTGTTAAATGATGAGATGATAATAATTCTCTATCAGAATGTCGCCATCCTCCTGTTTAGTATTCCCAGATGTTCATCATAGTTTTTTCATTCGAAGCATAAACTCGTACTTAGTCACGATTTTTTTCTGTATCCTGCCATCTCAACTTTCACAGTAGACGTCTTTTTTTTTAGGAAGCCATCCCTACTAATTGAATTGCAACTCACTTATAATTGAGTCCTCTTGAGACGATCCCGTTACCTTTTTCTGGATGATTACTATTATTATAAACTCATCATATGAGAAGGACAAAATAGTTATTGCCTTCTTCTGTTGTACGCCTTGCTCTACCGAACTTGACTTTAACTACTGATTCTTTTGTTACCTTATGTCGGATCTACTCACATTGGATTGGAAACAATGGCGTGGATTTCATCATTTACAGTGTAAGTTTAACTAGAGGAACATTCTATCTTCATATTCTGCTTCATTAGCTTTATATAATGAAGTTGACGTTTTCTTTTCTGGTTTGCAGGCTTGCTGGACTTGCCTTTATGTTTTCTGCTAGTATCCTATTGCAGATCCTGGTAGGTGCTCTCTCTAAAATAGTTCATCATATGTGCGTATTGCAAGAGTGAGCTATGCAGTGGTATAACTAGGATTTACTCTAAGAAAAGGACATTCATGTATTGAGAATCCTTTGGTCGCAATTTTTTTTTAAGTCTAGTCGTGATTAAATCCTCTGCTCATCATATGCTTTGTTAGAAGATAGCTAGCTATTCTTAGAAATGAGCATATACCCATCACTGGGCATGCATTGCACGAATGGTATTATCTAAAATGAAAGTTTCTATGGTGTTCTAGGCAGTCACTTTCTCTTCCATTCTCCTTTTAACATAATCTTGCATTTGCTTTGGATGAACAGAAGGCTTGGAGTGATTATGTTTTTGGTTTGGGATATCGGGAAGACTTTTATCTCTATGACTAAAGCCCCCTTGTACTCCAATCTTGATTGATATTTCCACTCTGCCAAAATGCATCTGAAGCAAATTCAAAGAATCTCGTGGTATCGACTTACACCACCATTGCAAAGACAGCCCAAGACTCACAGCATTCTGAGTACTATATTCCTAATTTTCAAAAACGTTGATAATCATGTACTTGATTGTCCATGACGATTTATTAATGATAAATCGTGCAGGCCTTAGTACATAATCCTTATTCAGATAATCAAAAAGAGGAAATTCAGATAAATCCTCTGACTTTTCTGAATCTTATTTTCGTATATCTGATCTTCATTGATGGCTGGACCGCACTTTATTTCCCACATAACTTTTTTGTACATTGAAATATCACGTCAGTTAACGTCGTAGATTAAGGTGGAGCATGTGGAATTAAGCTGTGGAATTATAGGTTCTCAGCTTGTTCTCGGCAACACTACAAGATTTATCCTTGATTATATACTCAACAAAATCGATCCCTTATCGTCGAGGCCTTAATGGACCTCATCTGCTTCCATGTTTTTCCCATTTCGGCGCTATGAGCATCAACCAGATATACTGACACATAGCCTGATGCTTCATTTTTAATTTCGGCAGGCCTGTGCTCTGTACAACAACTGGTGGCCGCTGCTTTCAGGTTAGTAGTGGCAGTGAAAGTCTATTTCACATCAGCTTATGCCTATTTGGTAAGGAAATTTCTCATCTGAGATATGTCGTCTCCCGCAGGTCTAATGTACGTGCTCGTGCCGATGCCATGCTTATTTTTTGGTGGGGGATCTACTTATTTCTTGACGAGCAGCGAAGGGGGAGGGTGAGTCCTACTTTACTTAGAATCATCCCGCATTGATTATTATAGAAATAAACCTGTGATTACGAAACATCAACTTGAACCATCGTCGCATCTTAAATATGTGACCTACATATGTCAGACAGAGCACCGTATTCTGTTCCTTTACTTCAGAATAGGCTGTCATGTCATGAAATCGCTAGAACAGTCTCACGTGGGAAATTAAAACATGGATGAAATCTTTGGGGTGGTAATCCCAGCGATGGGGGCTTTTACATGTTCTTGATTGCTCTTGCCGACCCGCTAGAGGCTTAGAACCCATTGCTTTACTTTGAGATTTCTCTGCGCTTTGGACCATGAAAAATCTCATGTTTGGAACTGCCATAGTAGAATCTCATGGGAAAAGAAACATGGATTTAGAATATTTCATGTCCAATGATAAATAATGGCTGACCGCCTGCTTGTGACCTTGTAGAGCTTAAGAAACCATTTATTTATTCGGAGATTAGGCTGTGCCTATGACCATTCTAAATCTGGTCCTGCCATGTAGAGTTCCATAGTCAACTCCTTTACCTCAGATTAGGCTGCGCCTGCACCCACGGATATGTTCTTCGTTGAATTGTTGGACCGGTCTCTCATTGGAGAAGAAAAAAATAGATAAAATCCTTTTCTTTTTGATAAAAAATAGATAATTTCAGTACTCGAAACATTAGATCTTCTTATGTGGGTACATGGGCATACTCTGTTCATCGCTGTTGGGCGTTGACTTGCCCAACCACCCAACACTTGAGCACGAGTAAGATGAGCTTTTCTCCGTCCTTGTGTACTTGTCAGGTGGATCAGTGCGGCCAAGTTCCTGACAGGTGCTTCAGCTGTCGGCAGCATCGCCATTCCAGCAATCCTGCGGCATGCAGAGCTCATCGAGACTGGGGCAATGTGGATCGAGTTTGTGTCCTTCTTCATCCTTGCCTGTACGCTACTATGTTTCCATCATGTGAGCCTTGAAGAGGAATGGTGAAGGCAAACGAACCAGAGGGCACCTGGATTACTTGGGGTGGAGTGGACCTTCAGTGATCCTCTTGTAGAAGAAATTGGTTGAGGAAAAGAGAAGACAAGCCTGGGCAGCCCTCCCCCCCCCCTCCCTCATAGAATCTCCATTACAGAGGAGATGAATCTATCACCATTCTTGACTAAGAATCAATCTGTCAACATCTCTCTGGGGCATCAAGGTGGCACGGAGTTGACTGCTGAGACAGATGATGTCTACCTCCCTGATCAAAGTCAACCCCAGGATGGTGTGAGGGGATAGATAGCTAGTGGTCAAACCTAAGGGTGTATAGGTGGTAACATCAGCTTTGTAAGTAGAGAAAACTCAAAGCATCAATCATATCACGCTAACTATAAAATTTTTTGAAGTAACATATATTGGTTTGACAAATCAAACAGCGATTGGATGACTTTTTGTGCAAAAAGTCAAACTCTTGATTTCATGTGCAATTTTTTTTTCTAGATTGGTCAAGGATGGAGCCTCTCATATGTGTGAGAATCTTTTGATGAATCCAAACTAGAGTCCTTCAATAAGTTCTCTTGGAGCATACCAAGTTAGTACCAAAATGAGCTAACAATAGAAACTAAGAGCTAACTGTAAATTGATCCATTTCATGTCAATTAAGAATGGGTCTAATTATGCTAAATTTCACGAAGATTAGGTGAGCTAACTCGTTTTTAATAATAGTTAGAAAAGAGATCAATATCTTTGTAGTCATTAAGCTTTTATTTCACTCTACTCTTCTAAGAGCACCTCTCTTAAGCTCCCACTCTACTCTTCTTTGAGAAGAGTAGCTTCCTTCCATATGAAATGAAAAATTAGCCTTCAAAGCGGGGATGCTATAATATTTTGGGCAATTCATTGTTTTCTCCACATGATACTTTGATGAATGTTATACTTGTGTTTTTAAAGGCATCAAATAGTCCAAGAATAGTTAGTCAAACTATTCTTTCAAAGTATAATCTTTATCTATTGAGAGTTGGGTTTCTTAGTCAACTTACTTTTTTTAGGCATACAAAATAAATAAATAAATAAATAAATTATTTGGTTACCAAGTTAATCTGAGATTCTTAAAGTTGGTATTGGGAAATAACATCTTGATGATATCTGATGTCAAATAGCTATTCTTAGCTTCTATGAGATACTTTTTCAACGTCTAAATATTATTCAGGTCAAACCCAACATGTGTCACTAAATTTGCATGAGAGCTCATAGAATAAGGCTTGGTGGGATGGACGACATTAAATTTTCAAAGTTCATGAATTTATAAAAATCATATAAACAAATGTAAACATTTTAATCGCATATGACTTCGAAGCAAGGCAACGACTGCTTAATCGAGATCTCCGACAAATCCGCAGCACTCTCAGTACTCGCTCTCTCTCTTCTCTCTCTCTCTCTCTCTCTATCTCTCCCTCTCGGTTTCTTCTCAATCTCTCTTTCTTCACGTAGATATGTGCGTGTGTCTGTGATTATTGCCCTCTCTCTGTGTCTCTGAACGTGAAAAGCGAGCTACCCTCTTCCGTGTGTCACACAGCTTTGGCTTCTAATCGGCGGTCAAGCGCAGAAACGCACCCATTGCGCTGCGTCGTCTTACTGGGGCGTTGACCCCATCTGCTGAATCCCTCTCTCTCTCTCTTCAAATGTATATCAGCATATCCTGCATATGCCCGGATCGTCAATGTCGGTGGTCACCGGTCGCCTCTGCAATAGTTTAGTTGAACTGGGATGCAACACGAGGAGACGAGATGTCAGAGAGAGAGAAAGAGAGAGAGAGAGAGGTAGTGGTGTAGACTACTCGGGTCAAGATCGCGGTGGGTCCAGCCAGTTCTCCACAATCTCTACCTCTGTGTGAAAACGGATGGGCCAAGTCAGGGCGGTCGGTGATCGTCAACCATGGTCCGATGGGGGCGGCAGCGAAGCGGACGGTGGCGATTATGGAGATGGTGATGGTGGGCGGCGCCGCCAATCCCGACCCAGATCAGCCGACGGGGATCGCTTCCAAGGACCCAACTGACTGGAACAGGAGATCACCTCGTTCTCAGCTCTTCCGAATTGCGAGCAGCGATGAGATGTCGGCCGATAATGAATCAAATCCACGCGCGATCGTGCATTTCAACACAAGAAGAACTCGGGGAAGCGCCGGGGGGGGCGATCTCGAATGCAAGCAGGAACAGAAGGAGAGAAAGATCGATTTCATCCTCATTTAAAACAGCGGGACATCAGAGAAACCCAGGCCGCCTGCCACATCCGAATCTTCATTCGTACAGAGGGGCCGAAGAGAGAGTTAGCTGGTAAGTTGATTTCAATCGATGAAACCTGTCTGCCGCCACACGGCGTTCCGGACTTGTCGGAGATCCCTCCCCTTCAGCGTCCTCCCGGCCCCTTCTAGCACGGAGAAGGTCGTCATTGGCGAGTCCTTCCTCGCCACCATCTCGTGGGGAGGAAGAGTCTCGCTGTTACCGTCGTCCTCGTCTGGCCTTTCCAACAGCCCTCTCCTCTGCCTACTTCGCACAACCGGTACATTCACCGGGGCTGACTGCTGTTGGATCTTCCCTTCTAGAGCCGACATCGCGTAATCCACATTCTTTGGCCTCGGCAATACCGGAATCAGCCGAGCAGACGAGGAAGGGGAGGGCGAGGTCGAGGCGGACGAGGGTCCTGACAGAGACGAAGCAGTTCTCTGGAGGAAGGAAGGATTCCTCACAGGCATCTTCTTCTCCTCCTCCGGTAAGGCCGCGAGAATCCCGAAATTCTTCTCCGAAAACCGCCGGAAGCTCCTCGGAGAGGAGACAGAGGGGGAGATCGTGCCAACCTTGGGGCTCCCCCCCGGCGCTGCCTGTGGAGGAAGATTTGGGGCAGAGAAGTCCGCAACGGACCACAGCACCTCTTCCTCGTCGAGCTCGACGCCAGCGCCCCCGGTGGCCGCCGTTAGGGTTCCCGGCGGCGAGGAGAAGACACCGAGGAATCGCTCCGGCGGTGAGGAGAAGACGCCATGGAATCGCTCCAACGGCGAAGACCTGCGGTGCTCCCTCCTCTCCATCTCCCTACATACCTCGCATCAGCACCAGATCTCCCTGAGATGGCCGGCGGCGGCGCTTCCGCCTTCTACCACCATGAGAGAGAGAGAGAGAGAGGAACGCGGGGTGGAGACGAAGGCACGTCAAACTAATAGTGGCGTGGCATATTGCGCAATACACCACGCGTCATTTTTAATTATTAAATTACTCCCTAAAATTATGGCATGTCTCTTTTGGAGGTTCCGTCCCCCGAGGGACTTTTCTCAAATAATTTCCCTGGGACAACGAATCATTAAAAGTAAATACATAATTAGTCGGCAATATTATCCTCTAGATAGCTTTACAATTTCTAAAAATAGTATAAAGCGACTAATTTCATCTCTCGGAGAGAGAGAGAGAGAGAGAGAGATTGTGGGCCTGGCTTTTCCTTGGGAGTTCGAGCCCCGTTTAGATTAGTTCAGTTAATTATCGGATTAGGCGACTCGATGGCTTCCTGACACGTGGCAATGCTCCCAACAAGAACCTCAATTGGGCCGAGGTGAACCCAAATATGGCCCATTACTTCAGGCCGGGTTATTATGGGCCGAGATGGAGTTGAGTCACAATTATGATGAGACCGCTAATAGACAGTGACTAAAAAGGCTCTCATTTCGTGTGAATTAAGGGCACACCCTCGCTCTTTTTCGGGGCTTTTTGGTACTTTCGCTTTTTAAAAAAAAAAAAAAAATACAGTGTAGAAGAAGATCGAAATATTTCGCATTAATTAATATATAAAACTAAGGTAAAGACCGTCCATTTATGATTCGAAAAAGTACTATCTTTAGAGGTGGGACGGAAAGGGGACGACGACGACGATGGCGGGGGCTGCTGCTGCTGCTGCTTCGGCGACGGCGGCGGCGGGAGTTTCTCCCACCTGTTCTGGCTTCATCTCATCGTCTTCTCTTGCCGGGAGCTCTCGCTCTTGTTCTCGTTGTCCCAAACGAGATCTACTTTTCTCGTCCCCCGGCTGCAGGGGATTGACCTGGAGGTACGCTCGCGGAGTTGCTCCGCCGCGACTGCGGCCGGCGCGCTGCTCGTCCTCCAACGATGGCGATCCAACCCCGAACGCCGACGTCCCATTGAGGTCTGTGTGTGTGTGCGTGTGCTTCGCCTCGTGTCGGGGACCCTCTACTGACTGGAGCCTCGGTCTCGGGGATTTCGCTGTTCCCCAGTTCATGAGATCTTGGAGAGTGCAGGATTAGTCAGTTCGTTCAGTTGAGCGCTTTCTCCGGTTTATTCCTGCCCTCAGTATCGTCCTTTTAATCTATTTGTATCTTGCCTCTGTTGAAATTTTCATTTCTCTCAGCCTTCTTCTCCATCCACTTCTCAATTCAGGTTTGACCTTCATCGAGGAAAACTTTTCACGTAAAAATTCATACTGGAAAATAATTCTCGAAACCGTCGGCATTTTCCGCCTCTTATTTTGAGTTCGGATTTTATCCGAGAGGAGATTTATATGTATCCCTATATATATTTGTATAATTATGTGAGAAATTATCGGCTGAATATTTCCATGTAAACAACAGTCGATTGGGGGTTTCTGATTGGGTTTCGTCGCAGTTTCTGCATCATAGAAGGACCGGAAACAGTGCAGGACTTTGTTCAGATGCAGCTTCAAGAAATCCAAGACAACATAAGGAGCCGGCGCAACAAAATCTTCCTCCTCATGGAAGAGGTGGGCCGGGATCCATTCACATCGTCAGTGATGCATACGTTCCTAGGTTGGGTCCCGCCTGCTTATCTGTCGTCGTTCACCCAGGTGAGGAGGTTGCGGGTGCAGCAGCGCATAAAGAGTGCGGACTTCGATGAGATGGGCAGCGAAGAAACGGAGATGCCCGAAATTCCTTCGACTATTCCGTTTCTCCCTCGGATGGTTGTTACCTCAAGAACTACTATCCAGCCTTGAATCCTTGGTTTTCTCTCTAATTGTTTGCTGTTGTTCAAGCAGACGACGAAAACTCTGAAGCAACTCTATCTGACATCCTTCTCCGTGATAGCCGGAATCATCGTCTTTGGTGGCCTCCTTGCGCCGGCTGTGAGTTTCTCCTCGGATTCCTCCTCTTCTTTTCCTGTCTAGATTGCCAAATGGTTACCGACACAACACAGGATCTGCTGTATCCTCAACACAGGTCTCGTTCTTTGATGCTGCTGCATGTAGAATCTCTACAATACCCAATTTTTTAACTCTCCCTCCGAATTGTTCCGCTGATATTATCTCAAAAATGAGGTCAATTGAGAAATTTGTGATGCAGCTATCTATGTTATGAGTTCTGCTCAACCTCATTGCTGCCATGATTAATGGATTGATCTTTACTGGTCTTGTTGCAGCTGGAGCTCAAGCTAGGTCTTGGTGGCACATCGTACGAGGATTTCATAAGGAGCATGCACCTTCCTCTGCAACTGAGGTTCACTCAAAACTTTATTTCCCAAACCAGGGGAAATTTTGACCGATTAAGATACTTTGCTCTCCGGATCTCAGTATTATTTTCTGCTGATCCAGCCAGGTCGACCCGATAGTTGCCTCATTCTCAGGTGGCGCAGTCGGTGTGATCTCAGCCCTGATGCTGATCGAGGTTAATAACGTTGAGCAGCAAGAAAAGAAAAGATGCAAGTACTGCCATGGAACAGGTGCCTCTTCCTCTTAAAAAGTCAAACCCCCCTACGACAACTGAATCATGTCCAAATACGATATTTTGACCTCTATAAATGCCCAGTATCCTGACAATCCCCCCCTCCACAGCGTTGACTGATCCAGTGTTGTCCACGTGACACCAGGTTATCTGGCATGTGCCAGATGTTCTAGCAGTGGCGTGTGTCTGAAGATTGAGCCGATTTCGATCAATGGTAGTTCCATTCTCCCTCTGCAGGCGCCCAAAACACAGCGATGTCCAAATTGCTCAGGAGCTGGAAAGGTATTCTATTTATATTCGTCAAAAAACTTACATCATACCGGGAACTATATCGAATGCGGACTACATCATACCCCATCCGCATACCCCTGTGACTTTGGTGATTCTGGGTATTATTATCCCATCTGAAGGCAGCGCTCTTCAAAAATATGGGATACAAAACTTGTGTGATATCTTCAAAGAACCTGCTCGACTGGAATCTGTGCATTATGAAATGGGCATCTGGGCATGCTGCAGAACAAAAATAGCCAGTTAGTGATTAATTAAATTTCCGAATATGATATAATTCCCTTTAGAAAAGATTCCCTCGCAGAACACGACTCTCTTTGCATATTATTTTTTTAGGTTAACATTATTACCATGCTTTTTCCACTTTATTCTTATTTTCCTACCACAGTTTGTCTGCCAGTATGAACTTATGCAATGACCTCGTCTTGGGCGCACTTCAGAACTTTCCTCATTTTTATTTTTTTTAATTTATAATTTTTATGGTAGTCGAACCCACCCTGTATTTACTTCTTGATCTTTTACGACCTCGTTTTTATTATCTTTTTTTGCAAATTCATAGATTTCTCTGCACTTTTTCATTTGTTCCTCTTTCAAAGATATACCTGCGTGCGTGTGTATGTATGTATGTATGTATGTATGTATGTATTAATAGAATATTATATGTTTTGTATTTTATTTTTTCCCCTTGAAACGTGTGGCATCAATCTTCTTGCATGTTTTCTTCCTCACCCATCTGGGTTTTGAAACCTTGCTTCGCCCATCCAAGCATGGAAATCCCAGATCGCATAAACCCAATGCAATCATGGGGCAGCGCCGTTTATTTCCTCATTCCTGTTCTTTAAAGATGATTTTTTGTTTCATCAAAATAATTTATACCTTAATTTTGATGCTACCATTAGATGGCTCACCATTTGGTTTATGTTGAATTATGTGGCCAGGTGATGTGCCCGACATGCCTCTGCACGGGAATGCTGATGGCCAGTGAGCACGATCCCCGGATTGAACCGTTCGATTGACGGTCCTGATGGTCCCATCACCCTACCCCCGTTTCTCCCCGTGATTATTCTTGGGAGATCTTATGTTTCAGATTGTTCTGGTGATTCTTTGAAGGTGATTTCCATTAATCAAAGCGCCAGATTTAGGCTCTGGTCCGAAAGGGCGTGGGTTCAAATCCCACAGCTGTCAACAGGAGGAAGCAGGAATTGGGAGGTGGGGCCCGTTTGACTCTTCTCTTTTTGCTATAAAATATATAATTTATTGTATATAATCATTCTATACAATTTATTGCATATAATTTTCACCTTAATGTGTACATATGTCGACAGGAGGAGGCAAGAATTGAGAGGAGGGGCCCGTTGACTCTTCTCTTTTTGCTAAAAAATATATAATTTATTGTATATAATCTATTCTATACAATTTATTGCGTATAATTTTCACCTTAATGTGTACATATGTCGACAGGAGGATGCAAGAATTGAGAGGAGGGGCCCGTTTGACCTCTTCTGCTTTTGTCATAAAAAATATAATTTATTATATGTTCTCTCACCTTAATGTCTAGACATGTTAGCACTCACTCGGCAATGATTATTGGACAAGTCATGTTATATAAATCTATGTGCTTTCTTGCCTAATAGAACCTGAATTATGGAATATTATTCAATTTATTTCGTAGAGAAATCAGCGCTTTACAATGCTTATTGGATGAATTGACCTTCGATCGCTTATATGCTTCTCTTTTTCCGAATTAAAATGTATTTTTTTAATTATTATTAAATATTTTTTGCCTTAATGGGTAGATATGTTAGCACTCAGCAATGATTATTAGACAAGTCATGTTATGTAAAAATATCTGCTTTTTTGCACAGTAAGAAGTAAATTATTGGATATTATTCACCTTACTGAGTAAAGAAATTAGCACTTTAAATGCTTTTTTAGTATAAATCGTTTATAGCCTTCTCTTTTTGCCAAAATAATAATAATTAATCACCTTAATGTGTAGCTATGTTAGCAGTCGGCAATGATTATTGGACGAATGACGTTATGTTAATACATGTATTTTTTTGCCTAATAAAACCTTATTTATTGGATATTATTCATTTTAACGAGTAAAAAATAGCACTTTAAAATTTTTGTCGGAGGAATCGTCCTCTCTTTACCAAATAAAATATAAATAATTATACTATTTTCGCCGTAATGCGTAAATATGTTAGCAGCCAACAACGATTATTGAACGAATGAGGTTATGCGAATATATGTGCTTTATTACCTGAAAAAATCTAATTTATTGGATTTTTTTACTCTATTTAGTAAAAAAATCAGCACTTTAAAATGATTATTGGTGGAATTGACCTATTTAATTGCTTCCATCCTTTTATTTTTGCCATTTTTTAAATTTTTTTTTCACCTTAATGCATAGATATTGGTACTCAGCAATGATTATTGGACGAATGACGTCATGCAAAATATATGTGCTTTTTTGCCTGATAAAACTTAATTTATTGTATATTATTAACTTTATTGAGAAAATAAAATAGCACTTTAAAATAATGATTATCGGAGGAATTGGCATTTTATAGAGCCTAACGAATCCAGGCTGGCCTCGAAGGGAGATCGTCTGCGTCTGCTGGAGTCAGCGATGGCGGGAGGCCCAAGGAACGCCATAGTCGGTCGCCGTCGCCTCCTCTCCTCCTCCGTCTCTCTCCTCTCTGGCCTCGGCGTCCGCCTCAGCGGATCCACGGCGCCGCCGCCGCTCCACGGAGGCGGCGGAGGAGGAAGGGTGGATCCCGTCAGGTCTGTGGGAACTCTAGCGTACGAGGAGGTCAGCGCGTCGTCCGATGGCGTCGCTCCGGCCTCTACTGCCCTTTTGCTCCACGGTCTTCTCGGCTCCAGTCGGAACTGGCGGACATTTGCCCGCAACCTCGCCGAGGGGCTCACCAGCTCCTCCCCTACAGGTCGGTATATCGCGATCGGGGAATCTTTGTCTGTCGTTTTGATTCGGTAAGCGGTAGAGCGTGAAACTTCTTGCCTATCCGATGAAGAGCTTTATCAGCTGTCGTGGTAGCTGCTGTTGGGAGACTCATTCCTGGTTGTTGTTTCGAGTTTCCGGATCGGAGTTGAACGCTTTTCATTGGCATAGATGAGTAACTAAAAGAGTGGGGATTCTGCTTCCGTCTCAGACGTTATTTAAAAGTTGGATCAGATCATACTAGGACCCTGTTTTGGTGCACCCTCCCTAGAATCGATCCTTAGGTCCGTTTTGCTCAGACTGGGGTCTGACTTTGCTTTCAGTTGACGGTGACTGCACCTGTCACTGGGATTGGATCAGCAACGCCTTGCATTTACCTCGTCTCTGAAACTCTGCGCAACCAAAAGGATTTGAAACTTTGAGTATAGGTGACGGGCATACACGAACACGCGATCCTGGGAAATCGGATTATGATTCCTGAAGAGAAAAGAACGGTGCGTCGATTATCCCTCGCAATTGTCAAGTTGTTTAGGGAATAAACCCCACGGAAGGCTGTTTAATGGGTCATTGCTCCACACGTTATTTATTTGGAACGCATAAAGTTGGGATCCAATGGTTTTGGATTGTAAGCTTTCTCACAAAGGAAAAGTCGTTAAATTTTGTCTCATTGTCTCTTTGTACATGGTACTACAGAGAGATAAAGTCGGGTGAAGTCGATTCCTTTTCTTTTCTTGGGAGGGAGGGGGGGAGCTGATGGTGGCAAGAAAACCTAAACTACTAGAACTTTTAGAAAACTCGTTTTCCCTGCAAAAGTTAGATACTTTCCGGCTATATTATGTTGCATAAGGAAATAAATGTCTGTTTGGCTCTTCTTCTGTGCATGATTTCTTTTAAATTGATTCAAGGTCATAGGTCATCTTTGTAGCTGCTGAACACAGGGTAGGTGCACCTCACTTCTAATTCATTGGATTATTGTCTAACACTCGGTTAGTTTAGAATCATCTTTCATCTGCCCAGAATCCAAGGACATTTCATCATTCGTAGACTTTCCATTTCTTGGCCTTTCTTGGATGTATCTGTATAGTCGGGGCATTTTAAGTATCATCTTCTAGTCTGCTTAATGATTATTATTTCATGAAGAAAGAGTTTATAAATAAAGAGTTTCTTTTTTATATGCTTCTTGGAGTTGAACGATTTCTTTTTTCATTTCTATAGATAGAAGCATTTTGACGTAAATCTGCTGGGATTGAAGACTTTATTTTTCATTTTCAGGATGGAGAATGGTTCTTGTGGATTTGAGAAACCATGGGAAATCAGCTGGTACCAGAGGTCTGGACCCTCCTCATGACTTGGTCAATGCTGCTAGGGATTTAGCCAATCTGGTGAAATCCCATAACTGGACGTGGCCAGATGTTGTGATAGGCCATTCCATGGGTGGAAAAGTTGCTTTGGAATTCGCTCGGAGCTGTGCTTGTGGTGAATACGGAGTGTCTTCTGCCTTACCCAAGCAGGTATCCTTTTAATGAAAAATGTGATTCTATGCTCAATGTAGTATGTTATGTTATTCCTCAGGTTGATCTTTTTGAGCTTTAGTTTAAGCCCTGATAATAGCTGACTTGCAAGTGTATGCTGCCTACTTGTGTTTCTCCCCTGCCCTTTAATATAATGAATGGTCTTATTCTAGTCCATTACATGACTGAATGAATAATCATGATGGCTTCAAACTGTTCTGCATCCCGATATTATACTGCCCCTCATTGGTAACCAAAATCACATGGCCTGTGGATGAACAATACATCATTTTTCGGCATAAAGTAACAATTCAAATGCTTCATATGCAAGTGAAAATTGTGCTTTCCGCTCACGAGGCATTAAAAGGAACCGTCAACTTGCTTGCTCACCTTTGCACGCTTCTCTCTTAAAATTTTATTCTCTACTCTTAAATGTCGAAATATTATCCCATTTCCTAGATGAGCGGCACCCGTTTTAACCTATACAAAAACCAATCTGTGGGAAATAAACGAGTTTGATCCCTATTTCTACCATCGTCCTCTCTCTTTTCCTTCTTTTTTTATAAATTTACGGCATTCTGGAGTGCAGGTGCGTTTCCATTGTCATGAATTGAGGAGGTTTCGATGTTTGACAGCAGGTTCCTGTCGTTCCTTGTTGCAGAACAGTTGTGGGTGCTGGATTCTGTCCCAGGAAAGGTGAATGCCGAGGATAGTGACGGTGAAGTCGAGAAGGTTCTGCGGACTTTGCACAGCCTCCCTCCACTGCTTCCGTCACGAAAGTATGCTCTTCCCTGGTCGGATGGGTCTCGAGAACAGTTTCTTTCTATTAATTTGCTTCAGATTTCATCAAAGATTGCCGAATAAACCACTGAAGGGATTGGTAGTGATGACTGATGCCTCGGCTATGGCAGTTGCTCTCATTCTCCGGGCTTCTCCATGGGCCCTAACACAAACCCCCCAAGCCCATTTCATGCGTGAATGTGGATGATGTGTGGTCCCCTCCTGACCTATTTATTTTCTCTTGTTCTTGCTACTACTGTGATCTTTCATCTGCATCTTCTCCGACCTTGTGGCCCTTTGTAGCCAGTTTCAGAGCCCAGTCTGAGCTCGCACTGATTCATACTTTCAGGTGGGTTGTCGACCACATGCTCCAGCTAGGGTTTTCCAGGTCTCTCTCGGAGTGGATCGCCAGCAATCTCAAGAAGGATGGGGAGCACTTGACCTGGGCTTTTGATCTTCAAGCTGCCATCGACATGTTCGACTCCTACAGGTAAAATCCATCTCTCTCTCTCTCTCTCTCTCTCTCTCTCTCTCTCTCTATAGAGAGAGGGGTCAAAATGTGGGCTTTTCTCAGGGCCCGGCCCGGGCAGTGTAGGAAGATTTGTGGGCTTTCCTCTTATAGGTGGAAAAGGCTAGATTTTTCCTAAAGATAGCAAAGAATCTAATCGGTTGAAATTTACAGGGAGAGGAGCTACTGGACTCTACTGGAGCATCCGCCTGGAGGACTGGAGATAGAGATGGTATGTGCGGAGAACAGCGACAGGTGGTCTCCCCAGGTCAACGCCAGGCTGGAGAAGCTGGCCCACCCGCAGCGAGATGGCGGCGGCGTGGAGGGGAAGACCACGGTCCACGTCCTCCCAAGGTCCGGTCACTGGGTTCACGTGGACAATCCCAAGGGGCTCCTAGAGATCATGGTGCCCAGATTCTTCGTCAAGGCTTAAAAATCGCTTCTTGGCCAAGTTTCAGTTCTCTTTGGAATCCGCCATTTGTGTTTGGCTCCATCGCCATTTCATGAATCTTCGTCTTTCTTTTCTGCACTTTCATATCGTCCTGATGTCAATGAGATAAATCCATCTATATATATATATATATATATACATGTAGACAGTTGCATATGAGAGAGAGAGTCAGATGGGCACTTTCTTACTGTTAGTAGAGAGATAGAGAGAGAAACAGTCAAATGGGCACTTTCTTGCTTTTAGTAGAGAGAGTCAAATGGGTACTTTCTTTCTGTTAGTAGAGAGAGAGAGAGAGAGAGAGAGAGAGAGAGAGAGAGAGAGAGAGAGAGAGAGAGTCAATTGGACACTTCTTACTGGTAGCAGAGTTCAATTAGCCCAGTAGACGGGGAATTGGCCCGATAGCACTAAACCCTAAGTATATAAACGTCATCGACAGCGGCGTTTCATCTCTACGTTTTGAGATCAGCTACCGGCCTTCAGAGAAGTGGAACCTCGCAGGGAACCCTAGGACTCCCCGGCCTCCGTGTCGCACGCCGGTGGCCATGGTGACGCTCCTTCCTTGAATTTTATGTGAATTTCTTGCTTATTCTGTTAATATTTCGTTGGCGCCCGATCTTCTTCAAGGGTCGGGTGTCCGTCGTTCGATGTTCGCACATTGCCAATGGCGTTCCGAGGATTGGCTGGTTTGAATGGATCGCTATGGGGGGCGATGGGGAGAAGGAGGCTTTGTCGCTGTGGCCTGCAGATGCTGATTTTGCTTGATAATATTTTTTCTCTTCTTTTTGCAGTCGAGGAGAAAGACCAGGGAACCAAAGGAGGAGAATGTGACTCTCGGCCCGGCGGTGCGAGATGGGGAGCACGTTTTTGGCGTCGCCCATGTCTTTGCATCGTTCAATGACACTTTCATCGTATGCATCCGTCTACCCTTTACAACTATCTTCCTGCTGCTGCCTATTTTTCCATTTTTTTCTTGCGTTGAGCTCACGGACCCGTTGCTATGGGGTGCAGCATGTGACAGATTTGTCCGGGAGGGAAACTCTGGTCCGTATCACCGGTATGCATTGCTCTACGCATTTTGTAGCTCTATACATACATATCCATTCCCTGTGTGGGGTTATCACGTGCAATTTTCTATCTTTAGCTGCATTTTCGAAATCATTACCATTCAAGTTGATGTCCGCGATCGAATTGACCTCTTGATCGTGCTACAGAATTTCAGCCGACGAAGCACTGCCCTTTTCCATTAATGTGATTGTTGATGTACCATCTCGTCGTTAGGTTTCAATTGTGGGATATTTACTAGTACATTACAGACCATCGTTTTCATTCGCTCTCAGTTGTGATTTCTCTGGTTCTTGGTCTCTTTATGAATATGGCCGCGGTATTATTTTTCGTAATAAAGATTGTAGAATCACTCGGCATGAGCAAGGATGGTGGTGTAGAGGCGAGGGAGTGAGATGCTAATAGATAATCTATCGTTGTCCTGCACAATTATTTTGGACTGGGAGCGGAAGTGAAAGGAATCTGGGATAGTATGTGCTTCCAGGGTTTTCCCATGCTAATGCAAGAGACTTGATAAAAATCAATGTTTCGTTGACTTTTGGTGACCAACCGATGTTTAATGTGCGGAATTCGAGTTCTCTTGACCTCATAGAATGAAGGAGGAATCCCTGGAACGTGAAAGTCGCTTGCCATAAGGGATTGTGATTGATCTACTGTTGTGTTGATTTCGTTCTTAGTCTTACATCTGATATGAGGATACATGCATTTATTCTCATCCATTGCTTAGGAAGAACTGGGCTCATTCGAATTCTGTGCACTACTTTCAGATAGCGCATCATCTTCGTAGTGAGGTACTGATTGGGGATGGAAGCTTGAGTTTTATAATTTTTAGGATCATTCAACCAGTCTCGTGTCTAACTCGGTATATCTGGTGTTCCCTTTTCTCATCTTTGCGCTAGTTGCTGTAAGCTTTCATCTCACAGACTCAGAATCTTGAAAAATCGACAATCTTCTCTCCTTATTGGTACATCTCAAGAAATTGCTGTTCAGGCATCGTCTTGATCCAAGCAAATCGGATTATTTGCACTTTTTTTTTTAGTTCCTTGAGGATGTAATTCTTTGTAAAACATTACAGGAAAATGCATTTTCTTGACATTCCAGCTGTGCATGCTCGGATTTGGCTAGGTTTCCACTGCTCTACCAATTAAATTATTATTTCAAGTTCATTAATACAGATTATATTTAGATTTTCGGTTCTGTGTTACTGTCGGGTGGCGTAGTTAGGCTTCTGTGGACCAGGAATATGTAAGAAGGATGTCTAGTCTAGAAGAGTGCCCTGGAATCTTATGTCGATCGGAAGTTCGCCATTAGCCATTTTATTCTCACTTTTAAACTGCGTACGGGTTTCGCCCATTTACTTTGGCGGCTGTTGATAACATCACCAGTGATGAAAGTCAACGCCCCTATCTTCTATTTCTCTCGCAGCACCTCTTGGAGCTCTCCTTTTTTGGCTTTTATGCGTTCTCTCGCCCTGATATTCACAAACTTTCCAAAAACAGGCGGCATGAAGGTCAAAGCGGATCGAGACGAATCCTCTCCCTATGCAGCCATGCTTGCTGCCCAAGACGTTGCTCAGCGATGCAAGGTCCTTCTTCTTCGGTGCCCTCTGTATTTTTCTGGAGGAATTTTGTAACCCTAGTGGCCCAACTCCTCATCTCCTCCGACGACATTTACCAGGAACTGGGCATCACGGCTCTGCACATCAAGCTCCGTGCCACCGGCGGGAACAAGACTAAGACGCCTGGCCCCGGCGCCCAGTCTGCTCTCCGGGCACTAGCCCGGTCTGGAATGAAGATTGGCCGTATAGGTATTCAATCGATTAACTTTGTTTTTTGTTCCACCCTTCTACTCGATTTTAGGCAGAGCCTCTGCCTTTATACGCATTGATAGAGAGAGAGAGAGAGAGAGAGAGAGAGAGTTTGCTTAGTTCTCTAGTGCCCAGATTTTCTCCGAGGAAATCCCAGTAGATCTCCCGGTGGGCCCTGTTTCCCCCCTGTTCTAATGCTCTTGCTATGTTTTTCTGCCCTTTTTTCAGAGGATGTCACGCCGATACCCACTGACAGCACCCGCAGAAAGGGCGGCAGAAGGGGCCGCAGGCTCTAGTTTCCCCAGGGTCGTTCCTTTCTCTCTCTCTCTCTCGCAGAGTGTTGTCCTGGCGCGAGATTGTCTCTCTAGACATCTGTGGGGTTGGTTTACTTGAAGTTATAAGACTATCTTCGGACCTCAGGTCAAGTGGTAGCAGAGGCCATGGATTTAGCGGCAATCCAGAGGATTCAGTGGACTTGGTGGTTTTTGTTCGGTTTCTATTCGCCCCGGGGGTGGCGCCGTATCTTCTTTCACCCAGATCGGTGTTCTGTGGGCCCAACCAAGCCCTCTCCGCAGCCCACTATTTAGCATACACGTAGAGATAGAGAGAGAGAAATCATATTTCTTTCAAGCGAGCGGTCAAAGGTCCGACTTTGAAAAGCTCACCCAGTCGGACTCAATACAAGAGTCAACTATAGTGGGCCATCCACTCTTCCGAGCTTCCCCATCACTAGACGAGCAAATCTCACTCTCTCTCTCTCTCTCTCTCTGAACGTTTGTAGATGGGCGGCGGGAGTTGCCCACAAGATCATCATCATTCAGGTCCCTATCTGCTATTAATTTCGAGGCGAGGGTTACTGAAGAAGAAGATCTAACCAAAACCCATTTATTCTCCACTGTGCAGCTGGCAATCCACTGCTCCATAGTCTCTACTAACCCACCTGACCAATGTCGCCTCTCTAAGACAGAGAGAGAGAGAGAGAGAGAGAGAGAGAGAGAGAGAGAGAGAGAGAGAGAGAGAGAGAGGTTGTTCAGGGCTCGGTGGGCTGGTTCATGTTGGGGGTCCCCATCTGCCATGCCCGCAGGAGGGAGATCTTCACGGCGGCGGCCCCATTGTTGAAGGCGTGAAGGTGGGCGGCGCCGCCGACGGCGTGGACGGGGTAGACCCTGGACGTGATGCAGGTCTTCCCTCCCGCCCCGAAGCTCTCCACCACCGACGCGTCGATCTGTCCGCCATCAACAGTCGTTGTCAACTGGCGAGGGAGAAAGAAGGGTAGAGAGAACATATAGTGAGAGAGAGATTACCAGGCTCCGGAGAGATATCTTCCTGTCCTTTTGAATGTCCACGTCCACGAATCCGGCAAAGGACGGCTTCCAGACGCCGGCCCGGCTCGTCGAACTGCAAGTGGTGTTGAGAAACCCGTAAGAAGGAGGGTCGCCGAACAAGCCAAATCCAGTTCACCTCCACCATCAATGACATACGGTCTAAAAGAGAGGAAGGGACAAAAAGGATGCCGCCCGGAACGTAGCCCAATAGCTACAGCTTCCGCTGGGCGGCGGATCTGTCGGGAAGTCAAACCTGCTGTCGTCATGGCATAGGAGGACCACGTGCTTCTCCTTCCCCTTGAACACCCGGAAGAAGACGGCGGTCCGCTCGCTCAGATCGCCGGAGGCTAGCACCCACAGCCCAAACGGCCCCACCCCGCCGGCAACGTCCGCCCCTTTCTTCTTGCAGAGCTCCTGCGCGTCCTTCCATCTGGGATCGAAGCCCTCCGCCTTCTCCAGCCCCGTCACCTCGAAGGTCACCTCCACATCCGCCTGAGAAATATCCCACCCAATGAGCGTAAGAGAGAGAGAGAGAGAGAGATAGAGAGAGAGATCTATCTATCTATCTACTCGCCTGTGAGGTGAGGATGCCCTTGATCTCGTAGCGGGCGCCCTTCCTCAGAATGAGGTCTCGGGCCTCCACCTTCTTCCCCCGGAGCTTCTCGAGCTCCTGCACCGGCCACTGCACCAGCTGCCGGCCGCCGTTGTCGAGCCACACGGCCCGTGGAATCGTCTGGATGCCGGCCCAATTCTTCGCGACGTCGTCTGCGACGCTGTCCGACTCGTTCGACCACCCCCACAGGATCCTCCGTCGCCCCGCCGGATCGTAGAAGGTCTTCGACGCGTAGAAGTTGCCGTAATCGTACCTCAGTCCCGTGCGATCGTCCGCCATGCCGGCGTCCGGCAAGTACCGATCCTTCTCCGGCGAGTAGCTCCCCAGCGTGTAGTACTCGAACCGGGTGAGGTCCAAGCTCACCTTCATGACGTGCTTCAGCGCCGGCCCGGCGGCGGAGGTGTCCAGCCCGTTCCTCCCCCGGCGCGCGACCGGGAAGAAATCAGGGCACTCCCACATGCCGGTCCCTGCTGCCGAGTGCAGCGGCGCTGCTGCCTTCACCCACCGCACGAAGTCCTTGCTCCGGTAGAGCACCGCCAGCCCCTGGAGGTCATTCTTGCTGCCCACCACCACGCGCCACCACCCGTCACCGCCGCGCCAGGCGGTGGTGGGATCCCGGAAGGCGCTGGCGTTGATCGCTGCGTCGGGGTTGATGACCGGGTTGTAGTCGGGTTTGACCCACTCCCGGAGGTAAGGATCAGCGGGGTCCTTGGGGAAGGCCACGTTCTGAACCTGGCGGTTCCGGGGGTCAATTCCGGTGTAAAGGATGGCGGGGCGGCCGTCGGGGAGGATGGTGGCGGAGCCCGACCAGCAGCCGTTGATGTCAAACGGCTTAGAGGGATAGATCGCCGGAGGAAGTGGAATCCAGTTGACCAGGTCCCTCGACACCGAGTGAGCCCACACGATATTCCCCCACACCGCTCCCTTCGGATTGTACTGGTAGAAAAGGTGGTACACCCCCTTGTAGAACAACGGCCCTGCTCAGTTCATTATTCACAAAAGCACCACAGCGTTAGATACTCCAAAGCCGTCGCCGCCATGGCCAAAAGAGACGGAGGAGGGAAGAGTGCTCACCGTTGGGGTCTGCTCGCCAGTGCCGGAACGCCGCCGCCGCCGCCATGGCCGCCGCCATAGTCGGAGATGAGAGCAAGAAATAAGTACTAGTACCAGAAGAATTCGGAAGATGAGGAGAGATTGCTAGATGTAGATAGATGGGTTTGGCCGGATTATTTGGAGAGGTAGGAGGACCGGGCCCTACGGAGCACCGGCCATGTGGGAGGGCGGCGGAAGGTCGGCCGCCGGACCTGCCACCTCCCATGGCAGCGGAGCCTTCGTCGTGGTCAGTTTACGGCCTTGAAACCTGAAGGATCGCATCTTCTCGATCGATCTCAGGGTGAAACAGGGATGAAGGAGGAGGATGAAAGCCTCCAGAAGAGAAGAGAGAGGAAAACGCAGGGAGACTCATCCTAGTCGGTAGCGAGCGAGCGATAGAGAGAGAAGCAGTGGTATTTGTGGAGGAGGATCTGAGAGAAGAGAGAACCGACCGTTGATCCAGTTCTTCGGCGGCTGGAAGTGGTAGGCGGTGCGGTGGTCCTGGGGGGAGAGCTTCTCTGGTTCGTGCGTCTGGTACTCGCTGTAGACCGTGTGGGCGGCCTCCGCCGCCGGCAGGATCGCCGCCGCCGCGAACAGGACGAACAACCACGCAACCGCCGCTCCGCCCATGGCGGAGCCCTTCGGTCGAATCCTCATACCCCTCCTCCTCTTCTGCGCAGATCCAGAAAGAAAACGCAGTCGCCGGGGGGAAGAAAATGGCCGGAGCCGGATAGGATGACGAGCCGGGGGAGCCCTCGCATTTTTATAGGGGAAACTGAGGACGGGATAAAGGGGGGCTGTTGACGTTTAAATCCATATCGGGTTTACCTGTCCTCTTCCCACTAGTATCCGTTTCCGATACCGTCGGCGGGGTCCGGCCTGTTTCCGATATATCCGATGTCACACGTGGCAAGTTTCCAATCGTCAACATACGCGGGTAATCCTCCAGTTGGGTTCATCACGCACTTCGATGCGGAGAAATCTCGGCCGG